CCGCCCGCATCGAATTGGGAATTACCAAGCCTTCGAATCTGCACGCCATTTCCATGTGTTGGCCATGCATGATGACCACCACTACCACCACCACAACCCCAAAAACCCACACCACCCACACCACCGGGCGGAGGAATTCCAAGTTTCACTTCTCAGCCGCCTCTTCCAGAAGGACCCGGACTAATGCAATCGCCCCCTCTTTCGCAAACGGGCGGCGGCAGCATCATCATATTGTTGGAATCAAGATAACGTCCGCCTCGGTCACGAGGTCCAGCGCGGTCTCCTGAATGGGCCTCCCCGTCCTCTGATATCTGCTTTCGTGCTGGCCCGCGTCCCCAGGAGCTGGGCTCTCTGCACGCAACCATCGAGGCCCTCTGCAACCACGCAATGCAAACATGAACCCACCGCCACCAGCTTCTATTCGTCATTGATTGCACCCAGCAATATTACCAATTAAGCACCTTGTACTACCACCATCACCACCCACCGTTCAACATTTCCACCCACTCGTCAGAGTGGCGCACTCTTTACACCTCACAAACCAAACCACCTTTAATCAATGACCTACAACGGAACGAGCAAAGCATCATTACGGGACCAGGAACACTTGAACGTCATTTTATCACGCATCGTCTCCCTACCCTCTTCACACATGTATCAATAGAGAAGCATTGTCACGGGGCAACTCGACGAGTTGAGCCTCTTTTTTTTTTTTTTTTTTTTCCACTTTGTCGTCGCCGATACCCCCCTTCCCTTTCTCAGAGAGATGGTTGGATTCGACGGAAAGTATGAGCGAAGTCTTTGGGAAGCGAAGAAAGCAAGCAAGTAACAGGGATACATTTAAAAGTAGGAGAGAAATAGGGAAGCACAGGAGTTACCTTCACACGTTCTATCTACACTCAGATTGTCCGCTGGGGGGATCAACCCCAGCATTGGAGCATTCTAGATGAGAGAAGTTATAATACCACCAATAATTCATTATACACATGCACAAACACTTTGGTTCCAAATCGCATTGCATTGTGAAATCGTATTTCATACACTTGTCTTGTGTGATGAGCATTATGGGGCGGCGTTGTTGTCATGGCGTCTCCCAAGGCATACGGAATAGGAGGTAGCGAGCTCAACACCCCTCGCCTGTGAGACAACAGATGGTGCGAGTGACCATTCGACTCGGCGCAACACTCATGCCAGATTCCAGATTCTCGTTAAATCGCCCCCTCTTCTTTCCTGTCCAGCCACAAGGGCGCGCGGGGTTCCTGAACCGACTTGCAAACCCCGATGGTTCCCCTCCTTCTCCCACCGCCAACCATTACAAGACTGGCCGTCAGGGGGGGGAGGGGGGTGGTTAGGCATGTTGTTGTCAACGTCGTAGCGGCCCATTGGCCGACCGCCATTTTTTTTTTTTTTTATAACAACTTTCCCTCTGTAGCGTTTGCTGTATGTCTAAAGAGTATGCTGTACGTAGTATCTAATCGGCCGGGCCATGCATAACCGACCCGGCCCGCCCACACGAACCGCAACCCACGAGGAACGTCAGACGGGTAGATGACGAACCCGTTGTGTCCCGTTGTGTTTGTTGTGTTGTTGTTTTTTTTTTACCACCTTCCCTTGTTTCTATCAAGAAGATTTCCCGGTTTCTGTTTGGGGGAAATGGGGGAATACCAGAAATTCACTCATTTTCACTCCCATCGTTTTTTTTTTTTTGCGTGCCCACTCGCACTTCTCTCATGTTTTATCTCACGGAGAATCTAGCTTGTTTACGGTAAGGAGTAACTAGATCAAACAGTATCCTCCGAATCTCCGCCCTCGGGTCAAACCTGATACCGGGAGAATAGACGTGCTGATTTGATGCATATGTACATGTGTACAAGGGCGGGGAGAAAAAGGACGTGACGGAGAGAGAGAGAGAGAGAGAGAGAGAGAGGGAGAGATGGAGATGCTCATAGAGGGGGTGGATGAGGATCATCCGAGATATTCCCTTCGTCCTTGTCCTTTGCCCTTCTATTCCGTAACCACCACCCCCGTCGCAACGGAGGGTGAGAGAGAGAGAGAGAGAGAGGGGGGGCGGGTAGGGCGGTCGGGTCGGCGCAACATGACGAACTGGGGGGGGAGTTGAAAGCGGTAGTGGTTGCGGTTTTCTTCAACCGGGTCCCTTTTTTTTTTCTCTTCCTTTCCCTTCTTGCTCATCTCGCGTAAGTGAGGGCGCAGGGCAAATACATGCCTTAGGGCGGAGCTGGGGGTGTTGTCGGTCACGGTCACGGTCATGGTCACGGTCATGGTCACCTGGGGGGGGGGGGGGTTCTTTTTGTCTTATTTTTATTTATTTTCTTTCTTTCCATAGTTGTTATGGTTCTCGACAAGGTCCGCGATGCGCGGCTGTACGATTAAATTACCTCGTCGGCATACTGTTCTTGTTCTTCCCCCCCCTCACCATCCCACCTCGCTTCACGCTTGATTTTTTTTGCTTCACGCTTGATTTTTTTTTTATGTCCGTTGAAATATATGCGGTTTCTTCGGAGTTTACACCGCTGACGGACGGTATGGGGCCGGAGAGGGGACAAACATACATGCATACATACAGACACAGATACATACACACACATATGCCATGTACAGAAGTAACTTCGTAATGCAATCATCCCTATTGCGTACCGGTGTAGCAATTGCTCCATTACCATGCCATGCTTGCTGGCGCATACTGTTCTGTCCCCCCCCACCTCACTCCCTTTCAAATCTGTAGAAACGATCATCATCATGCGCGGTGGTTTGCGCAATTATCTTGTTCGAAGCGCTTAGTTTCGTCTGCCAAGCAACGTTGGCACGGGTGTCGGCATAACCAGATTTGACAAAGCAACACCAGACCCCTGGCCCCCCCCCTTTTTGGGCGTGAAGAACCGTCCATTAGAACAATGCTCAGAGGAGGACTACGAAAAACGGAGTGTGTGTCGTTGTAAGGGAGACAGAGAGAGACAAGCGAATTGGACCCCTAATTCTCAGCTCGAATGACACGGGCATTGACCAACGACCCCCGTCGTCTAAAAAGAACGCCGTCAAAGTCGGGGTGAGAAGCACTAGTACTACACCAAGAGGGTAAAGGGGAACACGAAACACGAAACACGGGCAGCATTAAAAAAAAAAAAAAAAGGTGTAAATTAAAATGAGGTTTCCTTAACGAGAGAGAGAGAGCGCGGGCGCTGGTTCCGCATGCGCCGGTGGAAACTCAACGTAGAGGCGCCGAGGCGCAAAGAAAACGGAACCGCCGTGGGCAGAAAGCGCATACGTTCAATGTTACCGTACCACCAAACGTAGCATTGAGGGGGAACGTGGTGCTGCGGCGCCATAATGCTATCGTTCCCGCCACCGCCACGCTTTCCGATTGTCTTTTTTTTTTTTTACTTGTCGTTGTCGTTGTCGTCGGACTAACTTCGTCCCCCTTTATGCCCCTCCCCCCCCCTCCCCTTTCTTGTCGTCGTTGGGTAGTCTCAAGTCGCATCTAATTCAGGCACGCGCGAAGCTTTAAACGTTGGCGGTTGGTTACCTGTGCTACGGGATCCCTTACCTTACCTTTTGGGGGGTGTTCGTTTAAGAATTGTACGGTTGTGGTTGCGCAGGCTGGTTCATATAGTTGGGGAGGGATACGGTGTCGACCGACAATCAATCAAGTCAAGGGGCACTTCAAGATGGCATTTTTTATCAAAGTGACACCTTTTTAACGGTACGTTTACTCTTTAGACAGGGTTGACAGTGACAGTGACATGTCGTCGCACAAGTTTCGTAGAGTTTATACCTGCCACCGTCCCCCACTTGACAAGATGTTTGAATCTGTGTGAAACAGGGGCGTGGCTATTGTTCTCTCGTCCCGCTCAACAAAGCTCGTCAATCTGTGTCTTTTCTGCCCGTTTATTCCGTTTCTACTACGTCTGAAATTCAGACGGAATTAGATTGCCTGTTGATGCGCCAGTGGCGAAACCTCCCGCTCGCGTTGTCACCTCGTGGGTATTCCTTTGACAGAGAGAGAGTCCCTTTCAACCCCCCTGCAACAACAAAAAAAGGGTGCCACCGTACGAGGGCGTAAGGGGAGGGGGGGACTAACTCGCAATACGAAGCAAAGGTTCATGTGTCCTGAACGTGGTTCCATGATCTACCGTTCTGAGGCGAGTAACCAGTGGCCAAGTCTTTTCTTTTTTTTGTTACCTTGCTTGGTGTGCCTGGAGGTGGTTTCTTTAGGACGGATCGTCAGGGGTAGGCTTTAGGTTGTGTTGCAGTGGTGGACGGGAGGGAGGTATAGTAACACCAACCACCAGCGCCGAACACATCCGAATTTGGCAGCCCGTTTCGATGCGGGTCTGATTTGATCTGCCCGACGAACCGAGAGGAAATCTCATTCTGCAGTATGTGTGTGTGTGTTGTACGTGTGTGTAGTATGGCTGAGCGGGAGTAAGGATGGATGCTTGCGGGAGGATGGAATGGGATCTTCCGTAGCGTTGTCGGTAGTACGTACTACTTGGTGTTATTCTTATCCTTATCGCTTTATCGCACTCTTCTTATCATCACGTGCTCCCGTGCCGGGGCCGGACCATCTTTCAGCTCGGTCGGGGGATCGTCGCGCTGCTGCGTCAGCGGATCAAGGCTGCAAGGGACCCTTTTTTTCCCCCATCTTATTGGCAGAGTGAGTGAACCTCATCACTGAAGGAGCCTGTGCCCATCGACGGCGTGTTGTTTTAATTCGGGACTTTTTACTCAAGCGCCGGTTCATTCCTTCAGTGACACCGCCTGACTGGTGACTCACCGGTGAGCTTGACGCCTCAATCATCATATTTGCCGTCATTCCTGGCCATCCCCCCTGGCGCCAACTGGATGATCAGGGTCCTGGAGGTCAAGTAGACCAAGACCCAGGGCGTGAACTCGATACCTGGAATTATACGCTGGACTGCTGCCGTCACCCAAGTCTACCCGTCACTCGTTCTCACACAATCACACAAGCACACTCATACGAGATGGATACGCTCGAGCTCCATGTCTGGGGCCCGGCTTTCGGGCTCCCCTCCGTCGACGCCGAGTGCCTTGCCGCCATCGCATATCTTCACACCGCTCTACCTAGCTCTGAATGGCGTCTGGTCCCGAGCAATGACCCTGCCATCGACTCATCAAGTAAGTGCTCTCACGCTTACTCACTCGCACAATTACACCCCAAGTCACAAACCTCGGTTGCTTTTTCCTCACACCCCCCACCCCCCTTAATTCTCATCTCATGTCTATCTTCCTTCTCTCACACCTCTCTCTTACCCTACCTTACCCTTGATACACCGTCCTCAATCACCTGATGAGGCTCACCAACCGTTGTCCACGCGACCTCGTGTCCATAATGATGACGCCCTGGGACAAAGAAACGGAAAAAAGCAAGACAAAGAGACTTTGAACAATGTATACTGACCGTTCCCCTCCTCAAGACCGCCTACCAGCCCTCAACGCCAACGGCGTCTGGGTGACGGGTTATGCCGCCATCGTATCCCACCTGCGCAACCTCTCCCCTCACTCCCCCTCCTGGGATCTGGACCTCGACTCCCGTCTGACGCCGTCCGAGCGTGCAGACGCCCTCGCCCTCGGCGCCTATGTCGAAAGCCACATCGCGCCGCTGCTAGACGCCTACCTGTACGCGGATCATGACAACTGGTCCGCCGTCACCCGTCCCGCCCTGAGCCAGATACTCGGGTTCCCCCTGAGCTGGACCGTGCCGGTCATGCTGCACAACCAGGCCGTCGCGCGCAGCGCCCACCTCGGCTTTGGGGGCCTCGGGGACGACCACGACGACGATGACGACGATGACATCAAGGCGGGGTCGTCATCGCAGGGTACTACTCTGGATCGCGCCATGAAGCACCTCCCCGTCTCAGGGAAGAAGAGCGTGATGGAGGAAATGCGTGCCAAGACGGCGAGGGGCATCAGGTTGCATGCCGTCACGGTAGACGCGCTCGCACCGCTGGAGGAGCAGCGGGCGAGAGGGGACACGGAAACCGACAAGAAGCGGCGCTTCTTCGAAGGGGAGGTGCCGACGTCCCTGGACTGCCTCGTCCTCGGACACCTCGTCCTCGCGCAGGCCGTCGAGGCGCCGCAGAACTGGCTGCAGGCCATCTTGTCGAAGAGATTCCCACACCTGCACGACATGGTAGACAGCCTCCGCAAGGAGTGCCTGACGAGCCCCGGCGCTCTCCCCTGGGCTCCCGCGCCGGCGTCTAGGCTCCGCACCGCCGCGCGCTTCCTCGACAACGTCGTGCAGTTCACGCCGAACCTCGGCGACGCGTACGTGAACGAGTGGCGGCGGCGCGCCGAGAAGAAGGCCGAGGGCGTCGCGGACCGGAGGACGCTCGCTCTCGCGGGCGGCGTGTTGGCCGCTGGCACCGCCATCGCGTACGGCATCTGGACGTACCGCGGCCTGCAGCCGTGGGGCACGCGGACGCAGACGTGGGTGGCGGAGAAGAGGGGTCTCAGCAAGTTTGGCGAGTTGGGCGCCATGTTGGACTTTTCGTTCGGTCTCGCGGACCCAGTGCCGTCGTCGCAGGTGAGTCCGGCGGCCGGGTGGGGTGGGAGCCTCGATACCGGGGCGTCTGAGCATAAGGTTGTTGAGTCGGAGTTGAGTGTGGACTAGACGGCCTCTCGGGCTCGTGGAGGATGGCGTGACAGTGTGTCTACGGACGATGGACGGGGGCACTAGAGCATATTTTCTTTTTGCAGTTTTGCAAAGACACTGATAGAGAAACATGGATAGAAGGGACACCAAAAAGTCTACAGGAGACCCAGAAAGGGAGACCTCTACGACACACACAGAATCTGTACAATACTGTCTCGATTATTTTGATGTACAATTACCACCCCCTCCCGTTTTTATAACACCGCTTTCTACATCTTTCTCTCGCTGCCTATGCAGTTTCCTGAATCCTGATGCCAGGTGTAATACAGACGAACCCCATGCAACAACGCACACCGATCGGCCGTAGATGATAATCTCGAAGCACAAATAAAACACACACAAAGAGTCCAGGTCAGACGCTCTAAATCTGCCGGATCTCCTTGCCCACCATCTCGGGCCGCTCAACCTCCCACTCGTCGCGCAGCACGGCAAACGTCAGGTCGCTGACAAGCAGGCTCTGGCCCAGACTCCATACCAGCGTGATGGCGTAGAAGAAGTTTGCGTTTCCGCTGCCGGCGTAGATCCACAAGTGGTAAAATGCCGGGCCGAGGAAGGAGGCGTACATGATGGTGGCGGCGCCGACGAAGGTGTAGCGCATCAGAGGGAAGACGTGGCGGAAGAGGGACAGCATGGCGAGGAACAGGCTCGTGTCGGCGATGGAAGGGTACGGCTTGAAGATGGCGAAGATGCCCAGCAGGATGGTCAGGACGACCAGCGGCTGGGTGCGGATGCGGACGGTCAGCGGCATGACGTAGCTCGACAGGTGCAGCCAGAAGACGGCGAGGAAGAAGGAGCGGAAGGAGTCGAACATCTCGATGAAGAAGTACCACCACAGACCGACGTTGGGGGTCAGGTCGTTAAGGGTGAGCTGGGCGCCGTAAGTGCTGGAGAGGAACTCCCAGGAGCCGCCGGTCAGGAGGAAGGACATGAAGAACAGGGCGCCGAGGACGCCGGCGACAACGCCCGTGTTTGCTAGGGCGAAGCGCGTCACCGTACCGACGCGGCGGGAGGGGTCATGACGGTCGTAGGCGAGAAGGATGAGGGGCGGGAGCAGGAGCAGGGGGTACATGGAGAGGTAGGTCGCGAAGGAGAGGCCAATCATTGCGCCGAGGGGCGCGCCGGAGATGGCTTTCGCGATGGCATGGAGGATGGCGCATGTCGAGAAGACGGACGTGGATCGACCGATGCAGGTTGCTATCGTGAAGGGGTTGAATAGGTAACTGTGGAGGGAGGAGGGCTGTCAGACAGAGAGCTTCATGGGAAGGGGAAAGGATGCTTACAGAGATGCGACGACGATGCCGCTCCACCTCTTTCCGCGGCGCGGGGAGGAGAAGAGTCGTGACGACCCAGCCTCGCCCGAGTCGGCGATCCTGACAAGAGCCTCGGCGCTGAGTATGTCGAAGATGATGTAGAGGAGGTATGTGAAGATCGGGAGCGACTTCGGGTCCGGGAGGAGGGAGAAGAGGGGGAGGAAGAGGGGCGCTTGATGGTAGACGCCCCCATCGTAGGGAGAGACGTTGTTGTTGTAAAGGAAGAGACCTTCTTGTACTGTATGCAAAGCATCTGTCAGCTAATGGTCGTGGAAACGGGGCGACGGTAGCACTTACAGCGCTTGAAGCTCGTCACGGGGGTCGAGATCTCGACGCGGCCCGTCAGCAGGTCAGGCAGGCCGGGGAACGCAACAAATAGCAGCAGACGCAGCGCGGCTGCGGCAGCGTAGACGCCCGTCTTATTGCCTCCCTTAGTCATTGTGCCGCCGGTCATTGTTCAGTTCAGTCCATGACCCGGAGGGAGGCGGAAAGCGGGTGGGAAGAGAGGGGCCGGGGGGGGGGAGGGGGGGTTGTGCGTGATGTCGATACGGCACGGAGCTCTGTGAAGTTTCGCGGGTCAAAGGTGGCAGCTCGGGCGGGAGTCGGGATGGAGTATGAAATGGGACGGGGGGGATGACACCTGGCTGGACCGGGGCAGTGGTTCCGGCCTACTACGTATGAACGGGAAGCTCCAACAGCGAATGACAGCCTGAGTCTCAGGGCGGTCGCCCAGGTTATAGTGGGTAAGACCCCTGGAGCTGGGGCCCATCCACTGATTAGATAGTGAAAGCCAATCACATCAACGATAATGTCCCACTAATCCCTTTGGGACTGATACCGAGGCGGTGAACGATTGGCAGAAAATTTCAATTGGAAAAAAAAAAAAAAGTTCGGTTTGAAAGTCCAAAGCGCTGCCCCGCCACGGCCAAAAGAAGTTCTTGATAGCTTCTAAACCGTCCAACTACATTTTTTATTCTATTTTTCCACACCCAACTTTGCGAATATCACCGCCAAGATGGGTAAGATTAAGAAGAAGGGACAGGCCGGAGCGGCCAAGAACTATGTTACCAGAAACCAGGCCATCCGTAAGCTGCAAATCAGCCTGCCCGATTTCCGCAAGCTCTGCATCTGGAAGGGTATTTACCCTCGTGAGCCTCGCAGCAAGAAGAAGGTTTCCAAGTCCTCTACTGCCTCGACGACCTTCTACTATGCCAAGGACATTCAGTACCTTCTGCATGAGCCGCTGCTTCAGAAGTTCCGCGACCAAAAGGCCCTCGAGAAGAAGATCTCTCGCGCCCTCGGCCGTGGAAACGTTGGCGATGCGAAGAGACTCGAGAAGAACGCCGCGCGCCCTGAGGAGACGGGCAAGCCGAGATACACCCTCGACCACGTCATCCGTGAGCGTTACCCGACTTTTATCGATGCCATCCGCGACCTCGACGACTGCCTTTCCATGCTGTTCCTCTTCGCCAACCTGCCCTCGACCTCGTCCGTGCCCGCCAAGATGATTGCGCGCTGCGAGCGCCTGACCCTCGAGTTCCAGCACTACCTCATCGTTTCGCAGGCCGTTACCAAGTCTTTCCTGTCCATCAAGGGTATCTACTACCAGGCGAACATCCAGGGTGAGGATGTTTTGTGGCTGGTTCCCTACAAGTTCAACCAGAGGGTCGTTGGCGATGTCGACTTCCGCATCATGGGTACTTTTGTCGAGTTCTACATGACCCTCCTGGGCTTCATCAACTTCCGCCTGTACACGTCAATCGGTCTCAAGTACCCTCCCAAGTTCGACCAGAACAAGGATGACCAGTCCGCCGAGCTCGGCGCCTTCACCATTGAGGGCCAGAACCTCGCTGCGCCCGAGGCCAAGCAGCTCACCAACGGAGAGGCCGAGCACCAGGTTGATCCCAAGACGCAGGCCGCGGTCAACAAGGTCCTCAAGAAGCTCAAGGACACCGATGCCGGCGAGGAGAGCAAGCCCGAGGAGCAGACCGAGTCCGCCGAGGAGCCTACGGATGCCATCGACAAGTTCGAGCCCGCGGCGCCAGGTGGCGATGTCCTTCCCCAGCCTGAGTACTCGAGCTCCGACAGAGGCAAGCTGTTCGCCAACTGCACCTTCTTCCTCTCCCGTGAGACCCCGAGACAGCCTCTCGAGTTCCTTCTCCGTTCATTCGGCTGCAAGCGCATCGGCTGGGACGCTGTCCTCGGCGAGGGCGCCTTCACGACCAACGAGCGCGACCCTTCCATCACCCACCAGATCGTCGATCGTCCCCAGGTGTACGCTGGGAACAACGAGGGCGGCGACGGAGAGGACAACCAGACATCCCAGAAGCTGGCGCCCAACCAGCGCATCCCCGGCAGGATATACATCCAGCCCCAGTGGGTCTGGGACAGTGTTAACGATGAGGAGCTCAAGCCCGCGGACCAGTACGCCCCCGGCGCCCAGCTGCCTCCCCATCTTAGCCCCTTTGTCAGACAGGTCCAGGGTGCCTACGACCCGACTGTGCCTCTCGAGGAGCAGGAGCCCGAGGGCGAGGCGCTCGCCCAGAGCGACGACGAGATGGATGTCGACGGCGAGGATGCCGCCAACGACATGGACGTCGCCGGATCCGACGATGAAGATGATGAGGAGGAGGATGGCGCTGAGGAAGATGCCTCTGCCGATGAGGACGAGGAGGAATTGTCCGACGACGAGGAGGCTCAGCGCCAGCTCGAGCTCGAGGCCGAGCTTGCCGGCGGCAACGTCAAGGCCAAGGAGACGAAGCCCAAGTCCAAGAAGGAGGCGGCGCGCAAGGCTCACGCCAAGAAGGTTGCTGAGGAGGCTGAGGACCTCGAGCGTGCCAAGGGTATGCTGAGCAAGAAGAAGAGGAAGCTGTTTGAGCAGATGCAGTACACTAATAACAAGAAGAGCGCCGTGGACGAGAAGCTCAGGTCCAAGAGGAGAAAGCTGGAGAAGCAGCTCAACAAGAAGGAGAAGGCGTAGAAAAAGACGACGTTATTATTTTTCATGCTGTAGACTGTAGTAGGCGTTTGTTATACCATAATTGTGGTGTTGGGAAAAAGAAATACATTTGCTTGAGACATGATATTCCAAAATGACAAGTGATGGCAATTTTTTTCGTATTTTTCCCATGAGTTAGTTGCCCATGACCAAAACTAGCAATTTCTGTAAGGTGAAAGGTCTGATTCAAGGTGAGTTTCGGTGAGATGTGGATGGGCCCGATTTTTTACCTTCTTCACCTCACTTTTACGCTCTCCCGCTCAACAACGTCTTACATTAATCTGAGTCTCCTCACCCGTGAACCTTCAATCTCATTCGGTCATCTTAATTAAGCGATACAAAATTACCCAATGCATGACTTAACATCATGACAGCCGACGAGGAAGCATGGGACCTCGACACGGATGAGATCCGCTCAATCGACTCGGAGGAGCTCTACGACACCAGACCGAATCGCTGGAGAGGGCCCAGGTCAACATGGCGCAGCTACACGCAAGAAGAGCGACTGCTTCATCGCTCAATGGAGCAAGATCGTAACCGCGATCTCTCAGTCCATCTGTACAATGTCTTTGCGCTGAAGAACCGTCCGGCGGCAGCGACAGACGCATTAGACGTCGATGCAGACGATGCAGAGGTGAGTCGCAGCTCCACAGCCAACACACAGAGCCTCGACAAATTAACTCGGGTCGTAGGACGCGGATAAGCCGCTGAAGGATGTCGTGGACAAGAGCAACTGGCGCCCGCCGAACATGTGGACGGCATGGCCCATGAGCACGCAGACTGTACCCGGCGACGACTTCATGAAGGAGACCCACGACGGCGACGACGCGTTCACCGTTCGCTCCGACGCCGTGCAGATGCCCAGTACAGCACTGGAGGAAGAAGTCACAGCTACCATTCTAAGACAGGCCAAAGAGCGCTTCCGTCGCCGGCAGGAAAAGTACGAGCGGAAAGAAGCCGCCAGGGCCCGCTCAGCGCAAGAGACGACGGCGGCGTCCTCTCAGTTAGTCACCACATCCGACGACGCCCAAGACTCTTCCGCCGAGGAGAGACCGCACGCCGAGGCCTCTGACGAGCCGCCCCGGATGACGAAACCAGCGAAAACATACGAGGCAGTCGTCTCCGCCAACGACGAACTCTCGTCCGACATCCTCCGCCCGTCGGTCCGGCACATCCTCTCGACGCTCGACAACACGCTGACGACGCTGCACAACGCCCGCCTCGCAGGGCTAAGCTACATGACCGACTCCTCGGCGTCAGCGACAGACGCATCCGACGTCTCGGACGCAGCTAGCGTCTCGTCCGTGGCATCGCGGGCATCTTCAGGGAGACGGGGTAAGAAAGGCAGGCCGAGGAGTAAAGCGCCGCGCACGCCGGAGCCGGAGCGCGATACCTCGCAGAGGAGAGGTCGGCCGAGGAAGGCCATGACGCCGTTGCCGGGCGAGACGGAGAAGGACATGAAGATCAGGATCGCGAGGCATCAGAAGAGGAGAATCCCGTATCCGTCAGACGAGGAGGAGGAGGAGGATAACTACGACGACACGGGGGCGGAAACGTCGCCAACAAAGTCACCTCGCCGCAGACGAGACCTATCACCGCACGCGAGGATGGAAGCAAGGACAAAGTCCCACGAGGGCGTCCTCGGGAGGTGGGGTTTGAGGGACTGGAGCGACGTCATCGGCGCGGCGTCGCTCTCTGGGTTCAACCCGGAGGTCGTGGCGAGAGCGGCGCAGCGGTGCGCGGATTTGTTCGGGCAGGGGATGGACATGCAGACTCTCCATGAGGGCCCGGCACTTAAGGGGCCAAAGGCCCAGAGGATACGGTATCTCCCTGGTTCTCGCCGCGGCCACGAACAACCGCTCTCGAGTTCCTCCGATGAGGAGGAGGAGGACGACGACGATGACTCCGTCGCGAAGCGGAGGGTGAAGAGGCAACGGGGTAGTCGGGGACGACGGGATAGCGTCCCGCCTAGCGACTCCGACGCCGCGGCGCGCGGGAGGACGTCGAGGCCGACGAGCAGAGGACGTAGTACGTCACGGTCGTCCTCGGTCGGGCTCTTCTTCTGTCCCGTTGCCGGGTGCGAGAGGGCCCTGGAGGGGTTCGGGCGGAGGGCGAATCTGCAGCGGCACGTGGCGAGGGTGCATCCCGGACAGGAGGTGGACGTTGGCGACGTGGAGAGCGAGAACGAGATGTTTGGCGCCGTGCACGTCGACGGGTTCCTGAAGCCGATCCGGGCGAGAAAGGGTTGGAGGGCGGAGGACACGGGGCAGAGGAAGCGGAAGAGGCATTACCGCGGCCGGAGGCTCGCGAGCGGCGACGAGGGGACTACTACTCAAGGCGAGGAGACCGTTTGGGATTCTACGTGATTTATATGCTCTTGCAATACTACACTTGTGTATTCTTACGGATGTGAGAAAAAAAAAGCAATCATTTACAAAGCCTTCTCCCGGAACTGCCTGTCCACTTCCTCAGCAAACTCCCCAATCGTGTCGAACCGCCACTCAAACGCCACGTCCCCCTTCAACTTGTCATAGTCCCCTCCAACTCCCTCTCCCTCCTTCGTCTCCCCGCCGCGTGAAATCCATACGCTCCTGAAACCGAGCTGCTTCGCCGGCACGTGGTCGGCCGTCAAACTCCTCGCGACATGCAACAACTCCCCCTTGCCGAACGCCACACCGAGCTCCTCCTCGACATGTTCAAACAGGAACTCAAAGTTGCGGCGCGAGGGCTTGTAGCTCCCGATCCGCTGGGCGGTATACACCGCGTCGAACTCGACCTGCGGCCGGAAGTGCTCCAGCGTTGACGAGATGTTGTCCTCGTCAATGTTGGAGAGGATGATAAGCTTATCATAGTGCTGCTTCAACACCGCCAGCCCGGCGACCGTGTCGGGGAAGGGAGCCCATGTGCCGGGCAGCTCGCCAAACCGCCTAGCTTCGTCCTCCGACACGGAAACGCCGAGTTCGGATGCGAGGGAAGAGAACGAGCGCGCGAGGTTGACGTTATAACGCAACCCCGGCTCAGAGACCTGGAGGTCCGAGGAGAGCTTGTCGAAGCGCTGCGCCAGGAGATCCGGTTTCTGCGCGTGGTGGGGGTCATCCGAAGGGAGACGGGAGATTATAGGTTCGAGACCTGCGAGGAGGCCGGATTCCCAGTCTATCAGAGTGCCGTAGCAATCGAAGGAGAGGCCTTTGAAGGTAGTCAGGTCGGGGTACGTCATATTTATTATGTTATCACGGGTGGTAATCAAGCAGTCACAATAGTTTATTAAGAAGAAGATCCAGCTCAAGTGATTTAGAAAGAAACGGGCAACCGGAACCTCAATTTTTATACGGTTTCCACCCACAATGCTTATGGTCTCCAAGATCGATGCCATAAGGGCGCAGATGACGAGCGGGGGGATCGCTCCCACCTTCACCTCGCAACGTCATTCTATTTGCCGTGCCGTAGCGAGCTCTGTAGCTACCTGCCGATCTTGGATGCGTGTACAGCAATTACCGCAGTGGTCAGATTGATTCTTAGGCATAGCTGATGTGCGAAACCCATGGTGTGTGGCAAACAGGATCACGGTCAACGCATGGTGTAGAGCACGCAACGCACCAAAACTCACAGTCAAGACGAGAATCAACTTGTAGTAGTACAATAGTACTTGAAATCTAACATTCGAAAGTCAAGGGTATCAAGAATACCAGTAAACCTAAACCCAAACAAAACACAACCAACCAACCAAACCCTAAACCCACGATTGGTATCTGTACAGTTCAACCAGTGATAAGTCTGCCAACTCCCAAAACACCAGCCTTCCAAAAATCAGATGCTACCATTTACCCGCCCTCATATATACTCAGTTCAGGCGAGGGCTCTTCCTTCGGGGTCCCAGGCTCTGCGAGAATGAGTTAAGGGGCACATTTTCCCGCCCCTCACTGGGGAGCAGGCTGCTCTGCTTGCGTCCCTTTTGCGGGAACCTCGTCGAGGTGCGCTTGTTGAACAGGAGCGGAGCCGTGTTCTCGTTGATGGACATCATGCTCGCCGAGGGGTCGAAGGCAAGGTTGCTAGTCGTGTTAGGGTTGACTTCGCGCAGGCTCATAGTAAAAGGGGGCATCTCCGAAATCATGCTGAGGGTCGACATACGGGTCGACTGGCGCGCCGGTGGCGAGCGGTGGAAATCATGGTCCATGTCGGGGAAGACCATCGACTCACCGATGGGCTTGGTCGGGGTAGACTCGTCCTTGAGGCCGGCCAGGAGAGATTCGTGCGCTTCGGTCCGGGGGAGGTCGGTCGGGTACTGGTACTGGACCTTCATGGGAGTCTCACCCGTGGGTCTGTACTCCTTGATGGTGGTGGCCTCGATATCCTCGCGGAGGTTCGTCAACGGCTGGCAGAGCTGCTGTGTGAGCGGCTCGAGACCTTGCTGCATCTCGCTCGTCTCGGTATCCATCTCTTCGCCAAGATCCTTAACACGGTCAAAGGTGACCTTGAAATGGCTCGAAATGTTGTCAAAGGATTGCTCGACGGTAGATGACAAGCCTTGCATGGACTCGCCGTGGCGTTCGTGGTGGGAGGCGTTCTCGGACCGGGCACGGGTAACGAAATCGTCCAGAGCCTCCATCTGGACATCGAGGTCCTTGAGCTGCTCATCGACAACGCGGACGGTCTCAGCGTGAACAGACTTTGTGGTTGCCTGGATGGCGGTGCTGTGCTCGTTGGCAGTCTGGGCTGGGTCAGCATATTTTTCCTGTGGGCGATGCGGTCAATCTACTCACGTTCCAGTCATCCTTCAGCTTGTTCTTCATCGTGTCACGAGACTTGGCAACGCCCTCCAGCAACTGGCCCTCCTTCGAGTCCCAGGCATCCATGTCCTCGGCATATTGAGCCACGCTGCCTTGCAGGGAAACATTCGAATCCTGGACGCTCTTCTGGAGCTGGGCAGCCTTATCGGCAAGACGCGTCTCCTGAGTCTGGGCCTGGGCGGTGATGAGCGTAGTGATTTGAGCCAACAGGTTCTGTCGATCCTGTGCGGCTTGCTCCCGCTCCTCTTCCAACACTTGTTGCATCTGAGCAGAGATGTTGGCATTCTGCTCGACAATGGTGTCGGTCGCGCTTTGGAGCTGTTGCCTGAGTCTATCAGACTCGCTTCGCTGTTCGGTAATGTGGTTCATGAGCTCCTCGAAAATGCCCTTGAACTCCTTGCCCAAAGAGCTGTACGAAGTATGGAGCTTTACATATGTGTTAGCTTTCTCGGACATTGTCAAGACTTGCCGGATATCGTTCTTACCTGGTTGTGGAACGTGTCAAGCTCGCTGAGAACGTCAGCGGCAATGCGCTCCGCAGCACCGGCGATCGCTTGGAGGCTTTCTCCAACTTGCTGCTTGACAGTGTCGCGGACGACCTTGATCTCCTCAAGAACGTCATCCATCTCATCCTTGGACTTCTCCTTTTGCTCCAGGAGCTCTTTCTTCGACTCAGCAAACGACTCCAACTGCTCGTCAAGGAACTTCTGGGTGTCGGACAGCTTCTTCAGTTCCTCGCTGACGAAAGTGTTCATGCGCTCAGAAATACCCGAGATGTTGTCCCGCTGCCTGTCCTGGAAGCTCTGTACTCTTTGTTCCACCAAAGTCGTCACCTCGGCGACCTCGGCCTGGGCGGTACCCCAGGCGCTGCGGTTGATGGACTGTAGATCCGACTTGCGCTTGTTCTTGGCCCGAAGACCGTCAACGTCGTTCACAGTCTTTTGCAGAGTGGCAATTAGCTCGCCGCCGACCTCGACCAACTTCTCCTCGGTTTCTTGGTGGGCTTTGCGAAGGTGCGTCTCCTCGGCGAGGCTCTTGCGAGTAGCCGCGAGGACAAGCTCAGTCTGGTCGAGGACACCCTGTGTCTCATCAAGCTCAGCCTTGGTGCCTTCGTGGTCCTTCTTCAACCCCATGAAGCTGGAGGTCAGAGCGAAGAGCTCCTGAACCTTGTTCTTGAGGTTGTTTTCGAGGGTTTCCATCTTCGCCGCTTGCTCCTCCATGACGATGCGTCGCGATTCGCTCTGTGCCGTCATCTCTTCGTACGACTCGTTCGAGAGGTAGACACCGTTGCGCAGCCGAGTGGTAATCAACTCGCTCTTCAGCCTCTCGATCTCGGTAGCGAAATCCCTAAGCAGCATCTTCTTGTTGATCATAGCATTGAGTTGAGGCTTGTTGCGGATGTTCTTGGCGCGGAAAGCATAGTCGAGTGTGGAAATGGTTTCCTCCAGGTTGCTCTTTGCGGGAGAAATCGTTGCAATGATGCATGTCTTGGTGCGTCCACCGAGGGAGTCTTGGAGAAGTCGCGTGAGCTTGGACTCTCTGTAGGGAATGTGCTGGCTCTTGTCCACCAAGGCGTTGATGACTCGGCCGAGGGTCAAAAGACTCTTGTTGATCAAGCCTGCCTCGGCGGCCCGCTTGTTCTCGGCGCCGGATCGCTGGATGTTTTCGCTGCCAGCCAAATCAACCAGGTTCAACTTGCCAGCGCTGACGTAGTCCTCCTCGCCGTCCTCGCCCCTCTTGCGGACGTATGCGGTAATGGTAAAGACCGTGTGACTTCGACTGCTAAGATCGTTGCACTTGGTCGCCGCGACTTGGCGCTTCAAGCTTCCATCCTGAAGAACCTTGATGCCCTCGGTGGCAGTCTTGATGTGTCTCTCCTCCATACCCTGGACGACGGTGGTTGCATGTCCTCTCCTTGAAGTGTCATCGTAGATCTTTAGCTTGTGACCTTCCTCGATAGAGATCAGATCGCGCAATTCTTCATTGTAAAGCTCGATGAAGGAGCACTTGACGCAGCTTTCGGTATCGTCGACTTCGAGTTTGTTGAACAACGCGTGGAGAACTCTCGGAATGATACCGGCACCGTCGGACAGTAGACCCAGAGTCTCAGTCATGTCACCGGACATGGTGTAAGTCTTGCCGGTGCCGGTCTGGCCATAAGCGAAAATGGTGCAGTTGAAACCGGCGAGCATCTATGATTACGTTAGGATGGACAGGAGGAAGTCTAGGTTTGTTATAACATACCTCCTCGAGAATGGGCTTGACGACATCGTCAAAGACCATGGTCTGGTCAGCCGCGGCAGAAAAGACGCGATCAAAGTTGTAAGTCTTGTTGCTGAGGGCATTAGGGCCGAGCGACAGCTCGATGTTCTCTCCCTTGGCGCCGTCCGCGCGGACGACCTGGGCACTGTTTTCGCGAACCTCGCGCTCATTGCGGCCTCTGCATCTCACGACGACACTGATGTTGGTCTCGCCGCCAGGGGCCTCGTACTCGTAGTCGCGCTCCTTACGTTTCGTTGCGGTCGTGGCGACGGAGGCGACAGACTCGGCAGGCGAGGTCGCGCGGCTTCTCTCGACTCTCGGAGGGCCACTTTGGTATCGCAAGTTAGAGGTGCGGGTTGTCGTTGGGCGCAAGCTTGTGCGACCAGCGGCACCGGTGCGGAGGTTCGACGAGGTCGTCCTCGTCAGCTCCCGTTTGGAGCTCATAATGGGATGTGATGGGTTAGTACTGGTGTTCGCTTGAAGAAAAAAAGAGGAATGAACACGACATGTGCAAACTGCAGAAGAAAGACTTCCTAGAACCTGTCGAAGAGGTAAGAGAGAGTTAGTTGCGTGTGTGTGTGTGTGTGTGTGTGTGTGTGTGTGTATGGGTGTGGATAATGTATTGAACGTCAAAAGGTTGTGTAGTGTTGACATTTGCAAGGGTAAGTAAATAGAGCATGCGCGCTAAGTGGGGGAAAGCTCTGTGGTTGGATGATGGTAGTTGGCGTTACTGGGGCAACGACTCCACCGGTTCTCGCTTGAGTTTGTTTTGATCCCGAATTCCCTTTTTTGCAAGTTTCACCGACTCAAGAGGCGCTCACCGAAGAAGCCCATGACCATCAACTCATGCTGATTTGCCACTTCCGTCACCAATTCCCTGTTTTAATGGTCTTTGTGTTCTTCATGAACGCTTGGCCAGGTGTACGCTAGTCCACTTTCACTAGCTCTGAGGCACACCTGTCTTAGAATCCTTGTACCCCACGTATATCAACTTTAACCACAAAGATGGATGCTATTAAATCCACTTGCGAGTGACTACAAACTTGTTGAATCTTGAAATGCATTTCAGTTGTATGTTAATGGGCCGCATTGATGTTTTATCTCAACTCCAAGTCTCAAACTCGCGTCCATCTTCATGATACAAGCAGACAATTAATTCAGTCTACGACCTTGATCAAAACTCACTGTGCTTCACCTTTCCCTCAATCAAGAAGCTCCCTCTTGAGAAGTGCTCCCGGCCACGTTGTACCATTAGCCCGGTTGATCTCAAATTCAGCAACAACATTGAACCCTCGCTGCTCATAAAACCTATCACCGCATCAGTAACACATTGCCACAACTCAACTCCATCCCCCAATGAAACATAAAACTCACCTGACCAGCTTCCTCTCATTGCCGCTCCAAGCATCAAGATAAAGCACCTTCTTCCCCCTCTCAACCCCAAACTCCCCCGCCTTCTTCATCAACACCTCCCCGGCACCCTTCCGGAGCTCACCCGCCCGGTAATCCGTGACAAGCACATCCAGAAACACAAAGTCCTCCCTCCCCTCCAACTCAGCCCGGATGCCATCCACATGAAACTGTGCCTCGAGGTGACCAGGCACCCAATTCTCACGGACGAACGCGGCCCCGACGGAGAGGTACCGCGTGCCGTTATCATCGGTACGGAAGCGGAGACCGGCGTGCGGGGTCTCATCATCCGACCTGCTGACTTCGACTTCAGCGATGAAGATGCGTAGAGCCTCTCCTTCGCCTGTCAGCCGGTGCGTGCATGAGTCTCGGACGTCCTTGATAGTTTCTTCTGTGAATCCGTCCTTTTGTGAAAAGGGCGTCAAACCCCACATCCCGCTGCTGCCGATTGCCGTGAGGTGCGGCAGTGTTGAGTCGAATGCTTCTACGATGAACGCTGCGTCGTCTTCGGAGACGCCTGCGTCCCGTATTTGTATTTTTTCCATGCTGTGAATATAGTCTCGAGTGTACTTTTACGGTTCCTGGCTATTGTGCAAAGTAAATCCGAACAAGAGACAAGGGAGGTGAGGGGAAATACCAAAGTTCCTTATTGGCGAGCGGTGTCAATCCTAGATAGGCAATGCAGTTGGCGCTGTTTGATCCCGCAAACTCATTAGCAAAGTCAGCACCCTGCATGCCTACCCCAATTGCAGTTCAAATTCCGGAGTTAGATTTGATAATATCTTGTAAATATAAGCTACCCTACAGCCATGATCATGTCAAGAACCCGTCCAACCCCTCACCGCATCAACACCAAAGATACAAGAGCACAAAACATTTGAGAGACTTGTTTATTAACTACTTATCACCGTCTGCTATTCGCCACTTGAGAGCTGTGCAGCAGCTTGCTTGTCCGTAACTAACATGTTAATGGCGCGACGGTCTAGGCGTCGCAGGAGGCGTAGGGGGGTCGGTGTTGGGGGAAGGGGGCCCGTTGTTGCTCATTTTGACGGTTGGTAGAATGCGGTTGAGACTGAGAGAAAGATCTTGAGGTGCGTGGTAAGGGAAGATCGAAGAGTGATGTCCCTGTTGATGCTGGCTGAGGATTGTGTTTGGGAGGCACTGGTTCTCGGGTTTATATACGATTCTCAATGTCATAGTGAATTACCTTCACAAGGCTGGTTTTCGAGTGAATGTTGAGCAATCCGGTGGTTTCTATCATGGTCACTACGTTTGGTGAATCAATAGCAAGTGAACGACTGGAAATCCTCTCCTCAGCTTCGTAGTTAAGCAATCCAATTGTTGAAAAACAATATCTGGTAGAAACACGAGACAAAGTTAACAATTCAACTTCATCATCGAAACGGACGTGTCCTGACTTCAACGACTATTAGAAGCTTGCTAGCACGCTGGTGAGTCTTAAGGCCACAGGATAGAACAGCGCACTTGAGGATTGGGGTATCTCGCCCAACGAAGTCGTCGTGTTACAGAACTCCATATTACGGACAAACACACCTATGAACCCACCAAAGATTTTTGGCCGCTAATTGGTACGATTTAGCATACATCAGCATCAGTTGTCTTCCCGCATCTGACTCGATTAGGGAGGCACGAAACATGGCCCTCGTAAACGCGGTCTTGAAACTGCGACTTCTTTGTATGGGGAATACGAGAGTAACAGTTCAACCCAAAAAACCACGGGAATCAACCCATTTTCAGACTAGAAGCAGTCGGCAGCCTTTTGAAAGACCAATATCCTTGAATTCATAACCCCATCGGAGCTCTGGTTATACGGACCAATTGGACGTCTGAGCAATGTGCTAAGTAATCATCGCGTTTATAGACTGCGAAGTTGTGTCTTGAAGTCGTATGTTCTACTACGAGCCAAAAACTAAATATACCTGACACTTGCTATGTTCTTCGTATGTAGGTCCTTCTCAACCTCGAATTGATGTTGCACCATAGCAAACGGCAGCCCTCTGAAAGCATCTCGTCCTGAACCACATACCAAGTGACGTCAAACTGCGCGCGGTCTCAGATTGGTGGAGGGCTTTCGCGGCCTTCCATAAATGACCGACTGCAAATAGTCCATGGTGGGTAACGGATAATCCTCGTCAGCAAACCAAGGCCGTTATAAGAAACGGAAAAGTCAGGCAACCAGTGGATCCTCGTAACAAGGCTGGGCCGTACTTCACTCCCTCTCGGCATTACCGCGTTTTGCCACATTCTTTAAGACACCTGGTCTATTGTGTCAACGCCTCTCTGACCCCTGAATGACTGATTTCCCGTGTGGGACGCAACCGATATTGCGAAATATCGAGTCGCAAAGAGCTAATCTCGATGGCAGGGCAGGTAATATGCCAGGACCTCGCTAGTCCCGACGTCCGACCCCATCAGAGAAAGTTCCTCGAGATCGAAAACGATCATGAGTCGAGGGCATGAAAGTGGAGCCTGAGAGCCGAAGCCGTTTTCGCTCATGCTCGGACTGTTAGAGGTCGACTCGTTGTTAACGTCTCACGCCAAGGGGAGAGTTCCTAATCGAAATCTAGTCTCTCCGCTGAACTGCTCAAGTCTTCCGCAACACGACCTATCCTGGAAAACGGACTGGCCGGCATGGTATACCGCTTCTTTGTGCCCTTAAATCCCCCTGTGCCGCTGTATCAAGAAGCACGTGGGGCTAACCGTTGACTTGGGCATGCTCCGACGAAACTAGATCAAACTGTGACACAAGTCGGCCTGATGTATGAGCCGTGAATCACGTGGCAACCCTCATACTGTGGCAGCTATAGACGAATAGTCCTGGCCGTGAGAGAGGGGCCCTTGAGGATGTGAAAGCCCTTAGCAGGACCGCAACATGACCTGTCCTTGGCTAAGGCCAAGGAGTTGTCTGTGGCCTCCGGCAGTGCTGGAATTTTGCATCCAAGATCAGTGCCATATCTGATGTCTTCGTTAATGCGTCGAGGACGGTTTATTTCAAGCAATCTAGCCATGTTGTACAAGTTAGGCTCTTTGGGCGACAAATCAAGCTGATGGAAAGATCGCCAAACCAGACCAAGACATGCTGTATTTGGGCCCAGTTGGAAGTTCCAATCAAGCCCTTCCGGCAGTAATATGGACTTGTCGGGCAAAGATTGGGTTCCAACATGTGGGCTGGAGCCATCTCTGTGCGCAATCGCACGGCCTTCCATGCAAGACCCATGAAACCCCTCATTGATGCCGCCGCTAGCCACAGTCATGGGAACAGTCGTATCGTAGATTCGAGTGATAATTATCCTGTGGAAGTCACAGATTGTCCCATATCTCATCATGGCAAGACTGAGAGAAGTATTAGTGATGTAGCCAAACGAACAACTAATGACCTTGTGGGCTACTTCGGCGAGAAGAATCGTCAACTGTTGATTTTTCTTTTTTCTTTTTCGAAACATGGCGAAGCTCGTGCGGGCCGGTAATATACGTAGCTTCCACCTCAAATGTCTCACGAGCAGAACGGGCCCTTATATGGATACAGCGTCTGTTGGGCTATCCAAGCAGTTTTCCATCGACAAAGCTGGCTCCGATCGACACATGCCAGATATACCGATTTAGATCGCCTGAACCAGAATCTGCAAGGAGAGACTCAAACCGCCCTGGATTTGGTAGTATCGCGCGCGCCGGTGAGGTTCAGCGGGCTGTATGAGGACAACTCACTGGATTGGAAAAAGGCACAGCCTCCCGCCAGTCAGTGTACTAGGGGTTCAATTCATCCACACGGCTGGGAATGGGTTTTGGTCAGCCATATGTGTCTGTGAGTTGAGGTCCTATCAAGTCAGGAAGAGACAAACCGTCTGGGTCCATTTTTTGAAGAGATCGTGGACGAAAACATCAGCAGAAAGAGGCCGGGTAGTGCCCATGTATGGAGTGGGACCTGTTCAACACGGACTCAGTCCCTTCGTAGCTGCAGGACTGGCAGCATTCCTAATCACATTAGTGGAGGCATTGATTCGAAGACTGTGGTAGGCGAAGCTGGAAACTTGGGAACAATGTTGGTACTGCTTCGCAAGAGTTGTCCAGGCATATCGGCCTGCGGATAAGTTACGCAGTCACATCATTTTGGAAAAAATAAAAATGCTGCCGAAATCTTGACATTCCGTTACGTATATTAGCAAGGTCTTCAGAAAGACAACAAGGGAACGAAATACGAACCTCGGATTTCAAGTGGGAAAGAGAAGGCATGATCAAGATGCAAGGGCGTAGCGCATGGGCTTTTAGTGCCGGGTATTTCTGAGGAGCAAAGGTTGATAAGAAGGCTTGATTACATTGAGAACATGTTCGGCGTGGCAAAATCTAGCAAAGTAGCCAGTACAGAAGGCCAAGCATCTTCCAGGATAATGAAAGCGATGGCAGGATGGCGAGAACTGAAGTTGATGGGATTCAGTACATGATAGGCTGAGAAGATTCCTTGTGGTGTGGTCCGGGCCAAAGATTCCGTACTTGGAGAAATGCGGTGCTTGAAAATCGATGTTCGCTCCGAGTAAGCCGTAGTGGAGGGGAGTCTGATGAATGGCGTGAGACAGACGTTGGCGATAAAAGGCACATCCTTGGAAAATGGACAGATTGAAGCTGCAGGAATAGGTGAAACGAAATGAAAGTTCGTCGATTAAGGGCCGTGTGCCTCAAGCGTTGAAATTCCTCCGTGCTCTTCTTCAAGCAAGAGCGCAAGAATGCCAAATGCAGCAAGCTGTTAACCAGTTGAAGCAAACATGATGCAACAAAGGCTGAAGTTTCTATGCAAACAAAGAATCCAAGTCAAGGGCGGATGTGTCGATCTGACAATGCTGCAGTCGGAAGGTATTGCAGTATTCCTTGGAATGAGCCACTCTGATTTCCAATGAGCCTGATTTGTTCTGCCCCTCCAGCCTCGAGTGGAGAGCATGCGGAGAAAAGTTGATGGGGAGGTTAATGTGTTGGAGATCTGAGATGCGTCTTCTGCCATGTAGGTCCCACATCCTTGTCAGTGGTTCCCCTAGTGTAATAAGCAACTATTCTTATACTAGGTACCCTAGAGAATATTACCTTCACTTGTTACTTTGGCTGAGAGGTCTGGACCGACTCCAATCGGAATCGCAAGACTTGAAGCATCTGTGGGTTTTTGTTGGGTATGGATGAAGTTGAAGCGCCTTGCCTCGTATTATGTATGTGTAATGTAGTGTACGTAGTAGCCCATTCGGCTTCGAGGGAAGTTTGTCGGTACGTACCGAACTTGCAGAGACTGTCCTACGTTACTGCCCGTATAAGCTGGATTGTAATACCGATACAGTCAGTGCCAGCAGAGGGCGGTATTGGTAAATGGGAATGTGGGAAAGGCGGGAAGTTCCCCCTCCTCCTCCTTCCGCGGACGCCCTGGTCCACTTCCCTCTGATACTACTTCATAGTGTACGTACTCCTAGTATACTGCGTATACGAGTAGAACTTGCTGATAAGATAAGAGCTACACCCCCCCTTGCTGTCATGTGGGACAGTGGTTAGTGGTACCTTCATTGGCGCTGACAGTCACGCAATCCTACTGGTCATTTGTACCTGTCTTGCTGTACCTCCACTAACCGAATGACGTCTCGTTCCGACCCCACGCCCCGCTAATCCGTTGTCACTGCTGAAGCATCACATGAACCCCTCCATCGGACCCGTGAATCTTCATTTACTTGCGCCGCTGCAGAACTGCTGCTTCGCGGAGCTTCTTCCTACAATCTTCTGTAGCCCCCTTTTTCTGCATCTGATTCCACTTTAAACCAAGCACGCTATATACACATCTTTTGCTTCCCCTATTTCACCCCAAACCCAAAGCAGCCCCAGCAACTCGGCTGCCTCCCGCTTTCCGCCTTGAGCACCTTGCGGACCCCCCGCTGAGCCCGATCGCAGTCGCTGATCATGTCGCTCTTCACCGCGCAACTTCACCCAGGGCGGGCTCTGGGCTTTCTCGGTTTGCATGAACTCTTCCCTCTAGAGCGTACTCTCGGACGCTAACTCTATTGTTGTCGCCTAGTTCTCGGAGCATCCTTGCATGATGTCTTGACGCGACTGAAGGCTGAGCCGCAACGGTTTCCGCAACTCGATCTTGCCTACTCCCGCGAGCAGCCCGTTCAACAGCCCGTTACCCTGACGCTCCCTGCCAACGGCATTCGCCTACGCTTCGATGGTCCGGAACAGCGCCTGCGCTTGATAGAGGTCGTCGATTTCACAAAGAACCACGTCACGTTCAAGGACCGTGATCTGGTCAAGCCCGCAAACTCGCAAGGGCCACCATCCTCTCCTGTACCCGGAGAATCCAGCTCCGGCCCAACCTTCCGACACATCTACCACAGACTGCTTGGACCAACATACGGCGGAGAGTACATCCCACCAACCCCCGACGCCGCCGATAGCCTGGGTAACTACATACTCTCTTATCCGGGTGTGGCCTTTACCTTCCAACTGGCCGAATCCGCGTACTCCCCCAACAAGGACGTCGTGTCGCTTCTGTCCTCCGCTGCGAGCCAAGTAGCCACATCCATGGCCGTTTTTAGTGGAGATTCATGGGCTGAAGCACGCGAAAGTCTTTGGACAGAGGTCCTTCCGAGTATCAAGACGGTTCCTGTACTTCCAAGGGGGAAGGACGTTGTTCCTGACGAAATCTCGTTAGTAAAGATTCATGGCGGTGGCAAGCTCCAGCTGTTCCGGAAATGGACCAACTCATCAATTTGGATCATCCTGGGAGAAACTAGCCCGCAGGAACTGATTGCTGAGCTTGGCCCGCCCAACGCTACATATCGGAAGAACGACCAGAGAATGACAATACACAAGCTTCGGACGGCAAGCCACAGCCGCGCTCGGTCAAATGGTGGTGATCTCAGTCGCCCAGACGACTTGACTGATACTGACCAGTCGTCTGCAAATACGGGCTCAGATGATGACAATGACGAGGCTGTCGAGGAAGACATTGCTGGCAACGTTTCTGGAGAATGTTTCTACAATTACTTTTATTTAGGTTTTGACGTTCTTGTCTCGACACCTTCACCGCCGTCAAGAGCGCCGCCTGCTCAGAATGAGTCACAGGTGCCTCCTGGAAAACCCATAAAGTCAGAATCCCCAGACCGTCTCGTTGCTACGAAGTTGGTGCTTCATGGCAACGTGCCCGGATCATACGAATTCAACCGACATCGCCGTTGTCGATGGGAAGTTAGCTATCTCGAGGACGGCCCGCAAGGGGCAACGGCAGATTCGGAGACCAAATTCAGTGAGATCAAGGACAGGCTGAACGAACGGTGGAGCGGCGCATATCCAGACGGAGATTCGAAGGCCCCTCAAAGAGGCATGGTCCTTAACAGGGGATGGGGGGATAGCCCCGGCAGCAGCTGCGAATTTCTTGGAGGGTGGGAGGATAGCGGTGCCAAGAGGCTGGACGGAAGCGACGATTCAACAACTACTCTATTTGGATTCCCGGGGCTCGTGTTTGAGGTGTTAAAGAACGATCATGTTAATACTGTCACTGTGTTTTAGGTTTGGAATTGGGCATTAAACCTGGGGTCAGGTGGCATGGCGATAATGTAGCCAGTACTGTTGCGGCCATGGAGGCAAGTTGTTGGCCGGGGAGACGAGGCTTCGTGTTGACTACGATATCCCTACAAGTAAGATGGGGGGGTTATGCTCAAATCCAACATATCTCTCTCCAGACGCCACCACCTCCTTTTTTAGCCTCATTCCTGGGAGTGCCCTCCAACTCAACATGGAACAAATATGACGTGGCAGCGAAAAGACACTCCGTTGGCATAGCTTCTTCCCCCCCCAATCCACTCTGCAATAATCCGTCTGAATTTGCATTTATGCAAGACAGACATGGGATATTTCAGCTATGTCCTCGCTTTACTTTTGTCTGCCTGACTCGAGGCTATGTTTCGGGAACCAAGGGCATTTGATACAAGCACCTACCATGTTGTAAAGCTCCAACAGCTCCGGGTAGGCCGTACAGATGGAGTAGCTCCAAAAAGCTGTAGCAAAAACAATAAATATTAGAGCTCAAGACCTCCTCCACCAGTTCGGCAACAGGCAGGATAGAACAGTCGTCTTTTCTTTTTTTTCAGAATACCCAGAGATACCCAAGAGATACCCCCCCAATCCCCCCAAATTCGCATTATTCACAATGAAGACTCCTCCAGCAGCTCAGAACGCCAAGCAGAACGCGCTGGCACTTAAACGTTACTTGCCTCGCAAGCTCAGGGAGGCGGCCGAGGACGAGGCCGAGGTGGAGAAGGGCGTCGGCCACGACTTGATCATCTACAGCTTCGACCGTCCCAACGGCCAGTACGGCTACACGCCCTTTACGATTCAGCTGCGCCTCCGCCTGCGCCATGCCGGAATCCAGCACAAGGACCGCGCCGCCAACATCTTCCAGGCTCCCAAGCAGCGGGTGCCCTACGTCAAGCTCGCGGACTCGGACGAGCTCGTCGGCGAGTCCCAGTTCATCATCAAGCGCCTGGTGCAGACGGGCAAGCTGCCCGACCTGAACAAGGAGCTCGCTCCTGCGGACCTGGCCAAGGATGCTTGCATCCGTGCCATGCTGGAGGACCGCGCCTACTTCCTCGTTGTAAGCAGAAAAAAAAAAGAAGCCGCCGGATTTTTGGTGATTTGGAGGACGCAGGGAAAAAACGCTAACACGGTGATGACTATATAGCTGTACGAGAGATGGCGCGGCCAGTACCAGCAGATGTGGAATGACGGCCCCTTTAGCCACTTTGTCTGGGGCGCGAAGCACATCTCGACCCAGGTCGCGCGCGGCTACGTCAACTCCCAGCTCTACATGCAGGGCGTCGGCCGCTACACCGACGACGAGGTCAAGAACTTCGCCACGGACGTCACCATGTCCCTCAACGGCTTCTGCGAGACGGCCTTGTCTAAGCTGTCCCTCGACTCTCGCGAGTCCCGTGAGCCCTTCTGGATCCTGGGTGGTCAGCGACCTTCCGAGGCCGACTTTGTCGCCTTTGGCAACCTGGCGACCATCCTCGGCACCTCTGTGTAAGTTGTCCCAAGTGTGTGACTTGAAGACGAGAGTTTCCCGGGTGGACAGTAAAGGGAAAGAATAAATGAAGGACAAAAAGGCTAACAGCGACTGCAGGAACCCTGTTCACGCGGCTCTCATCCGCGAGAAGCCGGCCTTGGTTGAGTATGTTGGACGAATTCACGAGCGTTTCTTCTCTGAGTACAAGTCCCCTGTTCACTCTTAAACTGGTTTAGGGTGGGAATACCCCGATACCCCCAAGACACCCTATGAAGAGACAAGAAGAATGGTTGCGCTGTCATGAATTTGATGTTTGAAATGAGGAGGGTCCGAGAATACGGAATGGGCTCTGGCTGTTGATTCCTGTATTGATTTTTTTCTTCCTTCATTTTTTGCTCCTGGGACTCGCACAAAACGGGAGGGTCAGGGAAGGGAAAGCTTTTGCTACCAGGGTCAAGACTATTGACGCTGGCGGCATGGTGATCCTTTATGAAGAGCAGGACAAGGTACCTAACTTGAGTTTCTGGTCTTCCCTAGAGCTTAATTACCTGGACCGCCCAATGCAAATTGTTTTTTTTTTTTTTATCATCTTTGTGGATAATGTGTGTCAGTGTTGGTCAGCAGTATAAAAAAAATAAAAAAAAAAAAACCAGTAAAAAAAGAGTGAGTTTGTTGATCGTACGATCTACACCAAATAACCAAAAACCACGAAATGCATAAAGTGAGGCGTGACTAGTTTGACAAGTCGGGAAGGAGAGCAGCAAAAGTTATTATTTCAGACGCCAATCAAATGGGGAGTTCGCCAAGCTGTAAGTTGAAAATGTCGGGCATGTCGAAAACCGGGGAGACCCTTTAAGGTGCGATGGCGGTCTGATCTGCCTCGTTAGCGCGAATCGGGCCCCGGTTATTTATACGTAGAAACTGGGTTTAGTGCATTCAACAGCCTGTTTGAAGACGTTGGTCGTCGAATGGGTGCCCAACAATAAGCAAAGGAAAGGGAAAAAAAATAGTACCCTTTTGTTCTTTGTTGCTGATTGCTTGCTTGTTTGAGGTACGTACCCCACCCCCCATCCCGTTGGACTGCCGGCGTCGTTCTCCACCAGTCTCCACTGAAGGGTACCGGAGGGTTGGTATAATCCGGTCCGACGATTACCGAATTTAGCGGAGCCCATGTACTGCAACACCAATATTCACTGTCTATATACATACTATATCGTGTGGAGTTTGCGTGTCGCAATACATAGTAAAGGGTGGGGAAGACAAATTAGCGCGGGTCGGCTGTAACGCCATTGCAGAGAGAAGGGAGAGGGAGCTTTGATGGCTGGGGTCCTGACGTGACTTGGCTTGACTGACTGACTGACTGACTGACTTACTGCTGTCGTCTGGCCTTGTCTGTGTGTTCAACTGTTGGCGCTGCCGCCACGATCCCCGGCACCGAGATCGACGCCAACTTCTTCTTGCTCAGCTGGCACATGTCAATGCCCTGTTTCGGCTCGGACGAATCACCACTTCTTTCCTGCCAAAAAAATCAATCTTGGACACCTTCTCGTACCTTCACATGCGGTACTTGCCTACTCTGACTGTCTTGCATCTTTCCCCCCTTTGCGTCACTCAGAGTACGATGGCCGTTACGGCCTGCTAACGTTCCTCTTTTTATTATCTCTTATTCTTTTACACTATTTCTCTCTATCGTAATATTTTATCCTCCCCCCCTCTCTGTCTACTGTGCATTCACTACTTGACCGCACCGCACGATAGGGAGGCGACAAAAAACGACATCATCAAAACCGACGGCTTTAATCCTCCGTCGACCCATATCCCTGCGACGGCCATGCGAGCATCCTCGCCGCAATGACGGAGAAAGATGCCGCCCAGCAGCGTGCCGTTCTCACGAGGAAGTTGAGCCCCCTTTCGATGCCCGGCGATAGGGGAAGCAGCAGGGGTAGTTACGAGACGGGCGAATCGAGCGCGACCGGGAGTCTCCTCAACGACACGACGCTTTTGCCTTCCCCCGACGAGTCGAGCGCCCGCCGCCCAACATCCAACTCATCAGGTCCCAGAGATGCAGAGTATACGAGCGGTTATATCGGGAGGGATACGAGGAAGCAGAGAACCCCGAGGCATCGTTCCAACGGTGGCTTCTTGCTGCAGGATGCTATCCCCATCGATGACGACTCTGAGGGGGCTCAGCAGGTCCGCCGGCGACATTCACGCAACCCACCACCTAGCCGCAGGACGAAAGAGTCCGGGAGGACGTCAGATAGATCAGCATCCAGCGCTGGTCGCGATGCCGACCTGAGGCTCACCGAGCTTGACAGCCCGCCAAGACGGCACGACGACTCCTCGCCCACGCAGCCCACACATAATCTGACCGTTAGGAAGCGGGACGCGGTGAATGGCAGGCCTGTGACGGGGGCGACATCTGTGCCGCCCGCTTCAAGCAGCCAGCCGCTTGATATCGATTCGGCGCAGATTGTCCACATGGCTCTGAATCTGAGCGAGTCGCGGAGACAGGCGTCGCGAAGGATGGCACCGCAAGCTGTGCCGACCCTCGCGCAGCTTCCCGATGCCACTACGGGCCCAAACCTTAAAAGTCATTATCAACAACAGAGAAGAATATCACGAGCCAGGTCCCCGGGGCCTGAAAAGGCGCTCACACCGCGATTGCCGTCCTCCAGCATACTTAGTAGCCCGCTGCAGGCATCATTTGATATGAGTCGCGAGGGCACCTTTCGCAACCATTTTACTACTTCAACTCTTGCTAGGGCGCAGAAGGCGAAGGAGCACCTCGAGCTCATGGCGCAATACAGACGCCTACTAGAGCTGGTGCCACCTATCCAACCACACCACTCGAGCCGGCCGACGACGGCTAGCCCCCCGCCGTCTTCAGGGGGAATCACCAAAACTGCGACATATGGCAGTTCTGACGGTAGTGTGCGGCTCGGGCGACAGTACAACCCGCTGCAGTACATCCGAAACAGAAAGGTTCGTGCGCGAGAACGCATGGCTATTGATGGAGAGGCACAGGGCTTTGGGGATATCATGAAAGTAACCGACTGGGTCGACGAAGTGGCTAAATGGGCTGCCACTGGTCAAACGAGCGCAGATGGCTGCACGTTACCGCCTTTTGCCGATGCGGACTCTTCCGAGCGGCAGCGCGCCCTCCAGCTGGCAGCGAATGCCAACAAACCAAGAAGGCCACGGCTAGACTGGTTCGTCGATCCTGCGGACTTGCTCGCCGATGCCTACTGGCTGGAACAAGATCACCACAAACATTTGATTGAGGACCGGCACTGGCGCAAAATATTCCCCCCTACCTCCGATATCTACAGACCGCTATCGAGGCAGAACGCGGAACACGGCAGTGAATCCGGCCAGACGCCGGGGCGCAAAGAGAACGAGGAAACGGAACCGGCCGTCGACCCAAAAACCGGCAACCCAAGGCTGGCCAAGTCGGACACGGATCACTCCCACTCCAGCAGCACTCGTGATCGTGCACGCCAGAAGCTTCACGATCTTACAGGTCACCACCATCGCCACAGCGCCTCGGTCCATAGTCATCATGACTATCTTCGTCTGGGCAAGTCATCCTTCTCGGATTTGTCAGACAGCGAGAATGAGAAGAAGCCAAAGATGGAGAGGAGAAACCGCACGGGCACGTTGACGAGCAGTCACCAAGATATTTTGGAGAAGCAGATGCTTGAGATGATTGCCAAAGAAGCAAGAGACAAGGGCATCAGTAAGCCGAACACCTCGGGATGGATGACCCCTGAGAGAGACATAGGAACATTGTCGCACCCTCAATCCCGTCAACACAGTCGTAAGCCGTCTATCGCCGAGGTCAGCGAGTCTGACGAGAGGAAAAGTAAGGAGAAGCTTAGGAAGACGCCTACCTATGTTCAGCGCCCTGGACGACCTAGCCTGGAGATTCCCGTGCCTGGAAAGAGGAGCTCCTTTGACGTCGACTCATCCCTCCCCAACTCCCCCGACGCCACCAGTCGCGGAGATCCATTCATACCTGCACTCGGCGGAGATCTGTCGCCAGGGTCTAGTCGTGCCAACTCACCAACACGGAACCCGTTTTCGAAAGTCAAGCATATCTTCCGTGAGCGAAGCAAGGAAAGAGGGAGAGAACGTATTTCAGAGGAGCGTTCTAGTGCCGAAGATTTCACCAGCAACCCGAAGACACCACTGGACGGGTCGCCAGAGTCTTCCGGGGAACGGAGAAGATCGTCCGACAGGCGAGGATTGTCCAAGAGTCCGTCCCGGAAATTCTCGCAGCGCCACACTGGAGAGAGCCACAAATCACACCGCAGTGTCAACAGCATCAAACTTCGCAGCGATGACCCAAGTGTCCGCGGAATCTTCAAGGGGGCACGGATCGACAATGTCATCCGTGGTGGGGTATCGAAACTGGGTGATCTCATCTGGCGTAAGGACTCAGATAACGGCGACGGACCGTCAGAGGCGGAGGGTACGACGACGGACGAATCAGACACGGAGCAGAGGGGCAGGAGAAGAGGCGAGACACCACTCTCGAGGACCGCATCTATTCGCCAGCAGAACACCAAGAATTACTTGGATATCATGCCGACTTTCCAACCTACTTCTCATGAGAGGTTAAAGACCGTAGAGAGTGATCCGGCCAGCCCGCCGAATGTCTCGTTACGGCCACCAAGCCGTAAGTCGCCTCGGTTTGATAGGCTCAAGCCGCCACGCATCGACATTCTAAGCGCGTCACCAACCTCGTCGCCTGGATCCACCAGACACCTATCAGACCTCTCCGAAGGCGAACCGGGATCTGCCGCTCACGAAGGGGTGAAGGAGGCGGATAAACGCCTCAACAGTATCATTGGTATCCCACATGGGTTTTCTCCCGATAACCGTCCGTTAGCGTCACCCCAGCGCAACCGACACTGGTCGATTTCCGACCACAGCCCAGCGCCTGATCAAGCGCCGATGTCGAAGCGAGAAGTCGCTCGACTGCGTGCTCTGATTCTCAGCTCAGGCATCAAGGCCATGGAGATTGCACGTCGCGCCGATGAGCCGCACTTTGTATTCGCAAGCAAACCACGCCCGTCGCGAACGGATAAGCAAGTTGCAAATGTCTTTTGGCCCGAAGTTGCCAAGCTCAGCCCCGACCCGGCCAGCCTCCACAATACCGCCGTACCACAGACGGAGCTGTATCAGTTCGCCGCCAAGACGCTCGGGACCTCCATACAGTGCTCCGGCCAGGAGTGGCAGAAGACGGCGGACCTCTTCGTCTCGGAAACGATCCCCTCGCTGCACCGCAGAGTGGAGGACGTTCGCCGGCGCGTGGCGACAGACCTCTCGGCCATGACGCGGGCGGCAGCCGATGAGGCAGACGAGACGAGCCGCGACCTGACGTTGGGTCAGAGGCTGAAGATCAAGCACACGCTTGACGTTATCGAGACGATGATGCGGCGGCGCAGGCGTAGGTTCCGCTGGGTTCGCCGCGCCATGTGGCTCGCGGTCGAATGGGTGCTTGTCGGCTTCATGTGGTACGTGTGGTTTGTCGTCATGATCCTGCGCGTGTTCTGGGGTGTCGGACAGGGCGCCGTCAGGGCTGTGAGGTGGTTGCTGTGGTTGTGAGGGGGTGTTTCTTTACAGGTATTACCCCTGGAACCCCTGAGTTGTCTCTTATTTCCACCATTTATACCGACCCGTCATTACCATGCATAGCAAACGGAGCAAAACTGCATCTCATCAGATTGCGCGTTTCGGAGTCACAGCAAGCCTGTGTTTCGTTGGGTTGAAAACATATTTCATTGGATAAAAAGAGGAGGATAAGAGCCGTGGAAGAAGGAGAGAGAGAGAGAGAGAGTGAGTGAGAAGTACAGAGTTGATGATACCCGCTGGTGGAGGGGCGTGGGGGGAATAAAAAGAAGAAGGAGAAGGCCTTGACTTCTTCTGGGGAGAGGAAGATTATTCGCCGCCTCATTTTTGGCTCGCTTGGCTCGTTTGTACGTATTAAAACCAACATTTATACTTTAGCCCTCCAAGTTTTCCGTTTCTCGTCTATTATGGGGCGGACTTGGGGAGGTAAGAGACCTGTCTGGAGGTTACATATTTATAATGATATATATATATTTATCTTTTCCCCATTGGATGAGTTTGGCTTGATGGTTTGAGTTTTGTGTGTTTCTGTCAGTGTATATGAAAGTGGTGAGGTTGTTGAGGCTTAATGCCACGATGTATATATCGTGTGATTGTCTTGGCTATTTGGGCTTGGACTGTCTTTTACATTGGTTACTACCTAGTTATATTATGCCATGCCATGCCCTCCCTGCCTTGCTCAATTGCTGGATAAGAGTGGGAGTCAAATATCGAGTTCCAAGCTACTACGACATGATTTGAACAGCAAGTTTCTTAGTGAGGAAGACGCACACCTCCTCGTCACCCACTTGTTGTCTCACCACTTATCAATGCACCAGACAAAGACCGACAATGATAGAAACTGCACTAAACGAACAAAAGTAGTATTAATCAGTTCTAGCAGGGCATATACTTTTTTCAATAAAAGACATCTAGTCTATACCAGTGCCTCTGACTCCCCTGCGTAACAAGCTGAAGTGAACAACAGCGTGAGGACCAAAGGGATAAAAAGAGAGATGACGCAAAAAAAGAAAAAAAAAAAAAAAAAAAAAAACCGAAATCGGGTCCATGCCTCCAAAATGGCCCGCGGCCAAACTAGTATGTGAATGTGTGTGTTTGTGTGTGTGTGTGGATCGCCGTCCGACACGATGGAGCAAAAGCAGAGGGCCCCAGCAATGCGGCTTTTGGCGCATTTGCAGGACCGACAAAACCAAAAGTTGCAAGAAGAAATTAAAGAAACAACCCGGCTTTACTCGATTCTCTTCTTGCCCTCCTCGGCATTGAGATACCGTGCCGTGCTGAGCCCGCGTTCGTGACGGGCGACAAAGGATCCCAAAACAGAATCCTTGCGGGCCTTGGACATGTGCTCGTTGTAACCCTCAAAAGCCCACGGCCTGGGGTTCAGCTTGGGCCAGTTTACCTGGGACGGAAGTTAGTTGGGTAAAAGTTCTGCGAGAAACGAGACAAAACTTACGTAGAGCATGCCGTGGCCAAAGATGAAGCTGGCGCTCCATGCGGCCACCGCCAGCCAGAAGAGGATGAATAGACGGATGGAAAGGACGGCCTCGGTCTTGGTGAAGAGGGCGACGAGGACGAGGAAGATGCTGAAGGCGAGGAGGTAGGGGACAGATTGGATGAGGATGGGGCGACGGTCGGCAAAGATGAGCGAGTTGCCAATGTTGGCGGTGCCCGGCAGGTAGACGCCAAGGAAGAGGTCGTACGAGTCCTGGCGGGGTCCGTCGAGGAAGTTGTTCTTGAAGTAACGGGTAATGCCGATGCGGGCGTCCTGGAGAGCGCCCATCTTGGTGCGGACGCCCGTACGGGTGACGTCCGTCTTCATGGCTCCGGTGCCCGAGTAGGAGCACGAGACGACGTCGGCGTTGTCGGCCCAGAGGTTACGGAACATGTGCTCAAAGGCCGGGTCCTCGTCGCGGAAGGAGGAGCCGCGGGCCATGAGTCCCATCTCCTCAAAGATGCGGTCGAGCATATGGCGCGCGAACATGGACTGGACGACGTTTGTGCGGTCGAGGCAGTCCATGCAATTCGTGCGCATGACGCTGGTCTGGTAGCTGCGCGGCTCGAGGCGGCCGTCGTTGGCGCCTGGCATGTCAACGGCGCGGAAGTACCCCTGGGCGTCGAGCGCCTCCTTGAGCTTCTCGATGAGGGCGTAAGCGCGGTGCATCTTCATGCCCTTGGTCTCGTGGTGGTAGTCGAAGTAGATGTAGTGTAGGCGGTCGAACTGGACGGCGCGCTTCTCAGGCTGGATTGTTGTGAACTTTTCCTCCGTGATGCGGTCAGCCTCCGTCCTCTCCTTTGGAGAGGAAACGAGCTTCTCAACCATCTGCTCGTACGAGTTCTTGACACGCTGCTCGCGGCCGCTCTGGTTGACGAGGTTGATGAGATAGTTGTCGCCGTAGAGACGAATCTGCTCCTCAAAGTGTGCCTTCGCCGCAGGGAGAGCGCTGTCGATGCCTCGAACCTGAAGCTTGGGGACGTAGCGCAAGCTGTTGATCTCGGCCCAGTAGGTGGGCACACTGCCTCGGGTCTGGACGTACGACATGATCTGCGTCTCCTTGCCGTCCGCGCCGTATTTCCCGCTCTGCATATCGCTGCTGCCGGCGAAGCCACCCATGCCGCTGCCCGAATCGTTGAAGATGGTGATCTGTTCCGTCTCGTTGTAGTTGGCGGCGTGGCCCTCGTCATCGACACCTCGGGTGAAGTATCTGGTTCCGCCGCGGTGTCTCGATCTACGGGAGATGAGGGTGACGGTCACGGGTGTTCCCCTGAAGGTCGTGGGCTTGATCTCCAGCATGCCAAAGATGACAGGCAGGATGAAGGGATCGGCACCAGGCTGGGGACCAGCATGGCCTCTGGCGCCCCGCGTGCGGAAGTCGATCAAGTCGGACTGGATGAAGCGGTTGAAGAAGAAACGGTCGTCGGCGCGCTGCCAGAGCGGGAGGGAAGTGTCGGCAGAAGCTTGGCGTTGGAAGGAGTTTGTGAGGTCGAAAGAGTAGGAGAAGTACATGGGGCCATTCTTCATGAAGGTGTCGAGCAGGCCGATGAAGGTATCCTCGTCAGGGTCGCGAATCTGGCGCTCGCGCATGGGCAGGATCTCGGTGGTGACGACCTTGTAGACCATGTGGCCCTTGAGGCGGCCCATGGGCTGGGCCTTTGTGATTACAATGACATATTTGTCTGTTCAAAATTCACCCGGTCAGCGCAAGATTCCTTCGTACTTCGTAAGCGCCTATTTGGAGGGGTAGAAACTCACCAAGTCTAAGCTGGATGATGCCCAGAATACCAGCGATGCTGGTGACACGGGTGACTCTCTTGCTCAGGCCGGCATCGCCGAGGCGCAAATCTCCGGTCGGACGGTCGATTACGAGAGCCGGAGCATCGGGAGAGGAGGGAGAAGTAAAGGTGTAAGAATCGGGCGCGACCTTGACGTTGATATCGCGGTAGGGGAGAGTAGGCGCCATGATGACGACGGCAACAGGGGGGAGACTCGAAAGGAAGGAGAAGAAGAAGGGTTAAGAATGGCAAAAAAGACAAGGGAGGCAAATAAAAGAGAGTGAATAGATTAAGAAGTCGGCAGTCTTGATTGCCCTGATGGTCGGTCAACGAGGGGAGGCGTTGTCGGCGATCGCAAAGAGCTGAGCCGTGAGCCTTGAGGACAGCTTGAGGCTTTGGTTGGTTGGCCAAGTACGGATAGTGAGGGCCGATAAAAAAGTGGCTGTCGTCACTTTGCAGGCGCAGCTTACCTGTTGTTCAGGGTACTTTTCAGGGTACTGGGGCTGGGGCTGCTGGAGCTGGTATGGAAACAGTGGACTTAGCGCTTGCTCTTACCTGCTGCTCTCCTGCCGTACCTCAGTTACAGTATCAAGAAATGCGCTGCACTGACGCTGTTAGTGGACTTGAGTCGGGGTTCTGGAGCTGGAACTCCGGCTTGTGATAGAGGGGCACGGGCCAGGGAAGGGAGCTATGGACCAGTGAAACGGCAGCAGAGGACTCGGCAAACGCAAGGATTACATAACACAGCTTGCTTTCCTTCTGTGACTCTAGCGCAGCTTCAAGTCGCTGGGTCTACGGTACGTATCTGGAATGATGTTATGGGTAGTAGCTTCAAGGAGGCCGCGGGCCAACTTTGCTTAGGTAACCCAACATTGGTCCTCTCTCCAGGCGGCGCTATGCTATCGAACGTCTGCGACAACCCACTGTCGTGAATGACACCCTTTAGTACCTAAGTACCGTCACCCCATTCCCACGCAGAAAGGTACCTCTTCTGCAGTGCGAACAACACTACATCTACTACGTAGGCAAAGGTCAGCAGAGCAAGCCGCCAGTGGACGCCAGGGGAGACTTATCGGGGTCACTGCGCACCCCGTCACAGCAGCTACCTCACTGTTTCCCACCCCCGAAAAGAAGGAAAAAGAAAAAGGTCCCCATCTCATTTGCTCTACCCTGCACCATCGATTACCGCCACGAGGCCCATACCTACCCAACTACGTATACACACACACATACAGTAACTGAGGTGCATAGTGTATTGCCTCCCAAGCACACAAGGTCCCCTAGCACGCACCCCCCCAAAAAAGGCCTGACGTGTGCTTAGTATCCGCCCAGCCATTCATCATTGAGCTTCATCGCCCCCCAAGGCAGTCACATTATTCCAGGACCCGATTAACCATCAACTCTCTCTCTCTTTCCCGCTACTACCGCTTTCCACTACACGCCTCGTCCAACCCCCCGCCGCGCAATCACGATTTCGATCCACGACCAGGCTGCTGTTTTGCGACCGACTTTGCTCAACTCTGTCTGTCCGTCTTACCTCCATCGCCCACTATCCTCCATTTCTATCTAGACGATCTTCCCATCTTCGCCAACCATTCCATCCAGCGACTGTCGATAGAGCGGCCCCCCCCAGTTCGTTCCCGTCCGTCTGCGAGGCCCGTCCAACTTGAAGCTTTCCGCAACAACCCGCTTTCTCCCAACAATCCTCCACATTACTCAACATGGCAGCTCGAGGCCCTGGTGCTCCCGGCGCTCGCGGAATGAACACGCGATTTGCGCAGTTCAAGCTCGTCTTGCTTGGTATTTTTTTGTCTCCGCCACATCTTTTGAGTTGAATCAACTGGCTAACTGTGACGATGCAGGCGAGTCCGCTGTTGGAAAGGTACCTCGCTCGGAGCTTGCCACTGTACTGTCCGTCGTGCTAACGTGTCCCCTCTCTTTCCCAGAGTTCGATCGTTCTGCGATTCGTTAAGGTATGTGATCATCGTCGATTCCCGCATCTCCCGGGGAAAATCATCCAACTGATCATGTCTCGTCGCAGGACCAATTTGACTCTTACCGTGAATCTACCATCGGTGCCGCTTTCTTGACGCAGACCATTTCTCTTGACGAGAACACTACAGTCAAGTTCGAAATCTGGGATACCGCCGGTCAGGAGCGTTACAAGTCGCTCGCACCCATGTACTACAGAAACGCCAACTGCGCCGTTGTCGTCTATGATATCACCCAGGCTGTACGCTACACGGTATCCGAAATGTGGTGTTCGAAAGGCTAACAAATTTGTAGGCGTCGCTGGACAAGGCGAAGGCTTGGGTTAAGGAGCTGCAAAGACAAGCGAACGAAAACATCATCATCGCCCTCGCCGGTAACAAGCTGGATTTGGTCAACGAGCAACCCGATAAGCGAGCGGTTCCCACAGCAGATGCCGAGGCTTACGCGCGCGAGGCCGGACTTCTCTTCTTCGAGACATCGGCAAAGACGGCCGAGAACGTCAAGGATCTCTTTACGGCCATCGCCAAGAAGCTGCCGCTTGACCAGGCCGGCCCTAGGCATGCCCGACCAGGCCAGCGACAGGGCGTCAGTCTCCAGCCCGAGACGGCTGGCAGCAACGTCAGTGGGCCATGCAGCTGCTAGATGAGAACAACACAAGGGACATCACATATCAGGCGAGCCATGAGAACCGGCGAGAGAAGGACACTTTTTTTTTTTTTTTTTATCTATCGAAACGAGGCAGACTCCAGCCGGCAGACTGCCCAAGATGACCCGCCGACCAAATACCACAGACCAGACGAGCACGTAAACGATGGCGCTTTGGTTGGATGAGGTCGGACAGCGTCGTCTCACACCCTACACCAAGAGAGGGTATGCCAGGCCCAGCTTTTTAATATCAACAGTACGTTTTTCAAGGGTGTGGTTTACATTTCGTGTCTTCATTGCGCTGGTCATTCGGTTGTGGCAAACTCGGGTGTAGGGACAGACCTGGAACAAGACGGTGTACGGGAATGGATTCATTTTTTTTTTTTTTTAACCACTGGGGGGAAGCATCCTGCAGCATTTTTCTGATGTACAGTATGCAATAGAGGCAACTGTTTTACGGATGGTTGTTCGTATCATCTTTTTTTGAGTTGTACGTGAGACGTGTTCTTGAGTCGGGTATACAAAGGGCATATGTGAATATGACAGCGACTGTTACAGTATGAGAGCCAAGTGACGTAGCAAGGTGAGGTATTTTGAGCTGAGGTGTGAAGAGGATGAAATGTGACTTTGGGGAGATGTTTATAAGATTGAAGCTTGAAAAGGAGGAGAGAATAAGAAGAAGGTAGAAAATAAATAAGTTTATGTCGAATACATGCAAATATTTCATGTTTTATCAATTACAATTCTTTTTTATTTTATTTTATTTTCCTTCTTTTTTCTTGCTCAGCACCTCTTCTCAAAATACTGGAGCTCTATAGTCCGCTGGTCCAGTGACGTGAGCCACTGTTCATCCCGGTTCCTGCCGTCGGCCTACCACTGCGACGCGGCTGGAAAGCTCGCCCAGTTTTAGCCGAACTTTTCCCTGAGCTTTTTTGTGCCTGGATTCCATCACCTCCCTCCACCTCAACACCTCGACATCATCCCCCTCCCCAATTCCGCCTTGTCGGCCCATTGCATCCCCTCATGTTGCGAACGTCGATTCGATCCGTGAGGGTGCTCGGCCACAGGCCTGCGGCAGCCGTCATTGGCCGCCAATGGCAGGCCGCCGCCGTCAGCCGGAGGCATTTTGCCGACGAGAAGAAGCCCGAAGCACCCAAACCACCTGTCCTGCCGGCATCAGAAACCATCACCGCTGAGAAGAGCGCCGCTCCCGAGGTCGCCGCCGCCGAGCCGACGATCCCCAAGGAGGAGGTTCCTCTCACTCCCCCGACACCCAACACCGAGGCCGTTGTGCCTCCTCCGCCCCAGACGCCCGCTGCCGCCGCTCCCAAGAAGAAGGGTTTCTTCCGCCGATTGAGAAACCTCGTCTTGACCCTCGCCATCCTCGGCGCTGTCGGTTTCGGTGGCGGTGTCTGGTACTCTCGTATCAACGACAACTTCCACGACTTCTTTACCGCCTATGTTCCCTTTGGCGAGCAGGCTGTCCTCTACCTTGAGGAGATGGACTTCCGCAAGCGATTTCCCAACCTCTCCAACAAGATCAAGCCGAGAGATACTGGTAACCAGGTCAATGTTCCCGCCCAGAGCGGTGCCTCCTGGAGAGTAGCCGACAGCGGCGAGCCTGCCGGCCGTCAGTCCAACGCGGTCGAGAAGGCTCAAGCCGCCAAGGTTGTCGCCGTCAAGGAGGAGCAGAAGAAGCCCGTCGAGAAGGTCAAGGCTCCCGAGCCCGCCAAGCCCAAGTCCAAGCCCGCGCCTGTCGTCGAGGCCAAGCCTGTCACGACCAAGGAGGAGACTACCGAGTTCAAGGCCCCCGAGGTCAACGAGCCTTCGCGCTTCCCTCCGATTGCCCCCATCGACGCCCTCAAGATTGAAGACGCGACGGAGCCGGTTGTGCAGGATCTTGTTCACATGCTCAACGACATCATCACCGTTATCAACGCTGACAAGGCCCACGGTCGCTACTCTCCTACCATCACCAAGGCTAAGAACGAGCTGAGCAAGGTCGGAAGCAAGATCAAGGCCATCAAGTCCTCGGTCGAGGAGAAGGCTGCTTCCGAGGTCCAGGCCAAGGTTGCCGACTTTGACAAGGCCGCCAACGATCTGATTGCCCGCGTCGAGGCCGCCATGGTCGCCCAGGAGGGTCAGTTCAGGAAGGAGTTTGAGGACGAGATGCAGAAGGTCAAGGAGAGCTACGACGCGCGCGTCAAGCTTCTGCTGGAGCGTGAGAAGCAGCTCAACGAGGAGCGTCTCAACAACCAGCTGCTGGAGCAGGCTCTCGCCCTGAAGAAGGAGTTCGTCGCCGAGGTCCAGAACCACGTCGAGTCTGAGCGTGAGGGTCGTCTTGGCAAGCTGGACAAGCTGTCGGCGGCCGTGGCCGAGCTTGAGAAGCTCACCACTGGATGGAACGAGGTTGTTGACACCAACCTGCGCACCCAGCAGCTGCACGTGGCCGTGGATGCCGTTCGTGCCAGCCTCGAGAACGCCACTAACCCCCGTCCCTTCACCCGCGAGCTCGTCGCTCTCAAGGAGATTGCGGCTGACGACCCGGTCGTCAACGCCGCCATTGCGTCCATTAACCCCTCTGCCTACCAGCGCGGCCTGGCCAACGCTGCGCAGCTCATTGACAGATTCCGGATAGTCGCCAACGAGGTGCGCAAGGCCTCGCTGCTGCCTGAAGAGGCCGGTGTTGCTAGCCACGCGTCGAGCTACCTTCTCAGCAAGGTCATGTTCAAGAAGCAGGGTCTGGCCGACGGCAACGACGTCGAGAGCATCCTGACACGCACCCAGACGCTTTTGGAGGAGGGCAACCTGGACGCTGCGGCCCGTGAGATGAACGGTCTGCAGGGCTGGGCGAAGACGCTGAGCAGAGACTGGCTCGGTGAGGTGAGGAAAGTGCTGGAGGTCCAGCAGGCGCTTGATGTGAGTTTTTATTTTTATTCTTCCCAAGTATTCACACAACGGTAGCTAACATGTCCCAGGTCATTGCGGCAGAGGCGCGTCTGCAGAGCTTGAAGCTGGAATAATGGAGGGAAACAAATCTTTTTCTTTTTCTTTTGTCATGGACGGGTGGCTCAGGAGAAGCTAGAGAGCCTAGACCTCTGGTCTGTGTAAGACATAGCCATAGACTTGAATGAAGGCAGTGTATTCTATCAGCTGCTGGTGTAATGTGATGTATTTGTCTGTTGATACCATGTCTGTGTACCAAGGAGGGGGTATTCTGGGTAGTGTATGGGTATTAGTTTGATCGAAATAAGCGTGATCTTTGGTACTGTAAGACTTGTTGTTATCCCGGCATCCTCTTAGAGCACACACGGATGAAAAAGCCGTTAAACCGGGATTGCATCCGAACGACAGTCGCGGAAAGTGGGGCAGTATAAACCCCCCCACCGACCCCGACATTTGGCTCTCCCCCCCCCGACAGACAGCTGCAAGTCGCCGTCGTCTCATTCCTCCCGTCCGATAATAAAAAAAATAAAAATAAAAAAAAGACACCCAGAAGGTCTCCCACCCAATGCATCATGTGCCCCGCCGTGCCTTGCGTCTCAGCAGCACTCAACAGCTTTTCTCGTCTCCCTCGCGATTCGGCATATTGATTCGCACAATGGCTACCGCCGGTAGGACGTACAATGTAAGTTATCAGTCTCAAGATCAGTGTGTTTAAACCCCCCTCCCCACCCTCCGACTTCGGAACCGTTTGCGCGCCTGGAAGTGCACAATGGAGGGGAGGTTGAAAGATGAGGGGAAAGAGAGAGAGAGGGGTAGCTAACGTGGAGATGATTGTATAGGATGCCGTCGACGCATTGAATACGCTGCAGACGCCGTTTGCCGTCATCGAGGCGCGTCGCAAGGCGGGCGTCAGGCCTGATGAGGCTTCTGTCAAGGAGATGAAGGCGTATCTTGCGCGGATAGGATATACGGTGCAGTAACCCCCCCTTCTCCCCTTCTCCCCTTCTCCCCCCCGGGGAGCCCTCCAGCTCAATCAACAAAGAAACATTGCCCTAACGAGACAACACAAACAGACATCCGACCTCGACGGCCTCAACGTGATCCACGTAGCGGGAACAAAGGGCAAAGGAAGCACCTGCGCCTTCACCGACTCGATCCTCGCGCGGCACCGCGCCCTCTCCGCGAGGCGGGTGCCGCAGAAGGTCGGCCTGCTCATATCGCCGCACCTGATCGCCGTCCGCGAGCGCATACGCATAAACGGGACGCCCATCTCGGAGGACCTGTTCGCGCGGTACTTCTTCGAGGTCTGGGACAGGCTGGGCGAGAGCACGGCGCAGGAAGACGCCGTCGCGCTGGGCACCAGGCCGATCTACTCGCGGTACCTCACGCTCGTCAGCTTCCATGCCTTCATCCAGGAAGGCGTCGACTGCGCGATCCTCGAGACGGGCATCGGCGGCGAGTACGACGCTACGAATCTCGTCGCGAAGCCCGTGGCCACGGGAATCACGACGTTGGGGATCGATCACGTTTTCGCGTTGGGCGATACCGTTGCCAAGATTGCGTGGCACAAGGCCGGCATCATGAAGAACGGCAGCGCGGGTTTCACGGTCGAGCAGGTTCCCGAGGCGCAGGCCGTGTTGGAGCAAAGGGCGGAGGAGAAGGGGGTGCGGTTGGAGGTCGTCGGGGTCGACAAGCGGTTGGAAGGGGTCGCCATCCGGCCCGATGCGACTTTTCAGAAGAGGAACGCGAGTCTCGCCGTCAGGCTCGCGGAGACGGTGCTGCGGAGGCTGGATCCCGATTTCGAGGTCGACGAGGAGCGGCTGCCGCGGGACTTTACGGAAGGGCTGGAGCAGGTCGTGTGGCGCGGGCGGTGCGAGGTCAAGGACGAGGGGAAGGTGGTGTGGCACGTTGACGGGGCGCACACGACGGACAGCCTGAAGATGGCGTCGCGGTGGTTCGCCGACGAGACGCGGGGGAACAAGGGACCCCGCGCGCTCGTGTTCAACCAGCAGGGCCGGACGGAGGCCATTGATTTCTTGGACGGCGTGTTTGAAGGGGTCAAGAGGGACGGTAGGGGGTTCGACACGGTCATTTTCTGCACGAACGTCACGTATGCCCAGACCGGGTACAAACGGGGTGAGTTATAGTCGTTTTTTTTTTTTTTTTTAAGTGAAAAGGCGTTTCGGGGCGGGCGGATGGCTGCTGACTTTTTTTTTCCCAACAAACAGACTTTGTAAACCACCAGTACGACGCCAAGGCCATCGAGGCCATGACGGTCCAGAGGCAGTTCGCGGAGCGGTGGTCGCAGCTAGACCCCCAGGCCGACGTCAAGGTCATCCCCACGATCGAGGAGGCGCTGCAGCATGTCCGGGGCCTGGCGGGGGAGGTCGCGGAGGGCGAGAGCGTACAGGCCTTCGTCACGGGGAGTCTTCATCTTGTGGGTGGCGCGCTGGGTATCCTAGAGGGGGCGGATGCTTTGTGAATTTAGTCGGAGGGCGGGCAAGGCGTCTGGTTTTGATTCCTTTCTTTTCCTTTTTTTTTTTTTTTTCAACATGTACATGAATGAATCATGACGGTCCAGGGGCGGCATATACAGGAGGCGGCTAGTCTAGTCCTCGCGGATTCAACTCTACGGATTTATATATAGATATATATATGCTTATAAATTATGTTTTAATCTACGTTGCTCACAGTAAACTGTCCGGTTCCAAGAAACCGATGACGTTCCCGACGAGGTACATGCTCCCTGTCACGAGCACTTTCGGTACGAGACCTTGCTTGTCGGCATCGACAGTGACGGCCTCCACCGCGGCCTTCATCTCCGCCAGGTCCGCGCACACCGTCGTCCTGACGTCGGGGTACGCCTTGTTCAGCGCTTCCGCGCACTTTTGCTGGACGCTCAGGTCGGCGTCCTCGAGCCTGGCCTTGTCGTTCCGCGTGAAGACTGCGCCGGCGATTTTCGCGCCGGGGTCGACGCCGGCTGCCTCGACCTCTTTCAGAAAGGCGAGGAGGAGCTCGGCGGCGTCGCGCTCCTGTTGGTTGAAGACGAGGACAAACGACGTCTTGGGGTCGGCGACGAGCGGCGAGATCCAGCGGGCTACTTCGGATAAGCTGTCCGTGTTGTGCGCGCCGTCGAGGTACCATGTCTCCGGGCCCTGCTGCATCACTTCCTGCCGGCCGCGTAGGGTCGCTTCGCGGAGCCCAGAGATGATTTCCTCGGGCACGTCGTCCAACGAGCTTACCGGGGTTGCGTCCTTCGCCTCGAGAACGCTGAGATGATGCCGCGCAGCAAGCGCTGCGAGGGCCTGGTTCCGCTTCTGAAAGTCGCCGCCGGTAAGCTTCGCCCCGGGCACGCCGGTCCAGGAAACGACTGCGTCGTCGGGGACCTCGATTAGTTCCGCACCCTTCTCCTGTGCTCGGGATCGGAGGACGTCCATCACGCCGGGCTGGTCGTCGAGGCGGCGGGTGAATGTGGGCACTCCGGGTCTCATGACGCCGGCCTTGTGCCAGGCGATCTGCTCCGCCGTAGACCCCAGCATCGCTACGTGGTCGATGCCCAGCTGGGTGATGATGCTCGCGGTGACGGCTTCGTCGGGGATAATGTTGGTCGCGTCGTACTCGCCTCCGATACCGCATTCCACAACGGCCGTCTTGACGCCCTCGGCGAGGAAGACGTGTAGGGCCAGCAGGGTGAGATAGCGGAAGTAAAAGGGCTTGGACCCGGCTTCCATGCCGAGTTCCTCGTTGGCGGGCGCAGCGGAAAGGGTATCCCAGAGCTCGAAGAAGTACTTTGCGAAGAGGGCCTGCGAGATGGGTTGGCCGTCGATGGCGATGCGCTCGCGCGGGGAGACGAGGTGAGGGGACGTGTAGGTGCCGACGCGGCCTGCCTTGCGGGACGTTATCAGGGCCGAGGTGGTGAGGGTTGTGACGGAGCCTTTTCCTTTGGTGCCTGCTATGTGGACGTAGGAGATGTTTGAGAGGCGGGCTGGGGTGAGGGATGCGCGGGCGAGCCAGGCGCGCATTTCGGGTATGGCGAGGGCGTTGGGGTCTGCGGGTTTGGAGGCATCTTTGGCCGGGGGGTTTTGCGGCTGTTGTTTTGGGGCGTTGAAGAGGGCGTGGACTTTGAGGTTGGGGATGAGGGTGTTTAGACGCTCGAGGGCGTCGGTGTAAGTGCGCGAGGAGGACATCGTGGTGATGTGGCGAAGGCGGAGGGTGGGTGGTTTGATGATGGGTGAGGCTGAGATGCGCCGTGTGAGGTGTCTCATTAGCGAGTTTACTGATGGTAGGTTGAAATAAGGGAGAGGAGGGTTTTGCGGTGGTACAACATGAATTGAGGTTGCGGTTGAAGTTTGATTGTGGGATCGGAGGATGAGGCTCAAATTGAGTTGGTTGTGAGAGGCCAAGCTTTGAATTGAGTTCCACTCGGATGAGGTTATTTGTGGGTGGTTCCCTCCACTGGAACGTTGTGGCTTGGCTTTGAGAGTTGTGTTATTTACTTTGTACGATTTGATGCTGGTTATCTTATTTTGCTCATTGATTTTTATGTGTTTTAAACAAGGGAGTTGATTGCTCTCATCTGGTTGGTCTCAATAGTCAAGCCCACTCAATCAATAAGCATCCCAGCAACTGACTCTCATTTGAGGATTGAGTTGGCCTTGAAGCGCAAGCAGGATAATAAGTGTAAATGAGAACTAGAAACATACTGAAATGTAAATCGTTCACTAACCCTTATTTCTCTCATTTTCACTATGTATTGTCACCTCAAAGCCTCTGTCTTGGTCGGAACCCCTCCGATCGGACACGTACCGTCAACACACCCGGTCGGCGTGTCCCGGTCGACACTTAACCCGCTCAATTGGCGGCTGCAGTCGCAGATCAAGACGATCTGTGTGGGCAGCCGGCGTTTAGGATGAAGCTTGGGTGCGGGGAACATGATCCGAAGGGGTGACCCTGCTTCCACCCCAAATAGTCAGCGTCATCATCCTAAGACACTCTCAACTTGATCGCATCATTTGTAAGTCAAGTCACTGCTCAAGTGCTGTCGTTGTCGCACTGTTGTAAATAAGACAGGCAATATTGAGACTACTCAGTAACAGAATAGTCATGGCAACCCAACCACCCATCCAAGCCTGAGGGCTGGGACTGATAACTATCTAAACTACTAGGTAGTCTCTGGTCTACTTCCATCGACCCAAGAAACAGCTGCCATGTCTTCGTATGCTTTCTTGGGTGATGCACGGAACAAATTAGGCAGGTCATATGTCCAGGGTTAACTCCTCCGGTTAAGGCTAAGGAAAAGAGAGCAGAGAGAGTGTGTCAGTACCGGCTAATGAGAAGAAGCCCTCGGACAAAATGTCCTTTTAACTCCGAACTCGTTCCGAGTTTGATTGCGTGCTCTATGTGTCATACAGTTTCCCACGTTCCAGTCGTCGCCGGAATTTCTCCATTAAGAAAACATCTTTTTGGTCCGCAAACACTTTTTTTTTTTTTTTTGCCGATTCGGCAACGCGGCAACGCCAATTTGATGCTCACCCATCGCTTGGCAAACGGAACTAAGTATAATCCCCCCCCAGACCTAGGCGAAACCACACACACACCCCCAGTTGCTTGAGCTGCTTAGCTGCTTTTGGCTCGTTCGAGGCCATCCCACTTTTCCCGATCTTTCGCATGGGACCGGGGTCAGGTTGGAGCGGATGTGGAGGTGCTTGTCATCGACTAGGTAATGAAGGTCTGCTGTCGCCGCGCGCCCTTTCGCGACGAGCCTGACGGCAAATTTGTCACTGAATCTTTTTTTTTCTTTCTTCTCTTTTCTTTGATACTTGAAGGTGAAAGTCTCTTCCAATATACGGGGGTTGACCGCTCGCTTAGTGACTTGTCCTCTCTCCCTCATCGCTTTTTTTCAAACTAGTTGTAGTCAACTCTCATTTAATGACGTTGAATACGAATATTCTCACTCGAGATTCTACTGAACCCAAAAGTCCTTCATAACTATTGATTCATAGATTTTCAACTTCAAATATTCGATATATAACAGCACAAATTACCTAACACCTACTCGCGATCCCTCTCCAAACTCAGTACCTGAGAGCATCACGCCACAGATGACAGCAAAAGACCCTCGTGAGGTCCACGACGACGAAAAACTCGATGATGTAGAACGATCCGCAGGCACCACCAGCAACAGCAGCGCCGACTCGGTGACGATCCGCAGCAACAATGTAGCCGGCGATGACGAAAACGAAACCGGCATCGCCAAGGCCGGAGATGCAACCATCGCCGGCGACGGAACCAAAGAGGCGTCTGAGACAACGGCGCAGGCACCGCCCGCCGACGAGGATGCCCCCGAGGCCGGCCGCACCAAGCTGGAGACGACGCTTATCGTCCTCTCCCTATGCGCCGCCCTCTTCCTCGCAGCTCTCGACGTCACCATCATCACAACCGCCATTCCCACCATCGCACAGGAGTTCAACAGCAACATCGGTTACATCTGGGTCGGCAGCGCGTACCTCCTCGCCAACGCCGCCTTCGTACCGACATGGGGCAAGATTTCCGACATTTGGGGCCGCAAACCCGTTCTGCTCTCGGCCGTCGCCGTCTTCTGGGTCGGATCGCTGATTTGCGGACTGGCAGTGAACATGGGCATGTTGATCGCGGCACGCGCCATCCAGGGCATCGGCGGCGGCGGCATCATCGTCCTGGTGAACATCTGCATCAGCGACCTCTTCTCCATGCGCCAGCGGGGAGTCTACTTTGGAGTCATGGGCATGGTATGGGCCGTCGCGTCGGCGGTTGGCCCCGTCATCGGCGGCGTGTTTACGAGCCAGGTCACTTGGCGCTGGTGTTTCTACATCAACCTGCCCATCTCGGGCGTCGGCATCATCGTGCTCTTCTTCGTGCTGAAGCTGCACAACCCGCGCACGCCCGTCGTCGAGGGCCTCAAGGCCGTCGACTGGATCGGCACGCTGACCATCATCGGCGGCACCATCATGTTCCTCTTCGGCCTCGAGTTCGGCGGCGTCACCTACCCCTGGAACTCGCCCACCGTCATCTGCCTCATCGTCTTCGGCGTCGTCACCATCGCCGTCTTCACCGTCAACGAGTGGAAGTACGCAAGGTACCCCGTCATCCCCATGCACCTCTTCCGCAACCGGTCCAACCTCGCGGCCTTCGCCACCTCCTTCTGCCACGCCTTCGCCTTCATCTCGGGCAGCTACTGGTTGCCGCTGTACTTCCAGGGCGTCCAGGGCGTCTCGTCGCTGTTGTCGGGCGTGTACCTCCTTCCCTATGTCCTTTCGCTTTCTCTAATGTCCGCGGCGGCGGGCATCATCATCCGCAAGACGGGCAACTATCTCTATCTAATTATCTCAGGCATGGCCGTCGCCACCCTCGGATTCGGCCTGTTCAACGACCTCCCCTTTGAGCGCAACTTCACAAAGATCGTCCTGTACCAGATCGTCGCCGGGCTCGGTATCGGGCCGAACTTCCAGTCGCCCCTGATCGCAGTACAGACGTCCGTCGAGCCGAGGGACATCGCCGCAGCGACATCGACCTTTGGTTTCATCCGGCAGATGGCGACGTCCATTTCCGTCGTCATCGGAGGCGTGGTCTTCAACAACGAGATGCAGAAACAGCACCCCCGTCTCCTGGCGGAACTCGGCCCGGAGTTGGCGGGTATGCTATCAGGATCGAGCGCCGCGTCAAGCGTCGGCGTCGTGGCAGGATTACAGGGCGACGAGGGCCGGATCGCCCGCGGTGCGTACCTGAACGGCCTGCGGACCATGTACATCGTCTACGTGGCGTTCGCGGGCCTGGGGTTGGTGACGAGTTTGTTTATACGGCAGAAGCAGCTTAGCAAGAAGCACACGGAGCACCGGACGGGGCTGAAGACGCTCCGGAGCCGGACGGGAAAGTGAGATTATATAGTTTTATCGGAAGCCTACGGGCGCCCGGGGTCGGACCACACACATGGTTTACGGCGTTTATTATTTTTTTTTATTTTTTTTTGGCATCGTTGGGATTCAGCGGGCATGGAGCGTATACCAAAATTAGATGCTTATTTCTTTTTTTTGTAATGATCCTTTTGAAATCTACTGCTGTTTTCAGCCACTTTTTGGCTTTGTTACCTACGCATGTGACTTTCGAATGTATCAAATGTGCAGAGAGGCTCAACCGTCTTGTCTTCAGGCTAAATGCGGTTGATATGCCGTCCACGTGGGGACGTCAATAGTACGTGGAGCGAAGACGCGGCGAGGATGAAAGAAAGACTATTGACTTCGTCCCCACGTTTCAAGGCCCCCCTCCGCTCACCCGGGGAATGGGGAACGTTCCATTGGGAGGACGAGTGTGGCACGCAATGCGGTAAGAGCCGGTGTTGACGTCCGAGATGGGAACCGATTAGGCATAGACTCGGCCGGGTCGTGGCGCGGAAGCACTTTTGCGGTTCAGAAAATGGGAATAGTTTGCATTCTGAACCATGATTTGGGAATAAAGATTGATTTTATCCAGCTAGTTACCCGGTTATTCATGTTCAGCGTTTCCAAGGACCTGGGAGCTATATATTTTCGGTATTTGGAGTTTAGGAGACCGCATCATTGGCGGAATCATGCGGCCCCACGCGTGGAGAAAACTTCCGGTTCGGGGGCGGAGGTTGGGCTGCGGTCCGAGTTTATTTGGTCAATTGCATGGAGACGTATTTTGGGAGTCGATTTGTTATTTGTTTCCAAGTATCTGAGTTGCGTATGGGATCATATTTCCCAGATAAAGCTGGCTGGCGAGCAGACGATCAGTGTGTCCAGTTTTTGTAGACATGGCATCTCAAAACCTCCAGACACGCGTTCATAATGGTGGCCTCAACGTAGGGAATGGTCACATTGTGGCACGGAGGGGTCTGAAAGCTCACAAGGGGGGTCTGCATCCACAGCTACCCCCGGAATCATCACGTCCGCTGCCCTATTCACAACTTTCAGCTTGAACCAGCGGTATATATCATGCGAGCTGGCTCCTCTTTCCAATGCCCCCATGCCTCTCAGCAGACAAGCCCACTTCTCAAGGCTGTCCAGGTTTTCACAGTTACAATGCGCTTCTTCAGTCTCTTAACCACCGCCCTCAGCGGCACCCTTGCGGCAGCCGCCTCTCTCCAGCAAGTGACCAGCTTCGGCGCCAACCCCTCGGGGGCCAAGATGTACATCTACGTCCCGGACCGCGTGGCCGCGAACCCCGCCATCATTGTCGCGATCCACTACTGTTCCGGCACAGCCAACGCGTATTACTCCGGCACGCCCTACCGCGGGTACGCAGACACCTACGGGCTAATTGTCATCTACCCAGAGTCGCCCTACAGCGGGACATGCTGGGACGTGAGCTCGCCGGCGTCGTTGACTCACAATGGCGGCGGAAACAGCAATGCCATTGCGAACATGGTGACGTATACTCTGGACAAGTATAATGGCGACAAGAGCAAGGTGTTTGTCACGGGAACGTCTTCAGGGGCTATGATGACGGTATGTCGTTCTGTCTTTCCACCTCTTCTGCTTCTTTCTTTTAAGAGCCAACAAGACTCAGTTGAGATCGTCTCTCGTAAATATAACTAATACGGGTCAGAACGTCATGGCAGCAACCTACCCCGAACTCTTCGCCGCCGGCATCGCCTACTCCGGCGTCCCCGCAGGTTGCTTCTACACCGGCACCGTGAACGGGTGGAACTCGACTTGCAGCCAAGGCCAGTCCATCTCCACACAGGCCGTCTGGCGGCAGACAGCGCTCAACATGTACCCCGGATACTCGGGCCCCCGGCCGCGGATGCAGATCTACCACGGCAGCGCCGACACGACGCTGTACCCGCAGAATTGGAACGAGACGATCAAGCAGTGGACTGGCGTGTTCGGGTACAGCTTGACGGCGCAACAGACGCTGCCCGGGACGCCGAGCGGGCAGTACACCAAGTACGTGTACGGGCCGAACCTGGAGGGTATCTACGGGTCGGGCGTCGGTCACAGCGTGCCGGTCATGGGGGCGGAGGATTTGAAGTGGTTTGGCATTACGGTGAGTTCCCTTAAAGGCTTTGAGAAGTGCAGTGACGCGAGGACGCTGACTTGTGATTAGGGCGGTTCGGGACAGCCCGGCACGACGACGGTGAGCTCGGCGCCGCCTCCGGCTACGTCTACGGCAGCCCCGCCTGGTGGCTGCACGGCGAAACGGTGGGATCAGTGCGGCGGGAACGGGTTCAGCGGGTGCACTGTTTGCGCCAGCCCTTATACTTGCCAGAAGGCCAACGACTGGTACTCTCAGTGCCTGTGAGGGTGCAGTACAGGAGGAGTTGTGGGGTGGGGTGTAGTTGGTGGATGGAGTTTGTATATACTTCACCTATTGTGGTCCACTCATCTTGTAATTCAGATGAAGCTGTCGGTCGACGTGAACTTACTCAGGCGAACCCGTTTACAGTTGAGATGGCGTTTGCAATGTGATTCTGCATTATGCAATGCATGACAACACAAGATATAATGCTTACATATCGTCGAGAACGGTAAAAATTCCCCGGCCGTGAATAAATTCTTTCTTAACTCGACAATGTAAGTGTTGAGTTGGAACAGGCATTCCGTAATTCCGTAGTTCCGTTCCGTAGTTCCGATATGTGGACCGGGGTCATTCTGCAACCGGGATAGCTAAAAAAAAAAAAAAAAAAAAAAATTGCTAAAGTAGAGACGGAGACTTTACTGAGTCGCTCAATCTCAATGAATAGTGTAATCATCCACTACCCGCAGAAATGACGATAGCACGCGCCGTTACAAACCAACCAGCTCCTCCGGCCGCCTTGACCAAATGAATCAGGTCCCGACCCGAAAATCCAGCGTCATCGGGACCCACCCACGGCGCCCGTCGGCTTAATAAGCCGGTATCAGCTGCCGACCTCGGAGCCGAAATGCGATAGGCGATAAGGCCGGATGCTAGTCAGTGCTGAGCTGAGCAGCGAAAATTCATCCACGCACCCATCGCAAAGTGGGAGCTGTCTTTTGCCTTGTCAGTGTCTTGTCAGCGATGACCTTGACTCAGTGACCCCGCATAGCCGCTTCCGACGTTCTTGGGATGGCGCGCCGTCTTAGCTCTCGCAAGCGTGCGGCGCTGCTCTGCGCCCGTGGCTTACACTACAATGGTCCCTTGGTGGCTTTTTTTTTACACCCCCGCATGGAACAGCCCAGGCCGCCTGCTGGTGCTTCCTGCGCAGAAGTTGTGTGGCTGGCTTGGCTTACTAGTATCGCATTCTCAGCCCTGTTGCATGCTTAAAGCTCTCTCCCTGCAGCTGATAACCAGTCTGGGCCTCCCCTCGTGACCTCAAACTGTATTTGGAAGCGAGGGTTGTTGAGGTTTTTTAAGCACGTTTTTTCCCAGGCGAGCACGACGGTGAGCGGAAGATGAGCGGAGGGTGTCGACCCCAAGCCAGGGGCAGCACCTGGATATCGTGTTCTTTTCCGTCTTCGCTAAGGTTCGATGAGTCTTCTTGGCCCTAGCCAAGGGAGATTCTTTAACCTTTGGCATCTTCTAGAAGAAGCCTCCTTCAATATGTGACACTCGGCGATGCCACAATCTATGGGACCTTGGCATGTATTGTCCCATCCATTTAACGTCATCCCAATGGAAAATATTCTGAAGGATGGGACATCAATTTAGACATCTGAAAAGCGGTATTCCCAAAAGAGAAAAAATATCCAGACAGGGTGCCCCATAAAAGAACAATGTTAGTCAGTCAGCTAGGTACTACTGCACAGACTCGGAAAACGAGAGTCAAAAGCTATCTGCTTCCGGGTCCCGACTCGCGCGCGGCCGGGTATGCAAGCGTTACAATGTTGGGTCCCCTCGCCCTCAACCTTCCCACTGGCCAACTGGCATTTTCCGGCGAGGAAACGAGACAGGATACTGACAAAATCGACCTGATTTTCATCATTGAGCCCCCCTTTCGGTCCCCCCCACCCGCCATCATGACGGATCCATCCCGAGAACACACACACACCCCCTGGTCGTGCTATAACGGCGGCCTTGCAAATTGCAAAAAATTGGGCCAATCCCACGTGTATGTCACCGTGCAAATCCAGTCCCTTGTCTGGCAAAGGCGCTTGTCCTCGCCGGTCTAGGGGTGTGTGTTTTTCCTCTTGATTTCTCTTTGAAGAAGAGGTGGTCCCCCCATCCTTGGAGCTAGCTAGCGTCCCCAGCTCGGGAATGGCGAATTTGAAGAGAGTCCCGCTCATATCTGCCGTCGCATCACCCGGGTACGGGGCAGGAGATCCTTACTTCAACTCACCCTCGCCCGCGCAATTCTGACTCTGGGTTTCCTTCTCTGGTTTTCCTGGTCAGTTTTTGCAGTCAAGCTACCTCCGAGGGAAGAAGTTCGACCCGTCAACATGGCTTCTCCGTCAGAGAAGCAGCACCGCAAGAGCGTCGATACGCTCTCCGAAGATAGGACGGCGACGGCGACGCCCGATGTCAATATGACGAAAGAAGACAAGACGACTTCTGACGACTCGAGTACGTCCCCGGACGGCAACGAGCCCAGCGACGACAATGGCAATGGTCTTACGCCGCAGCAGACCAATGGCTCGGAAGTCTGGGTCGCCACGACCATGTCGTTCCCCCGCGAGGCGCTCTTCGTCGGCATTTGTTGCATGGCTCAGTTCTGTACCCGTGAGTTTGCCCCGTCTGTGTTTTGAGGATTCAAACAGCTAAACAGACAACACCTTTCAGAGGCCGCATACATGGAGACCCTCGTCCTCCTTCACGTAATCGGCAGCTCTTTTAACGTCGACAACCCGGCCCGCCTGGCTTGGCTGGTCGCGGGCTACTCCCTCACAGTCGGCACCTTCATCCTCTTCTCCGGCCGCCTCGGCGACGCCTTCGGCTATAAGCGCATGCTCATCATCGGCTTCTCCTGGTTTTCCATCTGGTCCATGGTTGCCGGCCTCAGCGTCTTCTCCAACTTCACCCTCGCCGTGTTCTCGCGAGTGCTGCAGGGCATCGGCCCGGCCATCTGCCTCCCGAACGCCCTCGCCCTGTTCGGCGCGGCGTACCCGCCCGGCCACCGCAAGGCCATGGTCTTTTCCTTCTTCGGTGCCGTGGCCCCCATGGGCGGTGTCGTCGGCGCCGCGATCGCCTCCGTGCTGGAGCTGGAGTGGTGGCCCTGGGCGCTGTGGGCTCTCTCCATCTGGCTTGCCGTCCTGGCGGTCGCTGGTTTCTTCATCATCCCCGAGCCGCCGAGGAAGATGGGCCCGCCGCGGGGGTTCAAGGAGTTGTTCGTCGACCTCGACATCCCCGGCGCCGCGACCGGTATCGTCGCCCTCGTGCTGTTCAACTTTGCGTGGAACCAGGCGCCCATCATTGGGTGGAAGAACGCCGAGGTTCTGGTGCCGCTGATTCTGGGGCTCATTTTGTTTGGTGTCTTCGCGGCCATCGAGTTCAAGTTCGCGCCCAAGCCGTTGCTGCCATTCGACGCCGTCAACGCCGACGTCGGCTTCGTGCTCGCGGCGGTCGTGTGCGGCTGGGCGACGTTCGGCGTTTGGACGCTGTACCTCGTGCAGATCCTGCAGGAGATCCGGACCCTATCGCCGCTCCTGACGTGTGCGTGGTTCTCGCCCGTCGTGGTTAGCGGTGGTATCGCGGCCGTCATCACCGGCAAGCTCCTCGGTCCTCTCAAGGTCCGCCCTGCGATCGTCATGACGATAGCGCTGGTCGCCTTTACAATCGGCGTCATTCTCACGGCCACTGCCCCCGAGAACCAGATCTATTGGGCGCAAATCTTCGTCTCCATGATCATCATGCCTTTCGGCATGGACATGAGTTTCCCCGCCGCCACGCTGATCCTGTCCAACGCCGTCAAGAGGGAGCACCAGGGCATCGGTGCCAGTCTGGTCAACACAGTGGTCAACTACGGCATCGCGCTGGGCGTCGGATTCGCTGGCACGGTGGAGGTGCATGTCAACAACGGGGCGGAGACGACCGAAGACAGGTTTAAGGGGTTCAAGGGTGCGTTGTACATGGGCATTGGGCTTTCCGGGCTGGGTCTGGGTGTCGCGTTGATGTTTTTGGCGAGGGAGTGGAGGAACCGACGGGCTGGGAAGCCTGGTGGTGAAGAAGGGGCCGCCGCTGCGCCGGAAGGCTCATGAGATGGTGATAGAGGATAGACATTAGACGATGCATTGCTCAGCGCAGCTACACATACCCATGACTTGATAATAGACCTAGACTTGTAATAATTATTGTGTGGAAACGGATGTACTGCACTGCCGACTATGGCCTTGTCACTCATGGAGCGAATGTCGCTGAACAAGATAGGGCAGACCGGAAGACTTAGAAAGAGCTTGTGACCTTGAGTCCTCGTTTTCCTCGTCTGATCGATATCATCGTGAGAATCTGAAGCCATGTTGGGACATCGCACACTAACTCCATACTTGAATCAAAGCTCTCACCAGACACATCAGGATGTCGATAGACTTGCAGGCTTATGTGCTGACTGGTGGATCTAGACTAGGAAGTGGGATCTAAGCCAAGCATGCCACGTCGAGCAGCAAACGACAGATGGGCCAAGCGGCTCTTTGCCCCATCCGTGCAAGCCGAGCGCTCCGGCCCGATAGAATAACCACATAGTCGGGAACTGCACATTCGTACTAGGATTCCCATCCTGTTAACCTCTTTGATCTAGTTCAACGATGGCCCCTCAAAACAAGCGCGGTAGACCCACTGATCATTTGCAGGCCTATGCCACGAGAGAATGACGCTTGAGTTCAAGCACTTCCGACACTTCAGCGTTATCTCTAAGCGCCGTCTGCCGGGGGAAATGCCCCGGTGTGCCCGTTCCTCTGTCATTGTGGCCTGACTATGGCCAAGAGCCTGGCGTTACTACTGAGGTGCCTTTTTAATTGTAAATTTTGCCGTCGGAACTCCACGATGCATGATCCAAAGTTGTGAGAAGACCATCAAACTCGTGGTAGCATAGCCGAAAATCTATAATTTGATTGACGGCTTGTGACTGTTGATCTTGATGCTAAGACTCTATATTTAGTTAAATCATCCGAAGAGCTCGTCTATGCTATCCATCCTCGACTCTTGCCAATTCTCGATATCCTCAGGATTACCACAAATATAGTCATAACAACCATACCCAGACCCGAAGACAGCTGTATGCCCAGGTAGCTACCTGTAGACTCCAAGAGAGCTCCCGCGATAGGTGGCGCCGCCAGCGACGCAAACGCATTCGTCGTGGACACCATCCCTAACCAGGTTCCGTGGACACTCAGATCCGGCACCAAAGTCGAGACGACAGTTGGTGGCAACGATGTAAGCCCGCCGGACGCGAACCCGAAAGCCACTGCAAACACCACGCTACCGGCGCCGTCGTGTACGGCCAGCCAGCACATCGACACGATAGCGATGGAGACGGAAACGGCGAGGAGCATGTTGATCGGCCCGAAGCGGCCCGCAAGCCATGCCGGAAGAACCCGGCCACACACGGAGCCCGCGTTGATAAGTGCGACGAGGTAATACGCCACTCCGGAACGGCCCTCGTCAGGCATCCCGTGGGCAAGGGCGTATTGCTGAAGGTAGTATATGGGAGCCATGTAAGACCAAAAGTTGAAGAACATGGCTATGGAGAAGAAGACGAAGGATTTGTCGCGGTACGCGGAAAAGTCAAAGAGGACGCGCCGACTTTTCTTCCCATATCCCGCCCGGGGCCGCATTACAGCAAAAGCAAAAGCGTTTGTGGCGAGTGAGATGAATGCCAATGTCCTCGCGGCCCAGGGGAATTTTACCCTCAAGAGCAGGTTCTGGAAAAGGATGGGATATAATACGCCGCCTATGCTGCTTCCTGTCGCCACTATTCCCGTCGCTAATGCCCGCTTCTTGGAGAAGTACTGGGGAATGATGGCGACGGAGGGGATGAAGATGCAGCCCGCCCCGAGACCTACGCAGAATGCGTGGGAAAGCAGGACTTGCCAGTAACGGGTCGCAAGGCTGACCATGGAGAAACCGAGGAAGATCAGGATAATTCCTGTCAGCGTCAGGCTGCGGAAGTAGCCTGCGTCATAGAGAGGTCCGACGAGCACGCCGATGAGAAGGAGGAGGAAGGATTGAATGGAGCCTATCCAAGCTATAGCATCCACCGAGGTGTCTTTGAGGTTCTGCTCGTAGTAGGTCTGGAAAACGCCATAAGAGCTTAGGACTCCCCTGTAAACGAAGTTAGTGAGGGTGTGAGAACTGCGACAATTGGATGATGCTTACCAGGAGTTGAAGCAAAGGGCGAATCCACCGGCAACTTGCAGCCATGCCAGACGGCCACCATCCGGGGGTCCATCTACATCATTGACATTCTCGGTCATGATGGTGCTGATGCCACTCTTCTCTTTGGGGGCTATGGTTAACCCGGAAAAGGGCTCCGGTGAGGAGTTCGTTTGATCGGCACCGGTGGTGAACATGATGAGAGTGAGATTGAAGCTGGAACCAGCTTCATTGAGATCACAGTGGTGCAAAGATAAAGATGAACGATTGAGCCATCAAAGCAATTACTGGAAGAGACTCTATGATCAATACAGTCCTCCGATTTGAGAAATGCTCGTTTTAGTCAAACCTTTAAATCTTATCCACGTAACCCCGCGCCTCAGACCTGGACGCCGGCGTCGGGGGATTGATGTGACGGCAGTTAAATAATAGGAAAAAAAAAAAACCCCCATCATGGATTTTGAGTGGTCCAATCAGCCGGTCTAGACATTTCAACATGTCAGTCGAGACCCGCCAGTGTCAATGGCGTCAATATGGGGGAATGCGAAGTATAGCTCGGGAGGAAAGCCGAGTTTACTTACCGAAAATGTGGGACTTACCGAAGCCGAACTTTGGAAAGTTCGGCTAGTAAGTTCGGCCAGCTGCCCCCTAGCCATTCCTTTCAACATTGACAACATCGGCCAGACTGCGTTTTTCGAATTTTACAATCACATTTCTGTCTCGGACATGCTATCGCTAGCTTCGATATACAGTCTCTGAATTATTGTTTCTCGGTATCCATAATGGAGCCCGGGGGTACTCCCCTACGTTACCGGAAGAACGGTCGGCTTCAGGCCTGCGACCCCTGCCGCCGACGTAAAGTCGCTTGCGATCATGCCAGCCCGGTCTGCAGCAGCTGCAAGAGGAGGCGGAAGCCAGAGAAGTGCGAGTACACTATGAGCTCCCCGGCGCAGTTGCAGCCGCAGGACACCTCAGTGCGCGGACCGAGGACCTCGAGCCGCAGTCCCAGTATTGCGGGCTCAGATAGGGGTGCCGAGCACCCTCTTACTGGATCGACTGCTGTCGAATATCCTCTGCAGAGAACTATTCAATGCGCCAGCAGCGAGATTGCTGACAGCGGGCTGCAAAGCCACAATCATTCAAGTATCGGGGTGTCATCCCCAAGCCAGCTGGGGCAGACCTCGTTTGGCGACATTTATAGAGAGGTTGGCGATGGTTTATCTAGCCCTGACACCGGAGCATCCAGGCCAAACCATACCGATGACGGTACAATAGGTGCTACCTCACAAATAAGTATTACTGAGCTTCCGCCGTCGACTACAACGCTGGAGACGTGTTTATTCGTCTTGCGCAGTGTCCCCGAAGAATCCAAGGGCCGGGCGTTGTTGACATCACACTTCGATCCTCATGACGCTTTCGTCCGTCCTGTAGCACAACGCGCTCTGGACATGTTATACGAGAACTTTGGAAGCTACTTCGGGGCGACTCCGGACGACGCACAGCTCTCGGAGTTGGTCCGCATACTGTGCACCAACACGGCGCGGCCGTTTTCGGAGCACGAGGCCGATGCCGAGGTTTGGATGGCTCAGTTTACTGGGCCAAACACCCGCTGGGAGACGCTGGGGATCCTTTTCATCTACTGGGAGCTCAGTGCCAGAAATGAGCACCTGGTACGCTCAGAGGCTCGGCCTCCGTCGCTGGAAGGAAGGCCTGCGTCTCTGAGGTTACGGGATGTGTACCGAAAGTGCATTAATGACTGCCAGGCTCTGGCTAGGCGAGCCACTGAAGTTGGGAACACGTTGTTGCTTTATGTCTACTGGAAACGTACGATCATCGCCTCGATCGTTTCTGGAGATACTAGTGAGTATTTTCCATCATGTCTTGTCATGATTAACGTCCTCTTCCAAATGAGAATAGAAAGGCTGACTGCGTTCACCAGGCCTCTCATGCTGGATGTATAATGGCGAGGCAGTGGCTTTGGTGACGTTTCTTGGCCTCCATGTCGAGACAAATAAAGGGCCCTACAAGCCAACATTGGCATCGGAGATTAGGAGGCGACTATTGTACAAGATTTTCATCATTGATAAAGTTGTCGCCTCGATCACGGGGAGGCCACCTCTGCTTAGCCGGCGATATATGCTGACTCCTCCGCCTCTGGACCTCAAAGACGACTATCTGGTTGCGGGCGAGGAGGTCCTGGCGCAAGGTGTCGCCGCACTCGATGCCAATGGATATAATACCGATGGGGCTGGCTATTCTATTACATATTGGCGAGCCCGGGCGCAATTAATGCTCATCAGAGATGAGATATTTGAGATTTATCTCGGAGGTGAGGCGGCTACAACGCCAGACGTCCTATAGTAGGTCTATAATCATTGATGATGTGAATGTCAGAAATGCTAATATTTGACTAGTGCTCTCAAGAACAGAGAACTTCAAGCTGCTGCAGACATGCCATCCGTGCTAGTGTTCAAAGAATCCAATATTCGAGACCCGGATATTGGTTCGGATAAGTTATATCCCAGGTTGCTTATGCGTTTGGAGCACCTGCAAAACCTCTTCTTTATAGAAAGGCTTCTGCGACGTCACGGTTGTGACAATGAGAAGGATTTGCTGGCTGCCAGTTTCGAAATGACCTCGACTGCCTTGCTGTTTTGGACGAATATGGACGGTCTTGCCATGGTTTACGAAGATTTTAAATGGCTGGTAAGTTTGATCTTAGCGAGCATACAGTTTGTGTGTTGCGTAGTGTAAGGAAATATACTAATTCAAACCAGGTCATTGCATACGCAGCTCCGGGCGGCGGAATCCTCTGCCTTGAACTGCTAAAGCCATCAGTCACTCTCAACAATGCAAGCGGTGCCAACGACGATATCTCTCGATCAAGCATCGTGCAGGTGCTCAGCCTCCTCGTCGGGTTTCTCAACTGGGTCGGTCCGAAGGAGGCGAACGGCAACATCTGCGCCAACTGCAAGGTCATTGTACAGCGAGTGCTGGACCAGGCGCTCAACATGACGCCAAACAACAATGGCCTGTCTACGGACTTTATGGACTGGGATTTTTCGGCGCAGCTGGATTTCAATTTTGACTTGTTAGATACCTTTGAGTGGACGAGGCCAGAGTATTCGTGGTCTGATTTAGCTGGTTAGGAGTACGGATGGGCTTGTGGTTTCAGAGCGCTTCCAAGATGCTTTTTCTTGCGTTCACCGACGTTGTATTCTTCTGTCTTGAATCTCTTTCTTTTTTCTGAGATGTATGTCGGAACTCAGTGACAAAGAGATACTTAATCCCACTCACATCACCTTAGGGCAGCCAGAATCCTTGTCGGATCTGCTTGCATAGGGGTCATCTTTGCAAATTCTGCATCAACAAACATCTAAGAATCTGGGTCGGTTAGCTCAGTTGGTTAGAGCGTGGTACTAATATGTCAGCCGACATGTTGTGTAATGCCAAGGCCGGGAGTTCAAGCCTCCCACTGATCACATCTTTTGTTTCTGGATGCCAAATGCTCCTGTTTTGTCTTTCTTCCGTGTAATTTTACTTTTTATTTTTCTTTTACTCTTTCTTTGGTTGTTTTTCGTTTTCCTCCGTAGGGTGAAAAATCTTCGTTAGGGATAAAGAGATCGCCACTATTTTATGGGTCCCACCACTGACTAGGCGGGACCTGCGTGGTATAATTCCTTGTGTCCGCCTTCTTGACATCATCAAATCCGGAATGGTGTAATGGTCAACATTTGACGCTCTCATACGAGGGCTCCGTCAGGCTCGGGGTTCAATTCCCCGTTCCGGAATATGCTTTTGCATTTTTTGCCTATCTACCGTCATTATCTTTTGTTAGACGAGTCCATATTAAGACCGCCCCTACTGGTTTGGGCAAAAGGAACATGAACGCAGCAATAACGGTAGACGAGGTTGATAGCCAGAAGCTATGTCTACTGTACTTGTGTTACTTTTTCATGTTTAATAAGTGAGGTTAGAACTGGCTAGGAAACAGCAGCAGGTAGAGAGAAAGAATACTATAGTCATCTACAAATTATCTGTCATACTCAAGGAGAAAATAGATTCGTATATAATACGACACACGAGGATAAATTCGATCATTTACACAAAGTATTGTCAGTTCCCTTGATTATACTTGTTTTGCTAAATAGGCACCTTGCTCTGAAAATGTGCAAACCTGAGAGGCTGTATAATAAACCCTCGGCTACTAGGGACCATCGATTGAATCCATGTCTTCATATTACCGTATTCGCCTTCCTTCTATCATGGCCTGTAGCGAAATGAACTGAAAAAGTACTATACTGACCTTGCTGACGACTCTTAGACGAGTCATGGCCATCTCAGTGGATCGAATCGATCAGCGGTCTATCCGTAACATGCCGAAATCAGTAGCGACTGTCGTTTCTTCAGCTGCGAGTTGAGGTCTAGAACGTTTCCCAAACTGGCATCAGACAAGTCTTGGGTAAAAAAAGTCAGACGTTACGCCGCTTCGAGCAGACCGTGGCAACTTCAATGTTGAGTTTCAGGCATGCCAAGGAAACATTATATTTTCCGACCATCCACTCCAAGCCACCTGAATGACTCTTGTGAAAACGTACGATTCAGAAACCTGGAGTTGGGGGCCGAAACCCCTTGAATAGCGGGCTCATAAGGCAAACGCACCGCAGAGGGAGAGATGCTGACATGTGCGCTGACATCTCTGACATCTACAAAACGGCATATTTCCAGGTTGAAAGTCTACAACGTGATAAGAAGCACAAAGTTACGGTTTCTCCGGAAAACGTCTAATTCAACGGCACTTAATATCTCAAGAGCAAGAAATTTCCGTCAGAAATGCAAGGGGCAAAGTCTATCTTAACAAACTAACGGCAGCTTTTCCCACTTGGGAAGGCACATGAAAGGGTCCTACTTGAATGGTTAACGACCTTGAAAGCTAAGGCGCTGGCTATTCCCGCCGACTAAGTTTTCTTTCTTCACAGCTTCTATCCACAATCTAATTGAATGTGGTCAAAAATGCAACTTCTAAAGTCCCAAATGAAGCGGTTAACAGTCTTTGGGTAGTATTTAAACTCACCAATCCCGGCAGAGCCTGCCAAGAAAACCAAAAGATCGATAATCGATCCAGAAAACGCGGAGTTGCCGTGGCTTTTCATAGCAGGCATATCCATCTCGGGGTTGCGTCCGAAATGCCAAACTCTAATGCCCACACTCACGTCACAACAGCATTCAACAGGAAGCCATCTCCGTTCGCCTGAATCTTCCACTGGTTCATTCGATTTGAATTTTTACTGCAGTAAAATGCGGATTTCCGTGAGATGTCAAACTGTAAATTGTGAAGCTGACCCGGGTTCATCCTCGTATCTTGAGAGGCTGTGTTGGGTAGCACTTGGAATGGACAACCAACAAGTATCACAACCAACCTTGGAAACATGCCTTTGGCCGAGTGATTGGCTAGCTAGTTAATTGGGCAATAGTTTCGGCCGAGTAAATCATGCTGGGCCGCAGCCAAGGCTTCGTACGCTGCAGAAAATCCTTCCCGCGCCACACTCTTACATCGGCAGTCACTCACACACTATACATCAGACGTCTGAAGGAACCCGGGTTCCCGGATTTTCCGGCATAGCACTCAAGCTTTTATTGGCGTAACAATGACATATGATTGAAAGGCCAAAGTCCCGGAATCAGATGTCAGAGCAACAAAAACAAGCACAGAACCCAACACAAAACGAAACAAAAACCGCCCCTCCAATTCAGGCTTTGACAACCAGCAGCAGTCTGACAAAAGTCGCAGTAAGCAACTGCACGAACAAAACGACCGTGGAATAGTGGATATCAGGGAAAAGGATTTATGGAGCGCAGCCCCTCGCATAAAAGCTGGAATGGGCAAATACCGGGGCGAAACCAAGGTTTGTCCGTGTTGCGCATGAACCGTTGCCGCGGCCAACCTCGATCATTTCCCAGGTTTTGCCAAGCCACACTCGAACCAGGCAGAACCGGATGAAGTGTATGAGCGGTTTTGGGTGCTGGTGAAATAAAACCCCAAGGAACATAACTGATACCAGCGAATCACACCTCTCTGACTCTTCCTTTCGATGTCATGTACAGGGCATGATTGGTTTGCTGTCGTACTACTCTCGAAAGCACAACACATTTGAATTAATAAAATCAGACACTGACCCATCTGGCCAATGTTTCGCCCAAAGAAGATATCGCAACCACTAAAACTCCTCATGCATTCTCGGCACCAAGATGACCAGTCCGAATCAATTCCCCGTTCTAGATGGTGAATTCTCAGTTCCAGCTCGATAGCCGGAACTAGTGACTTGTTCATGTCGCTGTAATCTCGTCGGCCCCCAATATCACTTACAAGACCGATACGGAACCAAACTCTCCCGCCTTGTGGCTTGCCTTAGGGCCGGGGCTTCTCTGCCCTTGCTCCGTCATCCACCTTGATGCGGCAATCCCTCGGCTCACAGACGCTGACGGCCGGAACCCCGGTCCCGGTCGGATATATGAAAGCAAGGGTCACTCGTGAATAAACACATGAGCAAAATAGCACAGAACCCACCATTCAGCCCGATGGCTCATTGAAGGCGGAGAAAAAGAGGAGGAAAGAGGGCCTGAAGACAAAGAAGAACTCCACAGATCCGGCGCGCCGTGGAGGAAAAAGACGGGCTGCCGACTCCCGTTGATGTGGCTGTCGTACGACGTTTTGTGGCGCCCTCTAGAAGAGCACCAGAAGGGGGAGGGGAGGGGGAATGAGGAGAACAGACCTGACGCGAGCAGCTAGTCTGCACCTCTCATTTCGCAACCGTCTCTCTCCGTGCTGCTAGTGTCCTTTTAGTTTCTCAACATTGGCCGAAAATTCGACGCCTTTGTCGTCATTTCGAGTGGGAAGGACGCGCAATTATCGAAATGCCGATATGGAACAGTCGTAACTAAAGGCTGACAAAAGGAAAGACTTGGGAGACGAATCTTACTCGCCTCCACCTGTTCTCCACGCGCCAAACCCTCCCAAACTTTACATAGTGCAGTAGACCACGATCCTGCTTGGGCCTAGATACGATGAACCACTACAGGCAGAGGAGCCAGACCTGGAAACACAATTCCTTCACCCACTATGTCAGAGTAACACTGGGAGAGGGGGGCAACCCCTTACTGTGTACCACACAAAAGAACCCTTGGAGGATGGGGATCTGTGGGCTTCTTCCCCTGCGGTCTTTTATCAAGTACACAACCGCGTGGCATCAAAACCCCAATAAAACCCCCTCCCAGTTCAGTCGAGATCCGCCCAGAACCCCTGGGCAGAGTTGTGAACAAACCCGATAAAGTTCGGCCTTTGGCTCAAAGACAGGGCAGAGTGCCGAAGGATTCGGCCGGTTGCCAATATTTGAAGAGAACATATCCGCAGTCCACATTGAGCCCATGCACTTCCATGTACTCTTTGACCATCCTACATCAGGGCTGATAGTCCATTCTGTACGCGGGCACCCTCATAGGGGATTTAAAAGCGAGAATTCTCCAATTTTGCCCCATCGCGAGTCATAAAATCGGCGATAAGGCCGAATCTCGCATCGTGTGCAGCCAGCCCAGTTGATTTTCCTTCCCCATCTCCTCATCCCAAATTCCCGGCCTGATCGATTCCTACTTTCTCTCTTACCTGCAGGAACACAGGGAGAATAAAGAGGGCACAAGCTACCAATAGCGTATCGTACCGGGGCGGGGGACCCTTTTTCACCTCACCCGTGTTCCCCATCCGCTCCACACACACAGCTGTGCCGGATGTGTGACCAGGATAGGGATAGCACCGGCCAACTGCGACGCGATCTCGCCCGGCTAACGTCCCAAGGGGGTCGCAGGTGGTGGTGGTCTGGCTTCAGTGGCATCGGGGGGGCGGTCTTCCAGAGTCCTTCGATGTCATTTCTAAGGCGCTGTCAAAGCACATACACACATACACACACACACACACCAAAGCTCTGGCATTTCTTCGGAAGTTTCTCATTCCCTGGTTGCAGCCATCATGTGTCACACACACACACACACACACACACACACACACACACACAGAATTAGACCACGTTTTCTCTGAGTAGGGAGGATTGCAGTAGTGCAGCCCTCGTTGAATGACCTGGAACTCGGATCGGTCTCCTCAGTTTCGCCTCAGCTGTGCATTGCTGAACCCGGCCGCCGCCGCCTTTCGGTCAGCTTCCGCTTAATTCAGGTCCTCTCAATCCAAGTCAGCTTTTTGCCTCTCAATATATTCGTAAGGATACGAGTACTACGTATGTTCCATGAGAAGAAAAAAAAAAAAAAAAACATTACCTAGGTTTCCCCTAGTAATCCCCCATTATCGGGCAAAAATCATATCGGTTCTCCCGGTTTCTCATTCGCCCCGTGCAGAATGGCTGACATGACGGGATAACCAGGTCCACATTCCTAAGGAGAAAATGCTCGCATGGCATCGTAGTGCCGGTAGGATGCTGGACCCTGCACAGAGATGCACTGCACAAAGGCACGAGAGCTTGCCCCCCTTTCGTGGTGAGTTGGAGGAGATTTTCTCTCTCGCTGGTAACTTGGTCTGTTGCGATCCCTGCGCGCACGATTTCCCCCGACCCTTGCTCAACCTGCCTTTGGTCCGCTGCTGTGCCTAGGCCGGCTGGCCTGCATCCCTCTCTTCCGCTGTTTCTTTTCTCATCGAAGACATGTGTTTGTACTACCAAGGCGCGTGTAGCATACAGAGTGGACTCCTCACCCCCCCATGTTCATCAATTTCAAGGGTATCCTTCGAGGTCCTTTGTCCCTTACCCGACGTCTATGGACGGACAATGATCCAGTCGCGGTCTTAGTCCGCTGCTATCCCACGTCGACGGGGAGTCTCCTGCATGTCAGTGTATCAAAGTCTCAATCTTTGCTGGCGCAGTCGCCTGCCATATCTGGCTCTGGTCCTGGGTGCCTAGTTTACTTTGCCCCCCTCGGAGCTGGAAACCAGGGGTCCTGTGGTCCAGCCATGCTGGTCGGTTCCTCGGTAAACGTGTGAACCACAACCACCATCTGGGCTCGACAACCACCGCCACCCATTCTGGTGTGCTAGATGCCGTAATGTAGGTATTAGCAGTCCAGAGGAGAAAGGAGGCGCGCCGTTGCTAGACACGGCCGTCATACGACGGGATGCCTAACGGGCGACCACCGTGAGGTGACCCGGACTCACGCTACCGACACACTGGTCTCCTGTGGCGTCGAGCCAAGTGGACCACATGGCTGCAGACTTGCTCCCTGCCTACATCCAGCATTATCTCCGTGTTGGCATGTTCGCTAGACCACTCGTCCCAAGTGGTCTCTTGTTGACTAAGACTGGCCCCGAAGAGCGTTTCACGGCAACTTTAATCACTCCCGTTTCCCCCTTTGTCTCTTACGGGAAAAAACCTTTGACGCCTCCATTCACGACGGACGAACCGAATCGGACACTTACGCCATGGTCGACGGGACAGATATCTAGCGCGCCATACGACTTGTTTTCCACGATCCCTCTGGACAGAAGGGAGGCTTTCCTCATTTCTCAATCTCGGTACCCCGCCATGAGGCTTTTCTCACTGTTCTTGTCACTGGCTGCGGTGCTGTCTTGCGCCGCAGCCCAAGGCGATGCCACGGCCGCTGTGGCATCTCTGCCCGCTTGTGCGGTATGTTTTTTTATGATACACCCTTTTTTTGCATGTCCAAAGTTCTCATGGTAATATAGCAATCATGTCTCTTGACGGCCGTCTTGAATTCGCCGTGTCAGCCAACCAACCAAACGTGTATCTGCACCAACGCTCCTTTGCAGGCCGAAGTTGAAGTTTGTGTATTGCAGAATTGCACGCTCCGTCAAGCCCTCAGTCAGTAGACTCTCGGGAGGTCAAAAAAAAAAAAAATGGGAGATCCGACAAAGTTTGGCTAACTTTGCACTTGCAGCGACGAAGAATATCACTCAGACGACATGTCATGCGCCCGTCCGAGACCGCACCACCATGTACAACACCATCTCCATCACGATGGGTACGCTTTCCGGTGTGTTCGTCGTCATCCGTATTGTGCACAAGATTTTCGCGACCGTTGGAGAGCTCGGAATGGATGATTGGTTCATCCTCATCACCCTCGGCTCTGGAATCCCCGGTACCGTCATCAACACCCACGGCTTCGCTGCGAACGGTCTTGGCAGGGATATTTGGACGGTTCCTTTCGACAAGGTTACCAACTTTGGTTATTGGTTTTTCGTCATGGAGCCGATGTACTTTGGCCAGGTCACATTGTTGAAGATGTCGCTGCTCTTCTTCTACATGCGAATCTTCTCGCATAACAAGCTTTGCAAGAAACTCATCTGGGGCACGATTGGGTTCAACGCCGTTTTTGGTATCACGTTCATCTTCGTCGCCGTCTTCCAATGCAGCCCGATCAGCTTCTACTGGACCAAGTGGGATTTGGAGCACACCGGAAAGTGCTTGGATATCAACGCCATCGCCTGGGCCAACGCCGGCATCAGCATCGTCCTGGATTTCTGGATGCTCGCGCTTCCCCTGTCTCAGATCCGCGGCTTGAACTTGCACTGGAAGAAGAAGATTGGAGTTGCCATGATGTTCTTCGTCGGTACCTTGTAAGTTCCCTCTCATTTACAATCCCGAACTCGGGAGTCCGTTTACTGACATATGCCGCAGCGTCACCGTCGTCAGCATCTTGCGTCTGCAATCACTAGTCGCATTCGCCAAATCTCAGAATCCGACTTGGGATCAGTTCGAGGTTGCGACCTGGTCCACCGTCGAAATTAACACGGGCATCATCTGCGCCTGCATGCCCTCGATCCGCATCATTCTCGTCGCCTTCTTCCCCAAGCTATTGGGTACGACCCGGCGCGGAACATCTGCGGCCGCCAAGTATTACATTCAATCGAGCGGAAACCACAACACCGGACGAAGCCGGGGCCGCACGCTCGGCAACGAAGCCAAAATCAAGACCGTCGACCGCGAATCGGGGTCATCGAGCGGCAGCCCGAACGGCATCATGTACACCAAGGAATACGCCGTCGACTACCACGACGAAACGAGCCTGGTCCACATGCGAGAGATGGAGGCGTCGAGTTCCAAGACCGGCAGAAGCGGTTCACCATTTTGATTATTTTCTTTGTCTCAGCGAAGTGTGTTTGGCGACTTGTGTTGCGATGACCATGTATGAAAACTTGTAATGGATACCACCCATAGCGTGAGGGGGGCCCACGGTGCCCCCGAATCGTAATTGACCTTCTAATTGATTCAAGTCGAACTCTCCGTGTTTGCAGCTTGGAACTGAGTTGTCAATCAAGGTGAATAACACGTTATGGACTCTTGGCATTGAAGGACCATTGGATCACGACTGAGAGAGTCTAGAGCTGGTTCGGGGGGTATACCGCTCGGACCTCGTCTCTCATCGTCTGATTGATAACAGTAGCGTCAGCATCATCACCCCATGTAGAACTACGTCGGAAACGACACTGAGAAGGGCAATGGGGAAACGCCCCTTGGCAACACGTGTATTTCCCTTGCTAGATCTAGAACGACGGGGACATTTCTCGCTGGCCCAGGTGTGGCGCAAGAGGACAACACGGAATAGGAATTATTTTCATTAAAACAACTCGGTGGGGGATCTCCCAAGTCTGGAATCAGCGCCGGAGAAGCAGTCCGGGTTTCTGCCCAGTGACATCGCCCGCCCACTTCCAAGACGACATCAGAATGGCGTATTATACATCCCACCCGGTCGGTTAGAAGTCTTGAGGGGCGGTCTAGGCCGTTGTCAGATACATAGTCACTGCTAGTCTGGACCCGTCCACTCCTTCGCTCCAAAAAAGCATCCTTGACAGTCCTCGTTGACGCCATGTAACACTCTGCATTCGGTCACAGAAGTTGCTCGGGTAAAAAATAATAATGGAGCCTTTTTTTTTTTTTTTTTCTTCCTCAATGGTACCGATGAACATCGTCTCGAGGACCAGTCGACGAGACCATGCTGTGTCGCCCCCCAAACCGGAACATTTTTCTTACCCGGATCTGCATTGACGTGTGTCGGAGGGTGGTAGTGCGATATTGCCGATGTAGGATGCGACCGATGCTACGGAACCCCCTCCGGAGTCCTTGGAATGGGTCCAGTCGGTGGATATGTGGCTTTGACATCCGTGGCGGGTCGACTTCAAGGGTGTAATGGTGACTTCAGAAGACTGTGTGGTCGCCGGCCAAGAAGCACACTCCGAAACTCCGGTATGTTGACAGACGGTCTGCTTCGGCGGCATGGGGATTTGCTTACTGCTTGATGGATGTGTTTGGGGGGCCATTGATAACATGATCGATTTCACTTTCTGTTTTGGCCTTACGGCAACCAGCATTTGGGGAATCATTCTCCAAAATGCATGCAAAAGATGTTAATCTGGTGACGCATCAAGCCGCTGATACTTTATTGAGTATCGGGTTAGAAGTGATACTAGCAATAGTTGAATGTCCTGTTCTCAAGAAAGCAAGACAAAGAAATGTAATGTGTGCTCCACCGACCCAGTTGTAATCCTACAATTAAGAAAATTTCTTAAAAGACAAACATGATCCTCCACGCCGTGGTTTCCTTAACGAACATAGTAGGTTAAACAGGGGTATCAAGAGGAGCTTAGTAACTGCTTTCCTTGAGCTTAGTCTGCAGGTCTCAGGGACTATATCCCATGCTCAAGTCCTGTCGTTTAACCAATATCGGATGGATTACAAATCGATTTGCAGCTTCACGGTCGACTTCATCCCGGCAGTAAGTGCATCCATCCGTCGACGGGATGAATTTCTAGACGGGCCGTATCCGGCACCCCGCCGCACTGACGGATAGAACCCGGGGGTTTATCGGAGACGATGAATGTTTTCGACGTTGCATTGAGCTGAACGCTTTGACTCTGTCCATTTGGAATATTGTTTACAAAGTTGGTTGATGGCGATGAGCCGAATGAGGCTGCCACCGCTAAAACATCCCCGTATTTCCTTGGATTGCTATGTGGTTGTATTTTCTACTCGATGTTACTTCGGTTCCACAAAGAGTTGCAGCCTTAGCTTGGGGCTCCAGCTATTATAAACTAGCTGCACACCTCTCTTGAGTAAAGTCTTAGGCTGATGGGCGCCTTGGAACACTACCTTGGTGGCCTTGACTTATCATATGTTACCAGCAGACTTCTCTGTTGACGGGCCAAGGGGAAAGTGTATCCTTTGTGGAACTACATTCTGGTCTCAATATCTGGCCGAATTTGAGCCGTGCACCATGTTAGGGTATAACGCTCTAGTTCATAAGGTATTGTTGCGCTGGTATACTTTCTCGACGTATTGTGGTGTTCGAAATGTATCAGATGAGAAGACGGTCAATTGTTGTACGCCGGAGGGTGCCGGGAGGGAATTGCGTGACATAATTAGAGATTCGACATCGGAACATCGAAGTGCTATTCTCGCCGGTTTTGCCGCCTTGGGATCTTAATTATGGGCTACGGCTTTGAGGTGGGAATTCGTGTTCCAGACTCTATCTTGTGGCATCATGCCGTCCCTTTCCGAAAACGATAAACAAGCTCTCATCTGAAAGGGAACGACTCCGTCAGTTCAGAGAGATTTATTGTATCTGTACAGAGCCCCTTTCAAGGAAGAGTTTCACTCCAAAACTGTTCGTTAAGCGAATATGGGCAGATTACGTGGAGGGATAGAAGCATTCAGAATGCAATCAACTAGACTGTCGGTGAATTGCCTAAAAAGTATCGTAAAACAGTCTCTTCTTACAGGAGCACTCAAAGCATCACCATGCAGTATTAGAACGCAACAGTTGGCACTCTCCGAACCAATATAAAATTAACCTTCCACTTTGGCCCAAGACCAATGTTAGAGGGGTTACATTCCTCACCGTACATCAGCTAGAAAAAGTGTCACAAAAGACTGGTAAAACCTTTATGAACGTTGGAAAGGCCGCGCGCTAGAGTGCCGTGTACGGTAATCTAAGGCTAACCCGTTAGTCTCAACCGGAGCTTAGGAAGGCCCGGCTCGGGTTCGTCCGCCGGACAGCGACATGCGACCGAAGCGGGGCTGTGAGTCACTTAGCTTGCCAGAAAGTCTACCCTAAGGTACTTACGGATCATACAGCTTAGTATCCAACAACTAAGTCTTCAATTCTTGTGAGAGGAACATCTGGCCCAGCTTCTGATGTCCGCGCTACCATTATTGCATACCCGCTGTTGAGCAGGATTCACTATAGACACGTAATGGAAAAAGCTTCTTTGCTTCATTTGAAGATATCTGAAGGTAGCGATGAGGCTGAATATCTTCGTGGTACTCATGATAAAAAACGGAAAGGGTGGGAAACCCTACCGCTTGACAGGATAAAACCAACAGAGGCTGACGGCATGGTTGCGCGTTTCAGACAATAGTGAGGTATTTGGCTTTTTTCGTGATAACGTAGTGTACCTGCCTAGCATACTAATCCCCTAATCAGACAATAGTAAGAATGTCACTTTTAAACCTCAAGACCATCAGCCCGTCGCCCCTATCCGAAAAGCCAAGGCACTGTAGAAACTCTCCATCTACGGAGGTGAAATATCCCATTCTGCGGAAAAGCAGTGTTTGACCTGATGTAACTGGTTCCACAACCAAAAACATAACTTCTGAATGATGTACAGGAGGGTAACCGGCCAATCGTGAGTTGAGAGGAAGTATGTAAATGGCCTGGTTCTCGGAGAATTCATCGCCTTGACTGTCGAAGCAAAGGCGAAGTTTGACCCGAAGATAGCGGCCATTCGAAAGGATTGATACAGAATACTCGTCATCTTTTACAGTGTCAATCATCACAGAAGTCACTGCTCCACGCACCACTAATCGACTACTGGTCACTTCTCCCATCATGTCCACTCCTTTTGGTTTGACCTGGGCGTCGACCACCTCCAAAAGGTGTTCCGATATCGCTCCCGGAAGCATAGGCTTGACAGGCCCGTCTATTGAAGCCCAGGACCATGATGGAGCTCGATAATCGTCGCAGGACCTGGGGGCGGGTTCTTCCACTCTCCAATCGAGACCCTCAAGGAGCCGGGTACGCCACAGCCCAGCCAGATACTCATCGTCCGTGGTCTCTTGGAAGACCTTGGCGATTCCGGCGAAGGCTGGCAACTTGTCAGACATCTTAGTCAAATTGCATTGGCTGTAGGCTTTCACAAGGTCTCGCCAAAAAGAGTATATGTGCAGAGGCATGGCGCCCTGAAACTCGTGGTCAGCTGCTGGCAATGTCTTCTTTCCATCTTGCTGGTCCCACAAGGCGTAGAGGTTTTTGTTAGACCAATAGAAAGGAGTCCCCCCCGGAAACCCCTCGCACTTGGCCTCATTGAAGCATTCCCACAGTATTTGAGATTCGCCAAAGTATAACACCCGTGGAGACAGGTGTCGCTCCTGGAAGACCCATCCTCTTTTGTGTAGGGGACCCGCGAAAATGTTCTTGTCCCAATAGTCCCTCTCATACACGCAAAATCTTTGGGAGCTCCCGTGCTCGTTAATAGACAAATCTATAGCCGCTGGGAGGATGTCTGACGGGGTCCTCTCACGAAACAAGCCCCCTTCTTCATCACTCGATGCCGAGGCTGCGACTGTGCACAGCGCGTTCGAATAGACTTGTCTCATTGTGAGGGCTTGCACATCCCAATCCTCTTTCGAGTCCTGAATTATGCAAAGAGCATCAATCCATATATATCGAACTGAAAACCTTCGTGCAACCAGCGCAAGCTCCCGGAAAGTCCGAGGGAGGTTTTGTATTGGGCGGCCTCTAAAGAAATCATCTATTGTGGAGGTAAGCAGGAGAATACTAGGTGTCTGGCCCCAGCGGTAACTGAGCGCTATATAGGCTTCCTCCGATGAAACTGGACCGTCGCGCGTCGTATCTCGAAACCTCCAATAGGCGGACCCTTCAGGGCCGAGATCGATTAATCTGGTTGGATGCCACTTGGTAGAAGTGGTTGAATACCGAGCGCAGGAGGAGTGGTTGTCACAGCACGACTGCAGCCATGAGTTGGCTGTCTGGAAAGAAGATTCACAAGAAGTTGAAGGACCAAGCTTCTCAGGCGAAGGCATGCGTTGTATATCTAAAAAAGGGCTTAGTCTTACTCTCTCAAGAAAGAATGTGAAAGCCGTGCTTGGATGGCAATTCCATAATCTCATTCCAGGGATACTCATCGTTGGTTTACTGGCAGACTAAGGTACGTGGTGTAACCATCACTTTTAACTTACCAGACTTCATTTCAACCAAACGGAATTGCAGGACATGAATACTCTCATCGGCAGTAAGGGACGAGTAGAGCATGTTTAACCTGTAAAACGAGCGGCCCACTGCGTCTTTAAAGACGGAGTATTCCATTGGAATCCACGCCTTTTCGATCCAGTCAAGTAGCTTTACTTTACCCTTGCTTAGCTGATGCCAAACTGCCATGCAGATGAAACATTGGTCTTCCACGGCCGCCAAAAAGTCTCGAGAGTTAACATGATGAGAACCGGCCGTATGGTCATATGTTGGCTCTGTTTGTAAGCTTGGGATCTGGTTGCCGTGTCAGTCATCCAGCATGTGGAAAGCAAGTCGACTTGACTGGCGAAACAATCATTTCCTCAAAAAAAGAGAAAACAAAACATGTCAGCCGCAGAAAAGGATTGTGAACAAAAACTATATGCACATGCCTTTATTCGCCGGCAAGTTTTGCAGAAGTTCGTTGAATAGCCATTTCCCAGGTTGATTGGGACAGCATCGTCCATAGTTATCTGTTTGTGGTGGTTTTCATTCATTTTTTACCAAGTGGCGAGAACAAAGTATGATCTGTCACTAAGACAAAGATTGAGAAAAAGCGCGTCTTTCTGGCGTTTCTGCCCACAGTTTTCTCTCAAAATCAAAAATGAGAATGTGGTGAAGTAAAAAAAGGCTGAGGCGAGCACAGCCCCAGGCTCACTTCACAGGCAATCATGCCAGGCAACAGCGGTGTTTATCTGCCCTATTAGAAGAGAGTATCCAAGTCATATGATGTGCATTTTCTGCCTATATAGGATGCGTGTGATAGAGAAGGCATCCAATCAGCCTTGAACAAACGACCAGCACATCTTTCTGGCAGGCAGTTTTATGCCTCATGTCAATGGCCACAGCCTTAAACACGGGCGGAATTAAAGCTCTGCCAAACAAAGCTGACGAAGGTGCAGAAGCCTACTGAAGCATAAATACCACAAGGTTTAGGACTTCATCTCAGAGTTTTGCCTAGATATACTACACATAGATCTTGTTTTTACATAGATCAGAATATCAGCTAAGTATCATTGAAAAAATTAAGTAAAAGGGGGAAGCCTTTACAATAAGCTTTACAAAGCGCACTTTCAGCTGCGTTAGTTTCGCAGATAAGAATAGTACTCCAGGTGAGGCAGTTTTTCGTTCTATCACTTAGTAGTCTTACCTCTTTTGCGTACTCTACAGTCTTTTCTACCTTAACTACTCGTTTACACCTCTTAGAAAATATGAAAAAAATGTTAATATTAGAATTTAGCCATATCCATAATGTGTACCTCAGCCATCTATAGGTGGAAGTATAAGAAGTGTGGACACGACGTGCCTGAGTCCCGATTTACCACCTGCAACAAAGCCAAAAAGGCCAATACGAGGTGCTTGGTTCTCCCGAAAAATGCTGAATACTATTCCTCACCCGTCTATGACTATTGCCCGACATGCAAGACTCGAATCGAGGATGAGGCTAAAAGACAGGAACTCAAAGAGCGAAAGAGGCTTGAAGCTGTAAGCAGACGAACTCATGGTGTTGCGATAGTTGGAATACGGAGCCGTGTGGCACTTCCAGCCACACGCCCGCCAGGCTGAGAGGCCCAAGCCTCCCAGACCCACGTGACAGGCCAAGGGGGAATATCCCCACCTTCTAGTCAACAACACCACTTTCAACTATCATCATGAACCATCGATTAGAACCAATTTACTGTTATTTGTTATTGACGAACGGAATTCCGTTTCACCCCCTGTTTCACCCCCTGTGAAACCTACACTGATCAGTGGTAAACCTCACAGTTGCCATTAATTTGGTTAACTTCACAATTACCACTCTGCTACGGACAAACCGCAGATCAGCAAGGTCAACACCAGAAGAGACGACTTCTTGAACTGGATACCCAAGCCCAGGTAAAAGTAGGGATTTCGTGCTAACGAGAGAAGAAGCGAGAGTAACTGGGATCTACGGAAACCAGCAGAAGAAAGCTTCTTTTCCTCGAATCTACCAGCAATCCGATTATTCGAGTAACCTAGGGACTGCTACGCTCACCCTAGGCGGGATAAGGTTAATCGCAGCCAATTATCGCTGGCAAGAGCGTTCCATCACGCGTTTTCAATCACCAGAAGAAGAGACCTACCGAATCGACGGTCTTCCAACCTCTTCACGCCACAAGGGCGAAGATTCACGAATCCCACAAGGGACAACAACTTCCCCAACTACAACTATCCCCCACGCGCGGTGCCAATCACGAGGCGCCCGCTAGTTTCTCAATAAATCCCCAGACGAGGTGCCAACCGCGAGGCGCCTGCCACAAGAGACCTCCCCACTAGAAGAAGAACACGCCGAAAGGCGAGCGGAGACTACCGGCGGTAATCCGCCTATACAGCTATACGTATACGCCTCCGAGGCTGCGGCTTAGGAGAAACGCACGTGGTTGTGGGCGTCATAAGGCCAACTGTCCGCTAGATTCTAAACTTCCCAACAGTGAGGAGCGAAGCCCGAAGCGAGAAAGAGAGATTCACGAGAGAATCTACGGTAGAACTCTCTCCCTACCAATTCGAGACCTGTGTATACCCTCACACCCCTCGAGAACATCAGCGAGAACGGCGCCGACGGAAACAAACGACGAACCGACGAAAATCCCCGATTTCACGATTCTTTCCCCTTAGAATCGTAATATCCCGAATCGTCTTTTGACTCCCACTTCCAGGCCTGCATCTTGCACCAATCGCAGCTGACGCTGTTGAGGATTAGAATTCAAGATTCTAAACAGAAGTAATCCTTTTATACTGTCAGAATGGAGCGAAATTCACGAGAAGGATCGCCCGCGAGCGGCGTCACTGCCAAAAGCCAATCAACAGTCCCCATCCCACAGAGAATCGAAAGTATGATCGATCCAGCAGTATGGGGCAACTGGGCAATCGACCTTACAAACGCTAGCCCACAGCAACTGGGTTCCTATATGGGTTTCCTACTTGAGACCTATGAGAAGAGGAATCTCACGGGCCTCGAGCTATGGAACGAAGTTTCTCCCGATTTCGCCGACTGGTCAGAAGAAGACTTCCAGAACGTACCTCCCCCAATCCTACGATTCTTCAGAGACCATTTAATCGGTAACGGCGTCTACGTCGAAATGGATGGCAAGAAAATCTCGAAAAACGTGGCATTAGCCCTCAAAAAGGAAGAATTCCACTACTGGTCACCCCAAGAACTCGAACAAGGCGTCAAGAGATATCGCAACCTGAAGGCTCTGATAAAAGACCCCGAATTCCACGAAGAGATCACGAGACCGGCAACAGTAGCCAACAGCACAGGAGGAAGAGTCGAACCAACCCTACAGCCACCTCCTCCACAAGAACAACAACAGTGGCAACTACCGTACCGACCGCCACATCCCACGGTCTCTCCGTTAACAGACTTCCAACCATACGAGTCAACAGACCGTATCGGAAAGCAATTAACAGAATTCGCGAAACTATACCCCGACGATATGAAATACAGCGGCGATATGTACGATGTACGCGAAAAGAAGGGCTGGACCGGACCGTTTACTTTAGCAGCCATAAACGGCGAAACCTGTACTGTCGATACGCCACGTGGTCCGAAGACCTTCCGGTCTACCGTAGTCAAACCATACTACGAAGATCCCGATCAACCACCTAATTCCATCGCCGCGCCAGAAGAAGAAGAACCCGAAGCTGAGATACCGCAGCAGGAAGTAGTACGCGACGAAATTATCGTCGCCGGCGGAGGCAGTGAACCGGACGAACCGCAAGAGGCACCGGAGCCACCGAGAAGACGCCCGGGCAGACCCCGGAAGAGACCACTGCCAATCGCCCACTTCACAGAGGAATTCAACGATGACCCGGATTATCAACAAATATTCCTATCGATTAAGGAGCAAGCAGACGAAGAATTGGCAATCAAACTACGACGAGAAGGTGTTATTACTACACCAGGCGAACCGTTCGAACAGTCAACTAAACAAGAGATCAACAGCCTCATCGCTAGAGGAGTGTTCAAATTCACCCAGTTCAATAAGAGAAGGCACCAGAACGTACGAATCTTCCGATCTCGTATCGTCAACGAAGTCAAGGGTAAAACAACCGAACCCTACGAGAAATCGAGACTTGTAATACAGGGTTACGCCGACGATAGCAAGAAGGCTATATTGACCCAATCGCCAACGATTCAACGGGCGAGTCAACGGCTAATTCTGTCAATTACCCCGTCACTCCTACGAGAAGGGAAACAACTATGGCTTCGAGATATCACACAAGCCTACGTTCAATCCTCCACAAGGCTCAATCGTACTATTCTCGCCTACCCACCGAAGCAAATTCAAGACCAGTACCCAAAAGGGACCATTATGGAGGTTGTGAAGCCTCTGTACGGAATCGCAGAAGCTGGAACCCACTGGTGGGCAACGTATCACAAGCATCACAGAGAGAATCTCCAGATGGTTACTTCTTCGTACGATCCATGCCTATTGATCTCATCTACCGAAAATCCACACTTTGGCTGTATCGGCATGCAAACCGACGATACCCTCGGTTTGTCAGACAAGGCGTTCTCACAATTAGAAGACGAACAGTTAGAAAAAGCGGCTTTTACGGCAAAAGCGAAGAATATCCTCACAATTGACGAACCCCTCCAATTCAACGGAGGGATAATCGCGCTGTCAACCGACAATTCGATCAATTTGAGGCAAAAGGGACAAGCCAAGAAGTTACGATGTATTGAGACTACTAAACCCAACCCAAAACAGCAATATGTCGAACAACGCGCCAGAGGGGCGTACATCGCGTCAATTTGCCAACCCGAGGCCTGTTTCGATTTATCCACTGCTGCCCAACACCAAGACCCCTCGCCAGAAGCGATAAAAGCACTGAATCAACGGATTCGATGGCAAATAGAATCGCCTAACCGAGGAATAACGTTTATCCCACTCGACCTTACAACAGCCAAGCTATTCGTTTTCGTTGACGGGTCGTTCGCTAATAACCACGACCTCTCCTCCCAATTAGGGTTTCTGATCATCCTAGCCAACGACACTTCCTCTGACAGCAACAACGGAGAATTCACGATTCACGGTAACCTCGTTCATTACAGCTCTACGAAGAGTAAACGAGTCACCCGCAGCGTATTAGCGTCAGAGATCTACGGGATGGTCGCTGGCGTCGATATGGCCTACGCCCTCGCCACAACCCTGGCGACAATCACTGACCACCTCAACCTACCAACGATTCAGACAGTTGTCTGTACCGATTCTTATTCGCTGTACGAGTGTCTCGTGAAGCTGGGCACTACCAAAGAAAAGCGACTCATGATCGATATCATGGCGTTGAGACAATCGTACGAAAGACGAGAACTACAAGAAATTCGTTGGATTAACGGCGAAGACAACCCTGCTGATGCCCTCACGAAGAGCAAACCAAATCGAGCCCTCGAGAGATTCGTTGATAGCAACACGATAACGATACGTATGGAGGGATGGGTAACAAGACCGTAACTACGGGAGAAAGTAGGGATAGGAGGCCGAATTGACGAGGAGACGGAACTGTATAGGGACAACGTATTCCAACCGCTTCAACACCATAAAAAGAGAGTTTCCAGTGTTGCGATAGTTGGAATACGGAGCCGTGTGGCACTTCCAGCCACACGCCCGCCAGGCTGAGAGGCCCAAGCCTCCCAGACCCACGTGACAGGCCAAGGGGGAATATCCCCACCTTCTAGTCAACAACACCACTTTCAACTATCATCATGAACCATCGATTAGAACCAATTTACTGTTATTTGTTATTGACGAACGGAATTCCGTTTCACCCCCTGTTTCACCCCCTGTGAAACCTACACATGGATATAGATATAACGGATGGTAGTACCTTATTGTTGCTTTGATTAGCTGTGACATTTATTTCAGTTCGTAATATATCTTGCATTAGAGAACGATGGAACTCCTGTAAATGAGTATACCACTGCGTCGCCAATAGTCAAAGATGCACTCTGTAGCACGCGAATGATAGACTAAGGACTTGGGGTTGTCTAGAATGAGTTGTCAAGGGCCAGCACGAGACTTCCTCCCGGCAACCTGTTGAGAAAAGTTTCTCTACTACTGCGTCGGAGGTTATAGTTCCTGCTTATTTCTAGTTTACGGTAGGTAGTGAGTTGTCTACGATCGGCCCATATCCTCTTAAATTTACCTGCAGACGTAGGTGTTCCCGGTTAAAACTATTCAATTTGCTGGATTTTGGGTTCTGACTCGGCCGTCGAATCAACTACTGTTCTCCTCTCAGAGTATGCCACTGAAGAATTTTTTTTATTGCAATTCAAGTTAAACGGAGACGAGACATAAATACAGAAAACGGCACACAAAACCTTCTTGTGATACAGGAGCGAGTGAGAATCGATGCTGTAGGTCCTTGGCAAGTCCTCAATGATGCAAACTCATGTGCAAGCTGAGGTGATTCACGACAAAGCTGATGAAGATAAGCTGGTTCAAACTTAAATCCGAGACGCCAAACCGTCTACATATTAACTATTTTCCCCATACGTATAGCCCTGGCAAAAGTGGTTGCGTGTGCATTAGCGAGAGGGTCACTCGGCTTTAGTGCGACCGAGTTAGATAAAGTCGCCGATAAACGGAGTTCATCTCCGTTACTTGAACCCCACCTCCCGAGTGATTCTGCCCGCATCAACTACGTGCCAAGGACACGGAGGTCATCACCGAGAACCATTCAGACCACGTTTACGCAAGTTTGCACGCAACCGCCCCAGCAAAAATTTATTCTTGCGCGCTGAGATCCCACTGAGTTCCAAGCCACCCTTGGAGTTTTCATTCGTCATTGTACGAGATTAGGGCTACGATGAGCTCAACTAATGGAACGTTGGTGGTGGGAGTAGACGTCGGAGGTAAGCAACAGACAGGCCTCCCAGACTCACTCACACACCAATTTCTGAACCTGGCAACTGACCGTACTTTTGAATTTCAGGCACCAACACCGACAGTGTCTTACTGGATGTTTCCAAGGCCAGCACGGAGGCTGTTGTCGCATCTCATAAAGCTCCCACAACGTCCAATGTGACTCTCTCCGTCCAAGCCACTCTGAAAGCTCTCTTGGACAAGTCAACTGTTAACCCGGCCAACATCACCGCTCTTGCAATCGGTACGACGCATTTCTTAAATGCCATTATCGAAAGAGACACTTCACGCGTGGAGAAAATTGCAGTCCTTCGCCTGGCTTCTCACAACTTTTCCACCGGAACACCACCATTCGCAGACTGGCCAAAAGCCTTGAAACGCATCATCAATGGCCACTCGGCGATTATTCCAGGCGGCTGCAATATCGATGGCACCCTTATCGGACCGATCGACCCCGCCGTTGTCCGAGAGCAAGCGGCGATTATCAAGTCCAAGGGCTTAAAGAACGTTGCTGTTATCGGCATCGGATGTTCCACTGATAAAGACTACCACCAAGAGGACGAAGTTTCCAAGATCCTTCGCAGTGAGCTAGGCGAAGATGTTAATATTATTTTGTCTCACAACATCGCCGGACCTGGCCTGCTCGCTCGTGAGAATGCCACGATCCTCAACGCCTCCATCCTCAACTTTGCTCAACGCACGATTAGAGCCTTCATCGGCGCCATGCGGCGGATTGGCCTTCAGTGCCCGTTGTACTTGACATCCAACTCTGGCCATCTTTTGCCGTTTTCTGAGGCGATGCAAGCTCCTATCAAAATCTTCTCATCCGGAGCTACAAACTCTATTCGCGGTGCCGCCTTCCTCGCGATGAACGCAATTGACCAGTCTGGTAGTATCGTGGTTGACATCGGTGGCACTACATCAGACGTGGGCTACCTGTTGAAGAATGGATATCCACGACTGTCGAAGAGCTACACCGCCCTGGCTGGCGTGAAGGTCAACTTGGAGATGCCGTCTGTCGAGAGTATCGGCCTGGGCGGAGGCTCAATATTGCACACCAACGAAGATGGCTCCGTTGCCGTAGGGCCAGACAGCGTTGGCCATGATCTCGTTTCCAAATCTTTGTGCTTTGGTGGTGACGTGGCTACCGCGACCGACATTGCAGTCGCATCAGGTGCAAAGATTGGGAACACCCCCGTGTCGTTGTCAAGTGATTCTCTTGAGAAGGGCAAAGCGCGGATCAGAAAGATGCTGGAAGCCGTCATTGACCGCGCAAAGCTCTCACCTGAGCCTTGCACGGTCATCCTCGTAGGCGGAGGCTCGATTCTTTGCCCATCCGAGCTTACGGGTGTCAGCAAGGTGGTGCTACCAGAACACGCCGGCGTTGCTAACGCGATTGGTGCTGCCATTGCGAAGATCTATGGCTCGGCTGAGACTATAATCCACGGATCGGATATCCAGGGCGGTATCGCAGACGTGAAAGCCAAGGCCATTGCGAACGCCGTGGCCAAAGGCGGAGACTCTAGTTCCGTCACCGTCCTCCACGAGGAAGTTGCCGGAGTACCGTACGTGGAAAACCAGACTTCTATCAAGATCGAGGTGGCCCTACCCGCAGATCACAATCGGGTGTACTCGGAAATGACCAAAACGGCTGCTCCAGATCAGTTGGTCAACGAAGAGATGTTTGAAGAAATCAAGAAACATGAAGCGGCAGACGTTAATGACGAAGACGATGACGAGGGTGTCGATCTGAAAAACTACCGCCCTCAGATTGAAGCTAATGGTCTCTGGACTCTCTCCGAGACCGATCTTCGGTTCTTGTCTATTGGATGCTATATACTAGGCTGTGGCGGTGGCGGTTCCCCATACGCACCCTACCTTCAATTGAAGCAGCTATTGACGGAAGGGGAGACGATGAAGATTATCCGCATTGAGGACTTGAAAGACGACGAGATGATGCCACCAGTTGCTAGTGTCGGTACGCCTGCAGTTAGCATCGAGCGTCCTGGAGGAGACGGTGTCTGGCACGCCATGCAGGAGATGGAAAAGGAGATGAAGACCAAGTTCGAGAGACTGATCGCCACAGAAATCGGTGGAGCCAACGGTGTTGCTACGTTGATTTGGGGAAGCTCACGATACTACGATATTCCGACCGTCGACGGTGACATGATGGGTAAGTTACCCAGGCCGCTGGCTGTTGATCTCCATGAATTGCTAACATGAACATCTCTACAGGCCGTGCTTATCCTCAATTCGAAATGGTTTCGCAGTACATCCACGCCAAGTCTATTAACGAGCTTCTTCCCGTAACGCTGTGCAGCGGAACTGGTCACAACGTGGTAATCCCGGCTACGCAGACGGATGAGACCTCGGCAGGTATTGCTATCCGCGACGCTTGCGTTGCCATGGGGTCGGCTGCTGGTGCTGCTGGCCGTCCCATCCCTGGAAAACTCATGCGTGAAGTTGGAATTCCCAACACTTACTCCCTGGCCTGGCGTCTTGGACGTGTCGTCGCGTTGGCACAGCAAGCCGGTACCGTTTCGACGGTAACTAGAGACCTGATTGAGGCTGCTGGCGGGCCAGGAGGCGCAAAGGTGCTGTTCCAGGGCAAGATCCGCAGCGTCGAGAGTACCTTGACAACGACAGCGCACAGCTTGGGCAAGGTTACTGTTGAGAGACTTAGTGAGAGCGAGATGGAGACGGACATTGATAGAGTTGGCGAGGGACTGAAGGAGGTTGTCGTTCCGTTTATGAACGAGAACTTGGGCGTTTTGGGCAAGCTTGAAGATGGAACGGAGAAGGTGAGCGATATTTTCTCAATATGCGATTGAACAGAGTCGTGCTAACCTTGTGATAGGTCCTTGCTACAGTTCCAGACCTCATTTTCCTCCTCGACACGTCCACCGGAGAGGCTGTTGGCGTCCAGGAGTACAGGTACGGACTGAAGGTGGCCGTTATGATCATGGCTGGACACCCGCTCTGGGCAACAGAGAGGGCACTTGAAATCGCTGGTCCCAAGGTTTTTGGGTTGCCGCACGATTATAGCTCGGAGCTGCGTTACACGAAGCCTGTCAGTGTCATCGACGAGTTCCGACAAAGCGCATAATATTTCAACAATGAAGAAAAACCGGCGAGGGTGGTTACGGGATTGAACGTAGGATCATAGGTATCTTGTGTTCAACATGATCAGAATTGGTGAATCATTCAACTTTGTTATCAGATTTCCAAAAAGCTGGCTGCAAATGCTATGGCATCGGTGGCTGGTCTGACAAGTCAAACTCCGGTAAGCTGTCGAGGAAACTTAAATCTGAATCAACAAGGAAATCATTGCCAACATTAGCCCAGTACGCTGCTTCTTCATCCAGCACACCCATCGGTTCCCATAAATGCTGTATGGGATTTTCAAGGTCGTTAATGTGGTGCGCTGTAGACCCCAGTCCACCAAGTGGTTCTTCATCTGGAGTTATGACAGGTTGATTTCCGGAAGATACGCTTCGAGATTGTGTGCCCGCCAGTGTCGATGTCGTCGTCGTCAGGTCTTTGTGTAGAGACAAATCTGGACTACTTTGAGACCCTGCAGTTTCTCTTCCTGGTTTGCTTGAAGGACTGCTGCCATGGTGATGATTTGGTGTGAAAAGGCTTTTGAACCTGAGCCTGGCGGCTTCCGACAGCGTCCAAGATGGGCCCATCTCCTGCATGGCATCACCAAGTATGGGGAGTAAAGTATCCCTCATTGACGACGGCTGATTGCTGCCTTCGTGCCGACATATGACCAGGATGGCATTCATGGACAGTAAAGCGCCACCCAGAAAAAGTAGAGGTGCGTTTCCGAGAGTGTGTTGGCCTTTGAAGCGTTGAAGGATGTCAATGATGCCTTCTGCACTCGCCTTGCATCGCCTGAACGAGTCAAAAAGCGGATCCTCTGTGCCCTCTGGCTTTTCTTCTGATAAAGATGGCATATTTCCGATAGACGCTATGAAAGGCAGGTTGAGGCAGATGCGAATACTATGGTAAAGAGTGCTACAGAGCAGTAAGTACGCAGTCAATAACGAGACGTATTCTCCCCAAAAGATGTTACTTACTGGAGCAGTGCCACACTGGGGTGTAGGACGTCTTTGTTGGTAAACCACTTCTTCCAGCGCATGTCGGCTGGAAGTGCCTCATGCCATGCAACTAGCCTAGCATTCAACTTGTTAAGCGACACTTCGGTCCATTTTCTGGAATGAACATCATTCTTCTTCTTGGGTGCGAAAGTCGTCGAAAGCATATCGTGTATGATACGAGCTAGCTCTATTTGCTGGTTGAACACTAATGTCAATTTTGGGCCGGCTGGGCGCAAGGGTTTTAAGAACTCTAGATCATGGGATTGGAGCCAGTCTTCCCATATAGGCGGGTCGTTACTAATATCGCAATTAGTTGAAGCCTGAGACGACAAATCAACGGGAACTTACGGAAGAGGTTCACTAAGGTTGACGTCTGCATCACTCTCATGCATGATGGTAGGCCGTCCTAGAAGAAGACTGAAGATTCTAGGAAGTACCTGTCAGTAGCGGATGCAGAGTTCATCGCTGGCAGCACTTACTTGTCTGACAAGAAACATCCCCAGTATATTCGACGGCGGAATTCATTATCGAATGCGAACGGCAGAGCTGACTTTGGCTTCTCCTCCGATTCCCAATGCGTAGGGTCTCGTTGGAAACCAATATCTTGACCCATTCTGAAGGCCATCCCTAGGCTACGTTAGTAATTTCGTGGTTCCATCACGGGAATAGGCCGTTTAACTAACCTGAAAGAAGCCACCCCCTCGAAATATTGCCGCGCCCTACCTCATAATACGCACAACAAAGCAATGCTTGTACTGAGGTCGGTCTAGGTGCGTTCAAGCCTTCATTCATCAGGATGTTCTGCGCATTTGCGTTATATGCATCCGCCTTGGCCCTAATCTCGGGATCCTTGGACATAAGTGCGCCTTTCGAGTTCCTTATATCAGTTCCCTCCATTCTGCTGAAATCGAGTTTTAAACAGTTACTCACCTATTGCTGCAGCAGAATATATGAGTGGCGGAGAGCAAAAGTCCCCGTCAACCGGATTCTCCTCGAATTCTGATATGAATGCTTCTCTGTCGATGAACATGAATAGCGGGTACTGCCACATGAAGAAAAGTCCGAGGCATAGACGCATTGTCTGGTGAGTAAGATTACTCTTTTTCTCATGGAACAGCGACGGTTTCGAGTTGACCGATGAGTTTGCGTATGCGTCACCAACGTCGTTTTGGAAGATGCTTGTCGGGCCATGATATATCATTGAGCCTTGGGAATCAGTTGACATTTAAGCAAGTCTAGTAACCGGTCGCAACTCACCATCAGTTGTCTCTTGCAGTGAGGCTTTTGTGAAAGCCTCGCTCAGCGCAGCTTCGTCCTCTAACGGCAAACCAGAGAACGACGGCACATAGTCTTTGACTTGGACTTCATCCAGAATCTTATCTCTTTCGCTATTGCTAGCCTCCTTAAGTCTAGCCAAGAAACCATCAAGCAACGCGATCCTCGACTCCAGTGCGGCGACATACTCACGTGACACTGGTGGTCGCTTGAAGTCGCTCTCACGGAATTCGCATTTCACCGAAGCAACGGAGCAATTGCCACACGGAAAGGTGCGGGAACAGCGGATCTATTATGGCTCTGTATTAGCTGGGCACAAGTCTTTTCTTTCGGAGTTTTCAATGGGCATCGGCTTTATCAGCTCCAGGGACAACATGGGCTATGAACACCGAAGTACCTTTCTCTGCTGACATCGCTTACACCTGTGTTTGAAATTTTTTAGTATACTGGTAATTTGGATTGTATTACATGATGCGAACATCACTTACGATATTCGCTTGACGTTGTTCTTTTCCATCTTCGCATCCGGTTCTGGGCGAGCAACCATCGGCGATGAGGCGGAACAGGCGGTAGGGCTGTGAATGCGGGACAAAAAAAAAAGGACCCCGAGGTCACATGTTTGACCCTGGACGACTCTGTTGGTCCCTGGCTTTTCTCTTTTCCCTTTTTTTCGGGCCCCCTCATCTTTGCACTGGGGATTGTGGGGGTTTTGGGTGGAGTACTATCTAGTAATATCCGTAGGGGATCGGGGGATATCATCAGAGGGTAACAGGGATGGTGACATATCAAGTTCACTCACACATGACGTTTGAATAGTACGAGAGGTGCGAATTCCGTATTTTTGTGGTTATACTTTCATGGATAATGGGGTATTGATTTATAACACTGAAGATGGCGAATTCCTCGATTATGGCGACTGACACGCAAGAGTTGAAGTCAAAAAGGCCTGCCTGGAATGACTGTTTTAAGGCCATGAATGCTGGATTGCGTGAAAGTAAGCATGGAAACAGTTTCATTGAGCAATACTGCGGGAAGGCAAGTGCTCGTTAAGCTAAGGCTCAAGGCACAATATCTCGATGGAATACAAGGGATACACATTCATATTTCAGCCGGCGTCAAGCAGCTCTTGACTCAGTAACTTGCCCATCGATAAAACCTGTCGGGTCCGCGAACGTCGTCATCGGAATCAGAAACCTCGTAGCCCTCCTCAAATCCATCGGGGAATTTCGCCACTATTTTCCTGCGAGCGTCCCTATCAACATTCATATAGTTTTCTAGGTTGATCTCGTAGGGTGGGAGATCAGGATATACAATCTTCGTGTAGAAATGAACCGGTCTATCCGTGTGATAATACTCCCTCATCTGAATGAACCATCCTCCCCACCAATCTTCGTCAACTTCGCCTGGAGCCTCTATATGAAAGATAGCAACCGTCCTCAAAGCCTTCATAGTGCGTAAATGGTACCCATGGTCGTAGAAGAATGTCTCCGAGTTGAACCCTTCAACAATAAGCTTTTGCATAAAGGGAAGCTTAGCGGCGAATTCCTCCAAGCCGTATTGGCTAACGCAGACAGAATCGATCTCAAAATTGATTCAGTCATATCTATGAGGAGCGTTCTCAATAGTAAAGCCCTTGGTGTAGTAAAGCTGTAGATAAGACCGGGCTTCTTTACTGACATGGAGGATAGCTGGGGGCTGCGCACGCGGCGTTTGTTTATAAAAGAGATGGGGATAGGGGCTAGAACCAACGACAACAGTACGAGGCTCCATGCTCAACTCCCAGATACATTGGCGCAACTCAAGTGGCAACAGCGGAACGACATGGAACGTGGACATGGTGAGTCTCCTGGGAGCCTCCGCAGACTGGGTTGGTTTTTATTCACAGTCCGGTTGCTGGGACAAGATGTCTGGAACAGTTGCTAAGGCGGCTTGTTGGTACGATGTCCTGAGAGTAAAGAAAGAAAATCAAAACGTTCAGCAAATTGGGTTTGCGGCACAGCGCGGCGCGTGGGCAATTAAATACCCAGAAGCCAGGCCGACATTCCTGCCTATTTAAGCTAATCTGCGTAGGAGTTCGGCCCGAGGTGGATCCCCTGTTTGCCATTTCGACCCGATACTTGAGTCTTAACTCGTACTCTTTATTGCATGAATTTTGCATTTTTGTGGTTATGTTATCCTTCAATAGTAAGGCATTGTCCCGTAATACTGGAGATGGTTATTTAGTAGTTATGATAACTAACATTTACAAGAGTTAAAATCGAACAGACCTACCTGATATGACTATTATTTAGACTCTAGACAATGCTTTAATAACCACCCAGGTTAGACGAAAACGACGTTCTGTTCCTGATAAACACCGCTAAGAACTTATTGTGATGTAGGTACGGATACAGAACGAAGGGCTCTTGCTCAAAGGTTTTGCCAGTCGAACCTTGATGGCGGCGGTGTGGCGGCGGTGTGGCAAGAATAAGAGTAAGGTGTGTAACCATAGAAGATTGATAAAGCGACGCCTGCGGGCACGCATAGGTCTGTTAGACTAGTTGGGGCTGCTCTCAAAACCTTTTTGCTTACTACCTATGTAGAGGTCGAGGGTTCGAACACTGGACGACGTCGGCATATCTCGTCAGGCCAGCGCCAAGCCAAGGCCGTGCTGCCAACGAATTCTCTCTCTTTTTCTTCTTCCTACACTGTTTCTTTTCCACTCCTAAAGTCAGAAGTGAAGTCGCTCCATTTAATCGCTTAATGATTCATCTGCTAAGCATCAGACTGCAGAATCAGGGTTAAGACAAACCTGAAAAAGGGGGCACCTTCAAAACTACTCATACCATTACAAGGCGCTTGAAGAAGAACGAGAGACCGTCATCGCGGATGAGCTCGCCAACGTGGGCGTGACTATCTACAAGCTGGTCAACGACTCGTCAAGTGCTCTCATGACCATCTTCGGTTTCACCATGGGCAGCGTAGTCTCGCGCCAGCCCTTCAAGAAGGCAGCGGCGGCGCGGCACAGAAAATCCACCGAGGGGGGAAGCTCGTGCCTTGGGCCCAGAAAGATATGCAGACCTGGCGGACGTTCACAAAACATGCTTGGAAAAGAAATAAAAAAGGGACGTAATGGCGCTGCTGGTAGACTAGGCACTAGCAACCTTTGAGATCCCAACACACGGACAAATGCGACAGCCAAGAATGCCCCAGGCGTACTGCGTGTTTCCGTTGACATAAAACGTTGTAGATGGATTCTCTTTGTTTATCCGCTCGAATCAAACTAGCCAACCTAATCTTGTTCATCTGTAGTTCGCGCTGCTCGCTCGTCAGTCCATAAGAATACTCAACCATGCCAACGTCAAGTAAACCGACTTGAACCGGCATGATACAGGTATGTTGGCCTTAGGTCAGCCCAAACGTGGCAATAGCAGTTCGCATGGCTCACTTCATGGAAGACCAGAACCCTGGGCGGGCAACTTAGAGTTGGAAAAACCCCTTATTCAAAACGAGTTTGCGTCCACGTAACGCCTATCGCTACCTTCGGCCCTCCCCTGATAGTTGCAACGTCGTATCTCACCATGCTCGCTTCTGTTGGCAGTTTGCGTCGAGCCAAAGCCCCGCTCCTTGTTCCCTGTCAAGGGTCCAATCCTGTTGCGTCGCTGATGCTGATGGAAGGCCGGTAACAACGGCATCGAAACTTGGCGAATGCTTGAACGAGCTTTGGCTTGGCGGAAGTCTAGGGAGTGCAAGACCTTAGACTGTTGTTGGTCATGCTTTTTTTGTCTTTTGTTTTCTTTGAGTCTCTCGACCTGCCTCATCCGGTCAATGAGAATTACAGACAAGTTCCGACCGCATCTCTGACCGAGACCCCGCTGAGCCATACAGGTAACTGTAATCATGTGTGGAGGTGAACTTTTTCCTATCTTCTATTACTCACCTGCAGCGCAGCTGCGAGACGGACATTAACTGCATTTTGCTGCTTTTATAATGTGGGTAATCCGTGGTTACAGAGAGGGCCACCATCCGCTACGGATCTCCAATCATATGGTGTCACGATGATTTTTCTGGTTTTGAGTTGCTGATGGTTCCATCAGCCTCGGATCAGACGCAAGGGCTTATTTCTCTCCTTTCCTCTTCCTAGTATTCCCTCCGTGAGGGTGCTGTCTCTCTCAGACCGCGACTCTCTTTTGATCCCGATTGCTTTGCACGCCACACTCTTTCACTTTTCTTGTTTGAAAGCAGCGTTTTTTTCGTTAGCAAACCCCGCGGCAAAGAGAACCAGCCAAGTCGCAGCGGCGGGCGTCGCTTTTGTTGCCTTCCTCCATTATGCCGTTGGGTCCATGGTTGAGCCGCGCCATTATCTCACCAAGCGCGAAAGAGCCCCTAAGATTCCATACGACTTCAACACCATCAAGACGTGTACTTGGTGGTACGACAATCACGAGGGCTTTTCGTGCAAAGAGATCCGCGACTGTCGCTTCGGCATCAGCCCCGAGGACTCCACCCGCAGGAATCCGTCCGTGACACCCGACTGCGGCAACTGGCAGGAGCTGTCGTACGGCATCCGGCCCGATGGCGAGCAGAACATAGCACATTGTCCATATCTGACTCTACGACAACGACGACCATACTGCCGCCGCAACTCCTACGACCAGCAAGCCGGCCCTGCTCGGATAGACCTCTCTGGGCTGCTACGCCGTTGAGAAGACGCTGAGCACCCGCTCATCCAAGGTGCAGAGTGCTGGTGCGGTGCCTTTGTAGCTGATGAGAGCGTACCAGAAGAAAGATTGCAGCACTCCTTGCGCCGGTGACGCCTCGCAAACATGCGGCGGCGCCGACGTCATGAATATTTACGAATCCAAGCTCGACGACGCCCTACTGCCCGGCCCGATCCCAACTGAGCAGTCTACTACGACGGCTGCCATCCGAGACGATCACGACTAAGTCTGGCTCGGCAATCTCCTCGCCTACTTGGTATTTGTCTTGGCTTGGCAGCCCGTGGTTTTGTCCTGATAAATTCGATTACTTGAACATTTTCCAAGCCACAAAGATGATCTAGTTGCGATGTCGTTCTCTAGGACTTAACAAAAGCTACATTGAATAAGACCCTAATATATGCCAAGATTTCTGTCGCACCACGACTGTCATCACTTGAGATAGATACCTAAATTGCTGCAGGACTAGGTCGCTATCCCCTGACAATTCGTCTACGAAGTATTAGACTGAAGAATTAAGCCACGCTGAAAGAGGGGGAACCTTCAAAACCGCTCATGGCAATTCACGTCCCATTGAGGCGCTATGAGACATTTGCTGTCGTTTTCGGAAAGAGCCACTCATATTTATTCAATGAATTCTCGAGTGTTTCATTTCGCCTTGGCTTTTACTGTGAACAGTTTGTCGGGAAGCTTAAGCTGTCATGTCTTTAAAAATTCCCCAATACGGTGGTTAAACATTACGCTTCTGGCACGTGGCAATGCGGCAACGTACGGTCAAGCAGAGTTTCCAGAACCGTTGACGGCGACTATCAAGCGGGCCGCCTGCTGGTCTCACTTGATCTGTTCTGGAGCTAGGGCATTGACGCTAGCACGTTCCGATTCAAAGTAAAGACTGACTGTTGCGATAGTTGGAATACGGAGTCGTGTGGCACTTCCAGCCACACGCCCGCCAGGCTGAGAGGCCCAAGCCTCCCAGACCCACGTGACAGGCCAAGGGGGAATATCCCTACCTTCTAGTCAATAATACTACTTTCAACTATCATAAACTATCGATTAGAACTAATTTACTATTATTTATTATTAACGAACGGAATTCCGTTTTACCCCTTGTGAAACCTATACTAATTAGTAGTAAACCTTATAGTTGCTATTAATTTGGTTAACTTTATAATTACTACTTTGCTACGGATAAACCGTAGATTAGCAAGGTTAATACTAGAAGAGACGACTTCTTAAACTAGATACCTAAGCCTAGGTAAAAGTAGGGATTTCGTACTAACGAGAGAAGAAGCGAGAGTAACTAGGATCTACGGAAACTAGCAGAAGAAAGCTTCTTTTCCTCGAATCTACTAGCAATCCGATTATTCGAGTAACCTAAGGACTACTATGCTTACCCTAGGCGGGATAAGGTTAATCGTAGCTAATTATCGCTAGCAAGAGCGTTCTATTACGCGTTTTTAATTACTAGAAGAAGAGACCTACCGAATCGACGGTCTTCTAACCTCTTCACGCTATAAAGGCGAAGATTTACAAATCCTATAAGGGATAATAACTTCCTTAACTATAACTATCCCCTACGCGCGGTGCTAATTACGAAGCGCCTGCTAGTTTCTTAATAAATCCCTAGACAAGGTACTAACCGCGAGGCGCTTGCTATAAAAGACCTCCCTACTAGAAGAAAAATACGCCGAAAGGTAAGTAGAGACTACCGGTAGTAATCCGCCTATATAGCTATACGTATATACCTCCGAGGCTACGGCTTAGGAGAAACGTACGTAGTTATAAGCGTTATAAAGCTAACTATCTACTAGATTCTAAACTTCTTAATAGTAAGGAGCAAAGCCTAAAGCAAGAAAGAAAGATTTATAAGAGAATCTATAGTAGAACTTTCTCCTTACTAATTCGAGACCTATATATACCTTTATACCCTTCGAGAATATTAGCAAGAACGGCGCCGACGGAAATAAACGATAAACCGACGAAAATCACCGATTTTACGATTCTTTCCCCTTAGAATCGTAATATCCCGAATCGTCTTTTAACTCCTACTTCTAGGCTTATATCTTATACTAATCGTAGCTAACGCTATTAAGGATTAGAATTTAAGATTCTAAATAGAAGTAATCCTTTTATACTATTAGAATAAAGCGAAATTTACGAGAAGGATCGCCTGCAAGCAGCGTTACTACTAAAAGCTAATTAATAGTCCCTATCCTATAGAGAATCGAAAGTATAATCGATCTAGCAGTATAAGGTAACTAGGCAATCGACCTTATAAACGCTAGCCTATAGTAACTAGGTTCCTATATAGGTTTCCTACTTAAGACTTATAAGAAGAGGAATCTTATAGGCCTCGAGCTATAGAACGAAGTTTCTCTCGATTTCGCCGACTAGTTAGAAGAAGACTTCTAGAATATACCTCCCTTAATCTTACGATTCTTTAGAAACTATTTAATCGGTAACGGCGTCTATATCGAAATAAATAGTAAGAAAATCTTAAAAAACGTAGTATTAGCCTTTAAAAAGGAAGAATTCTACTACTAGTCACCTTAAGAACTCGAACAAGGCGTTAAGAGATATCGCAACCTAAAGGCTTTAATAAAAGACCCCGAATTCTACGAAGAGATTACGAGACTAGCAATAGTAGCTAATAGTATAGGAGGAAGAGTCGAACCAACCTTATAGCTACCTCCTTTATAAGAATAATAATAGTAGCAACTACCGTACCGACCGCTATATCCTACGGTCTCTCCGTTAACAGACTTCTAACTATACGAGTTAACAGACCGTATCGGAAAGTAATTAATAGAATTCGCGAAACTATACCCCGACGATATAAAATATAGCGGCGATATATACGATATACTCGAAAAGAAGATGCTAGTATTCGTAGATTACTATAAAATGCTAGGAATTTATACCTCCTAATATAACAAGGTACTTCCCCTAATACTAAAAGGAATAGCTAAAACCTACTTCTACGCCTTGATTAAAGTAATTAACCTATAGCCTAACTTCGAGACTATAATTAACTAATTAAAATTATACTTCGAGACTAGGGAAAGGCAATAAGCGTACGTTACGTAGTAGAATATAACTACTCTTCCCTAAATCATTCGTAATAACCTTAGAAAGACTAAATCGGAGTATTTTAACATACTATATAATAAATTAAGCAAGATTCAGCCCGGTTTGCTATAACAGGATCATAACGACCGATCCCTCTATACCTAACTTCTATACGCTTATAGAGATATTCTAGAGTATATAATAGCGTTATTTATACCGGCTAAGACGTACGAGGGACTTCGTAGCTAATTAATCTCGTCGATCGAGACAGCTACCCGTCTTAACTAATAACAATTCAATACAGTAGCCAACCTACTAAAGCAGTACTAGACCGATAGAACTTTTAACGGTCGAGAGCGTTATTTACGATATAGTCGTTTATTACGAAGTCGATCATTACGAGGAAGAAGCCGTAACAAACCCTTATTACTACTAACGCCTAAGAAGTACTACGTATATAGAAAACCTAACTGCTAGTCAACTAAACATACTATAGAAGAGAGACGAAAAGCATACGAGAAGTTTAAAACTACCTAATATGCCTAGGATACGTTACTTCTAGCATATAGCTAATTTCTCGTCTAATACGAGGGTTTCGACGGGTTAGACTTATAACCTACCGCCGAAGACCCCTAGTAATACTACTACGTAACCGAATAAACTAGTAAAAGTAACGAAGAGGAAGAGACTAGTAGCGATAGTTAATTCCAGGTTACTACTTATTTTACTATAATAGCAATTAACGGTAATAAGATCGCTACGATCCTAGCAGACTAGTTAACCTGCTATGCTATTACGAAAGAAGACCTCTTCCGCAACCAACTAGAACCGAAAAAGCTACCTTCGTAATTTATACTCGAGGGATGCTACTCTGCCTAGAACTTCTAAGGGATTATGCCCGACTCGGGCGTAGTAGGATTCTCAACCGCTAGCTACCTACAATTCGTAGCCTTATAACAAATTTACGAAGGAATTACGTTAAATACTAAGGCGGCTAGCGGCGTTATAGTAAAATTCGGCGATAGGATACTACTAGAGTCTATAGGGACTACTAAAGTGCTAACGCTGTTTAGAAGCGTTAAATTTTACGTTATTAAGACTAATACTCCCTTCCTTATATGCCTAGGAGATATAGACCGATTAAAGGTCTACTTTAATAACGTTACGAATACCTTTATCTAAGGAAATAAGGTCGTACCTATTATTCGCAAATAAGGCTACCTATGGTTATTACTTAATAAGGAGAAACTACTTGCCTAGAACTACCTTATAGACGCTAAATTACGACGGGTTTACCGTCGCTTCGGATACCTATCTATTTAACGATTATATAAGGTGCTTTAGAAGGCTAGCTACCTAGTTGAAATTACGGTAATTAAGTAACTATCGAAAGTCTGCTATCGATGCTAAATATACGTACTAGCGCTATTACGGTTTAAATTTACGTTACGAGACGATTACGAATTTAACTACGAGGTTATCGCCGACGTAATATACCTTAAAGGTAATAGACCGGTCTTCTACGTCGTCGATACCGCTACGGCGTTTAACGCCGCCCGGTTCCTTAAGGATATTTCTACGAAAGCTACTTAGGAAGCCTTACGCCTTTGCTAGATAGATATATATTAGGGACCCCTAGACTAGCTAGTTACCGACGCTAGAATAAACTTCCGCTTAATAGAATTCCGAAACGCGGCGAAAGGAATAGCAATTAAAATCAAGGAAATTCTTATAAAAGCCTATAATAGTATTAGGAAAGTTAAACGATACTATATACTTCTAAGGAAGGCGTACGAAATTATTAAAGTAGAAGACCTAACAATTACGCTAGAATTAGTACTTTAAATAGTAGTTAAAGTAGTTAACGATACTGCTAGCCTAAACGGAATAATGCTAATACTCTTAGTATTCGGCTTATA